TGTGTGTGTGTGACTGTCTGTGACTGTGTGTGTGTCACTGTGTGTGTGTGACTGTCTGTCTGTGATTGTCTGTGTGACTCTGTGTGTGTGTGATTGTCTGCCTGTGATTGTGGGTGTGTGAGTGACTGTCTGTGACTGTGTGTGTGTGACTGTCTGCCTGTGATTGTGTGTGTGTGTGTGACTGTCTGTGACTGTGTTGTGTGCCTGTGTGATTGCCTGCGTGTTTGACTGTCTGCCTGTAACTGTGTGTGAGTGACTGTGTGTGGGACTGTGTGCATCTGACTGTTTCTGACGGTCTTCACCCTGCAGTGATCCGGCAGCCAGGATATGATGTCATCACGGCCTCAGCGTCATTACAGGGCGTGTGATGGAACCTGTGCAGAAAGAGCACAGAGATCCCAGCAGCAACTACTGACCACCAGGGACTGAGGATCCTCTCCAGCCCTTCTAGAGAAAGGTAGGGAGGCTGGGTGGACCTCTTAATTATTAAATGTGTATGTATGTAATGTTTGTGTGTGATTGTGTGTCTGTGATTGTATGTGTGTGGGTCAGTGATTGTGTTTGTGTATATCTGTGAATATGTGTGTGATTGTGTGTATCTCTGCGTATGTGTTTAGTAGATAGCTCCCTTATTTCCTGTCCTTAAATATTGCAATCCCACATAAGGATAACAAATAAGGGATTTATCTACTAAACTGTAGAAAATAAGAAAAGGGCGTTTTTTTAATCCTTTAGCTGTTTAGTAGATCATTCCCAGAACTGGTGACCGTATGTGAGATTTCCATATTTAAAGATACCAAATAAAGGTGCTGTTTAGCAGATAGCACCTTATTTGGTGTCCTTAAATATGGCAATCCCACAAAGGATAGCAAATAGAGGAGTTATCTGCTAAACAAAGTTTGATCAACAGTGTCAAATATATGTGCAGACATCTAAAAATCTCGCCAACACTACACACAAATACACTCATGCATTTCAACGTCAATACTACATACAAACCCCACCATTATAACCATACCACTGCATTCAAATACCACACAACACACAAATGCATGCTTGCATTCAAACGCCAACACTACATACAAACACACCGCTACATTCACTCACATATACTCCATACAAAAACATGCATACATTCAAACACACAAACACTGCTTGGGGCTAAATACATAAAAACATGTTTTTGATTGTTTTTATATTTAAAGTTTAGGGGGGTGCCAAAAATAGGACCGGCCCCGGGGTGCCAAATGCTCCCTGCAGGGGCTTGGCCAATTGGTTTCTTTTGGCCCCCAAAACCTTTTATAATGAACCCTGATAATTATAACTCTACTTTTGTCTAACAAATAAAAGTAATAACTTTATCCACAGTAAAAATGAAAGAAGTGCGTCTTATTTCAGAGCTTGGCACTTGTCTATTGCACCTGCAGTGGTACCTGCTGCTGTTATCGTTCTAAAGAATAGAACCCCAAGAAACTGTATGTAGGATAGAATGTTAGGAGGAATGCATTGGCTGTAATAATACCCAGTACAGTGTTCATGTCATTCCAGTGGGTTACATGCTCCGCTCACAGAGCTTACTCCCCCCGGCTCCCTGCACGCGGCGCGAGCCTGCCTCGTAGTGGGCGTGTCCCCAGTGCTGGAACATGAACCGGTAATAAATGACACATGCACAGACAGAGCCCGGTGTGCAGAGCTGGGCCTGCTGACTGCTGCACAATGAGCGGAATGGAGATGAGCGATGGGGACCGGACAATGGAGTGTTCGCTTCTCAGGGATCAGTTCGGAAGGCTCCATCTGTTTATCATGAGACATGTCCGCCGACTGCTGCCTGCTGGATTCACAGGAGAATTAAAGAAACAGGGAGCTCTGGCCGGACCGGTGGTAAGGGATGTTACATTGCACATACACGTTATATGGGACTGTCCTTGGCTTCTGTAATAAGTGTCATTAATTATGTAACTATTAAATTGTCATATGTAGTAGATTTCTTTAGTGTGCTGAGTGAAATTTCCAAATAAATGTTTAGTATAAATCTATCTCCTGTCTGTCTGTCTATATATCTATCATGAGGTTTGAATGTTGCAATCAAAGTGATACATAAATAAACACAAGTAAACATTTTTTTGTTCGTTTTTTTTCATCAAAATGTTTTATTTAATAACTTTAATAATGCACTTTGGAGAATGGCCATAAACCTTTATTACGGATTTCATAATTTCATTTAAACAATAACCAATAATAATAAACCATAACTTTAAACCAAACCAACATATTAACCATAACCACTTTCCAAGGCTCCGCCCCCCCTCCAAAGCCAGGAGCCATAAATATATCTTATACCAAATCCACCCTCCTGTGATGACCAGGAGGGCGACTTATATCCCATAATGAGGTCACGACATAGGTTCCCACAATAAAAAAGGGGGAGGGTGGGTGGGAACAGCAGCTCGAATATTTTAATATAGCCAACCTTTAGATTTGTATGGCACAAGCTGAGGTAATTAATTTTGGCGCCTTTACATTTATACTCATTATTTTCCCTCCACTGTGGTCCTCGCGCTGCTATGTACCAATCAGGGCTCATGCCCTGGTTGCGAGCTTACTGCCTTTCTAACAGCGCAAGCTGCCCTGCCATTAACCCTAGCCCTGGATTTAACCCCTAGCATTATACTTACCCCCCACTTTGCTCCATCAAGCCTCATGAGGCTGCTCCTTACGCAGTCCGCGTGCCCGACATTAACCCCCCTTTCACTGTTTAAGAAATACAAACATGTATTCCAAACATAATGTCGCCTCATTACCTAGATTAGAGATTTTAAGTACCTTATTTTCCAGCACCGAGACTCACTCATTGCTGCCTGTTCCTGCAATGTCATCTAGCAGGTGTCTAGTCATTGCCTTCTTCTCCATTACAATGCTTCTCATATTGAATTGTTGAGACGGGAAGCACATGCATGGCAAGCTTCGCATTGCGCTTCTATCAAATGATTTGGACGTCTCATAACAGAGTCAGGCATGGTTATGAGTGTAGAAGCACCTCGGCTGGCTGTCAGCAATGTGTCCACTTGAAGTGTTTTTAGCCCTGCATTCAAAACATTGCCATATCTAGTAAACCTCAGTGTTTTAGATTGCAGGGATAAAATACCAAGGGTACTGCACCAAGGGCATTGAGATGAAGTGGTCTGGGTTCCTTTAGTGTTCCTTTCAAGCGGCAGTCTAAACACCATAACCACTAAAGACCATTGTTAAACTTCCAAAAGTAAATTTAGGACAAATTGGTTAGTTCGGGAGTAGATAACAAGGTATTTGTTTTGTTGATACCTGCTGAACAACATTTGTGCACAAACCTAGTGGGTATTTCACCTGCCTCCCCCAATTTTGTGTGTCAAACTATTTTTGAGAGATAAACTGCTGGGTCTCCTGGGCATGGTCGCTTGCCATATTTCAAATAAGGAAGTTAAAGGAACACTTTGTGCACGAAAACAATTTTATCAGAATGAAGTTGTCATGATGTGAAGAGGTCCCGGGTTCATTTTTTTGAAGTTGCTATATTGCTAATTGTGTTCTTTAAACTTCCACATTATCAATATTAACTTCATCAATATTTGGATGTCAGTGACAGGTTAAAGCATGTAAATTCCACATTGGCAATACTGCAAGTGAGTGGGCATTCTCTAGGTGTATTAGGCAATCCAATCCCTGATTTTCCTGAAATCTCTCCGAAAATAGTTTGATTCCTAACCGTGGAACACCACCCATAGCCTACTAGCACTAGAAGTATGATGGTCTGTAGTGATTATGTTGCATAAACATATGAGGCCCATATATGTGCCTGCATGTATATCTATCTGTAGTACCAGGGTACCCTATTTACAGTCACTGACCTGGCCCATAGTCGGTGGGCAGGAGGCTGGCAAGCAGGCTCCTCCAGGAGCTCGTGGCAAACTCAGAGTTTGTCACAATAATCCAACTTGATAATCTCAGCCATATAGGCAGTGCCAGTCGAGGGGAGACCAGCACAGCGTAGGGGAAAAAGATGAGTAAAAACACCATTCCTTTGCGAACGGAAGGGGTCTGGTCACCTAAACTCCTACATAATGACAGACATACTCAAACACACACCATGACAGACATACACACGCACAGGACAGACATACATACATACATACACACACACACAAAGAAACACACACACCATGACTGACAGACATACATATACATACACACACACACACCATGTCAGACAGACCTACACACACAATGACAGACTCACACAAACACACACACACACACACCATGACAGACACTCACACACACAATGAGGGCTAGAGGGCTTCCGCGTTTCTCACTGTGAAAATCACAGTGAGAGGACGCCAGCGTCCATAGGAAAGCATTTTGAATGCTTTCCTATGGACTGGCTAAATGCGCGCGCCGCTCCTGCCGCGCATGCGCATTCATCTGAAGGGGGAGGAGAGCTCCCCGCCCGGCGTTGGAAAAAGAGGTAAGTTTAACCCCTTCCTCTCCAGCAAGCCCAGCGGGAGGGGGACCCTGAGGGTGGGGGCACCCTCAGGGCACTATAGTGCCAAGAAAACAAGTATGTTTTCCTGGCACTATAGTGGTCCTTTTAAGGGGTCTGAATGCATTGTATATGACCGCTTCTTTAGAAGTTTAGCCGAAACTTTATAGTTCAGCACAATATGTGACCTACAATACTCAAACTTTGAGCACTACAAACAGAGCATCTGACAGTCTCGGGCAATAGAAAGGATCCCATCTTATAGAGAGGTGCTCCAGGTATTGATTGATACCAGGGACTCCCTGGTGTGAGCAGGAATTTGGTTGAACCCTACTCATGACAAAACGTTAAGCTGTGTCATTACGTCCTAACAGTATTAAATCAAGATATAGTTGGGACATAACATATCTTAATGTTGTGAAGTGGTTAATTAGCCATACTCTTACACATACCTAATTAAACCACACTCCAAACATGCCTAACCAACCAATATGATACTGTTACAACCTGGAATTATAGTTGATTGTAATGGGATTTTACCATTTGATTTAAACAACATACCTAACAGCTGAAATGAACTATATATACTACATATAAAGTCATGGGAAAAAGAAAGCACACCCTGATTGAATTCAATGGTTTTACATATCAGGACATAATAATCTGTTTCTTAGTAGATCTTAAAATTAGGTAAACGCAACCTCAGACGAACAACACATGACATATTACGCTGTGCATTTATTTAACAAAAATAAAGCCAAAATGGGGAAGCAGTGTGTGAAAAACTAGGAAGAGGCTAAGTAGCAGACATGTGCTGCTAATCAAATGCCCTTGAATAATTAATCATCAGCAAGTGTGACCACCTCTATATAAGCCATAGTTTTAGCAGTTTGCTGGTCTGGAACATTAAGATGTGTGTTAACACAATGCCAAGGAGGAAAGCCATTAGCAATGATCTTAGAGATTTTGTCTGCATATGCACCTTGAAGAAGACTAACGTCGAAATGCGTCGTGCTTATGTGGCTGATTTTAAACCCACATTATTATTTTTAATAAACATTGTAACTCAAAAATAGTGTAATCAGTAACGCATAATAATAATTAATAATAATACTATGCACAAATGTCCATTTTGAAGAAGCGTACATTGCAACATCCATATGAAAATTAATGAGCAATTTATTATAAATAAATATATATATTTATAAAGCTGGACTGTTGTAAAGAGTATTTAGATTACTGTGCCTACCTTTCCTATAAAAATAGCTGTTATTTAATCTGATTTAGCAGCCAAATGGCCTCCTTTTTTTTTCCCCTCCACCTTGACCCAGGATATCGTGGACATCATAATTAGTGATGATCTCTCCACCAATCCAATGCTTCCCATAGCAAAGTATTGGGAGACTGTACAAGCACAGCAGTTATTGTGCTGTGCCAGCATTACTTCTCATAGTAAAGTCTCACATTCTCAACTCAAACTCAACTTAAAAGACCACTATAGTGCCAGGAAAACATCGTTTTCCTGGCACTATAGTGCCCTGAGGGTGCCCCCACCCTCATGGACCCCCTCCCGCCCGTCTCTGGAAAGGGGAAAGGGGTTTAAACTTACCTTTTTCCAGCGCTGGGCGGAGAGCTCTCCTCCTTCTCTCCTCCTCCGTTCCGCCCCGTCAGCTGAATGCGCACGCGCGGCAAGAGCTGCGCGCGCATTCAGCCAGTCGCATAGGAAAGCATTTACAATGCTTTCCTATGGACGCTGGCGTGCTCTCACTGTGAAAATCACAGTGAGAAGCACGCAAGCGCCTCTAGTGGCTGTCAATGAGACAGCCACTAGAGGATTAGGGGGAAGGCTTAACCCATTAATAAACATAGCAGTTTCTCTGAAACTGCTATGTTTATTAAAAAATGGGTTAACCCTAGCTGGACCTGGCACCCAGACCACTTCATTAAGCTGAAGTGGTCTGGGTGCCTAGAGTGGTCCTTTAACATATGAAAAGAAAATCCCCTTCCTGGCAGTCTGATTGATAGTCTGGAGGATGAAATCTAGGATCTTTAAAAAAAAAAAAAAAAAGTGATTTTTGATTTTGTGTCTCTGTCCCCCTGTCCTGAGTTTTTCATGGATGTCCTATTACATATACTGAAGAGGGTCTTAGATAATTTGTATGTTAATTCATTCTTGTAATATGTAATCCTCTTTTTGAACAATGATGTAAATTAATGTGCCCTGAGTCGCTTAAATGCACTGCATATTTCACCTGTTTATTTTTTTTATTTTTTTTTTAGTTCCTATCTCAGACCATGGTAATTCTCCTAAATTTAGTAAGTTCTGTTTTTTGTGGACATTTGGGAAAGATTGAGCTGGACTCAGTGATACTCGCTGTTGCTGTAAGTATTATTAATCTAAATTAATACTTTAAAAAATGCTGCTTTTGATATCTGAACCAGTATTTTGTTAGTTGGAAAACTGCATGTCATCCATATTTTTATATCACTATTTAAGGAAACACTGTAGTGCCTGGAATACAAACATGTATCCCTGACACTATAGTGCCTGTGTGGCTGTTTTGGTGGGCAGCTCCCTTAAATCAGCTCATGCTTTTTTTTTTAATGCCATGCAATGCCAGTGTGCAGTTTGGGCATTTTAGACAAATAAAAAGCAGAAATATGTTCATTATAAATAGCATAGACAATCAAAAATGATAAATGAATAATTACCCATATTTTAACTGCTGTCAAACTAGTTATAGGCAGACACTGGAAGAAAAGTAGTGTACCAACCTGGGAAGAAGTCAATGTTCAATTCCTATATCAAGGGAAGATGGATTTTTTTATAAATAAAAATTCACTGCCAACTTTTTCAACTCATAAAATATGGGAAAACATATAAGAGAAATGGAATGAAAAGTTACATATATAGTCTGGGAATATAGACAAGCAGAAAAGAGTAAGGACTCATTGGGTCTCCCAAAAGTCTTCTTTTTTTTTCATTATAATGCATATTAGATGAGAAGCTGTGCTGATTACCCATGCGTTCAACTTGAATGTTTTATGTTTTAGTGATATTATATGTAGTGAGTCTTAGCAGCTAAATAATAAGAGAGACAACAAGGGATTAAAGTGCTAATACCCAATTGTACTATATATAAATGTATATTGTATTGTCTTTTAAATGAATTAATAAAGAATAATTTATTTTTTTAAGCGGAAAGATGTTAAGTGCAACTACAGCTGCATCCTGTGTTAGTAATTTCAAATTACACTAAAACTAAAAAGAAATGTGTGTGTGTGTATGGAGATATTGAGACTTTTACTGTAATGCATCACCTGCATATCTCAAATGTTGATGCATAGCTCATGTTGGACTTTAAAGAGTCTTCCTCAAGAATTGAGAAATAATGTTTCCACAACTATCCCAGAATTCCCAGCTTGTCATTGAAATGTGCACAGGCAGGCATTGTGTTTCAGCCTTCATACTGCATTTCTGCAGATACTCTTAGTATTGTACACTGTTTTAAACACAGCCTTATTTTTTTTAATTTATTTTTTTAAACCAAAGCTTGGGCTTAGATCCACGAATCAACCCACAATGAGCTACAATCCACGCATCAACCCACAATTTTAATATACCACCAAGGGAAGTACTAGAGAAACACCAGTGAGGCTTTATACAGCAGTATCTAAAGCTTAAAACATCCCATAGAGCACTCTTAAATTATGTAAAGGAACATTCCTACATTATAAATAAATACATATATTTATAACTCTGTTTTTTTTTTGTTTTTTTTTATTAATTACTCCAAAACAAGCACAATGTCTTTTAATATTCCTGACACAGAAGTTAAAAAAACTTTGGGATTCAATGTACCTTCCTATTGTTTTTTTTGACAATTTCTTTTTTATTATTTTTTTGGGTTTTTTTTGAGAGAGAGGTGAGAACAGTAACTGTTTACAGTAGTTATACAGAAGTACAGGAAGTACAGGGATTTTAAAATGTGTGGAGAGGACATGACTGTTGTATTGCCACCTTCTGTAAGTAGCTTGTTTCTGAACAATGGAGGGCCAGGTACATAATCCCAATAACATAATCCCGATAAGCACTACAGTGAGCAACCCTGCTTCTGAGCTGTTCCATTGTGCTATCTATCATTACTGTGTTTATTGTGTGTTGACGTCAGCTGCAGGCCAACGAGTTCGGGTATCAGGACTTTTACTTTCGCTTTACCTTTCCTATTTTCTCCTGTTTTTCATTACCCCCCTTTTTTGTGGGGTTACCTTCGTTTTATATGTTGATAGAGAAAGCCATAAAACATCTTTACATACAATCTGCTCATCTATTTCAATTTCTTTATATATCTGGGATAAGTTAAAAACTAAATTTGAGTTGGCACATACCCCATCTCCAACTACTTCAATTTTCTGCAATAAACGAATTACCCCGGGAATGAGACTACAGTTTTAGAATTTGAAGTCCTGAGGCGGGGCACACACTTGGAAACTCATGATTTCTTCCTTTATCAATTAATGATTCAATTAAAACATTTTTGCACTTCCTGCAGGAATCTAAGAAACAGAAATTTTGCCTCTTATGTCTTTTGAATTATTATGTAATAAAGGAATTTACAAAAAAAAGGGTCTAATCTCTTTCTTATATAGGCATCTGAGTGAAGAATAAACAAACAGAAAGATGGGACTGCGCCAATAAACAAAAAAAAAAGTCCCGGTTAAGGTATTGAAATAGAGTCCAGTGTAATAAAACTTTGGTCTTATGTTGGTCTCTGAAGTTGTAGAATTATGCTCCTTACTGATTATATGGAGGAGGATGATGGATGATGAGATGGTAAAGAGTGATCCGAAAGGTATCCAAATGAAAAAGAAGAGATAATACTCACTTTTTGTAGAGCTTAATCCAGCTCTGGTATGAATAGCTTGCAGCGGTATTATCCCCGCTTGTAGGAAGCTCACCGTATATCCTACAAGCGGGGATAATACCGCTGCAAGCTATTCATACCAGAGCTGGATTAAGCTCTACAAAAAGTGAGTATTATCTCTTCTTTTTCATTTGGATACCTTTCGGATCACTCTTTACCATCTCATCATCCATCGTCCTCCTCAATATATCAGTAAGGAGCATAATTCTACAACTTCAGAGACCAACATAAGACCAAAGTTTTATTACACTGGACTCTATTTCAATACCTTAACCAGGACTTTTTTTATTTTGTTTATTGGCGCAGTCCCATCCTTCTGTTTGTTTACTTTTCGTATTTATCTCAAGGACACTTGAGGGAGTCCTTGTTTGGGATGGCTGCCCTTTGTCTCCCTTTCTGATATACTAGCGCTGACTTCGTTCTTTGTTTTTTGTTATCTGAGTGAAGAACCCTAAATATGGGGAAACTAAGAATTAATGAATGGGAATCAGACTTGGGTGAAACTCTTAAAGGGGGGAGAGTTGGAGGAAATTTGTCAGGCTGCTGCTGCTGCAAAAAGTGTCCTGTCTCAGGAGCAAATGTATGACATTTTATTCAGATGGCATGTAACCCCAGTCTGGTTACATAAAATATGTATAGATCTGATTGACCTTTGTTAGCGACTATGTGGTCATAGAGGTACATAACTACACATGTGGTGGGATTACCAAAAACGGCATAAGGGACATATTAAGTGGAGTTTTATAGAGACCAATTGATTTGTCTCCTTGGACCTTTCTTTTATCTCGCACGAGATAAAAAAAAAAAACGTTTCAATTCAATCACAATAGCAGCTTGCAGAGTCATTGCAGCAGGTTGGCTCAAAATGGATCCCCCAAGATTACAATATGTTATTACAAAAATTAAAGATAATACGGTTATGGAGGAATTGACCTCTAAAGTCATACATTCACAGGATACCTTTTCAAAAGGCTGTAATCCCTGGAGAGAATTTACATCCAACGGTCTTTAAATTTTTTATGATTGACAATTTTGATGGGATATGCACAGTGGTATGTCCTCTCCCCCCACCCCAACCCCATCTTTTTCTTTAATTATTTCTGTTATTTTCTTTATTTTTAAAAAATAATAATAATAAGAGCAGAGCATAGATATCGAAAATATAAAATTTATTATTTCAGCAATAGACATAATAAAGAGGGAATTTACTTTATATCCTAGATACTCTAGACTATAATGCAAAATATATCAAACATATTTCATTGTTAACATCAATCTTATTTTTTTCCTTTGTCCATGATGTACTATTTATTATATGTAATGCTTTTTGCTTTTTTTTTAAATTGACAATTATCTTATACACTGTAATCTTATATGATTGCTTATTTTAAATAATTTAGAATAACTCTGGAGTGCTGTAAAGTGTATTTAGATTACTAGTGTTGCATTGTGAAACCAAAATACATTATTTAGTGGAAATGTGGATGCCATCATAGCTACTGGATTAGCCATCTTGGAGGAGGTAAAGCATTTCTAACCACATCACATGTTCTTGGTCACATATTAATTGTAAGCAACTGTCATAGAGTTTACGAATAAAGTTCTGTGCTTTTCATTCAGGGACTTTATGATAAGCTATCAGCAATATGTTGTAAAATTGTGCATAGATAAAGATATGGATATGTCATCAGTAGAGATGATTACCGTACTTTAACCATACAGGTGCGGCAATCAAATGAAACATAAGTGCAGAAGAGTGCAATGTACCTAGATATATATATTTCTTTCAGCCACCTCTCTTGCAACATTTACAGGACCAGACAGGGAATAAAAAATAGCCCTAAAAAAAAATATTAGTTGCATGTTGAGTCTTTAAAGTGGGCACATGAAATGACCAGACAAAATCACTATATTGTAAAGGACGTCATGTGAAGGGATATAAAGACTGACATCCACCATTTACTTATCTCAGTTAAGTTACAAAAAAAATATCAAATACATTGTTCTGTACAAATATAAAGACTGATCCCATGCACTGCTCTGCTCAGGTATGAAGCATTATATAGTCAGTGAATAGCCCACCCTCTATTTTTTTCTCTGGGAAAAAAAAAAGAAAACGTGCTTAAGTTCTAAAATGGTCTTATCATTTACATTTTCATTTGTTAATTACTACAGCTTCTGTAACACCCACCTCTGGTCTGTCCATGTTCCTCCTTTAGGCTTCGTTGATTTGCCATGCTTGGGTACACTTCCTCAAACAGGGAAAACCGCCATGATGCCGACACGCCAACTTTGTTGCTGGCATCTGAACAGAATGATGTCACTACACTTTATTCCTTTACACACTGGCTGGCGTTATAAGTGCCAGCTTGGGAGTTACCACAGCAACCACCGTGCATTTGTTGTGGTTGCTATGGGTGGAGAGCAGAGGGACATAATTGACTATCTGCCCAGAAACTGGGAGTCAGATGGGAGAAAACCTGATATTTAAATAGTTTTTTTTTTTTCTCCAAATCTATACATTTCCTAGCACAATGTTTAGATGTAATTTTAAGCTCCTTTAAAAGCTAAAGTCAAGAGACACATGACATGTTCCCTTTAAATTTCTGACAATTCTCGGTATAGTGACTAGGAATAAATGAATACAGACAAGTTTCACTTATATGACAGTGCTTTTCTGTGAGTCAGACTTTACAGCTAGAAAATACTTTGGAATGTTGTGTAATCTTCTTTAATCTTCCTTTTTTTTGCAGGTCATAAATGTTACTGGAATATCTATAGGTGCGGGCTTATCCTCTGCTTGTGACACACTCATATCTCAGGTATGGTTAAAGCTTACCATGAGATCTATAGTAAGGAAACATGTCTATTGTCTGTAATTCGTGAACATCTTTCCAATATCAAAGCAACACTATAGCGTTAGGAATACACATGTGCATCCCTAACGCTATAAATATAAAATGTTTGTTAGGCTCTTCAGGGATGACAAAAAGGAAAATAAGGTAAATAATAAACTTTCTGGAGGTGCACGTGCCACTCCTCTCTCTAGTGTCCTCACAACAGTCACCAAATATTACAACGAAATAAAAAATAAATATACAAGGTGCACATAGTGCCAAATGTATGTATGTATATATATATATGTACAGTCATGGGAAAAAGAAAGCACACTTCTTTGAATTCTGTGGTTTTACATATCAGGGCATAAGAGCAATCATCTGTTCATTAGGTAACTGTAACTTCAGATGAACAACAACACATGACATATTACAGCGTGTCTTGAGTTAATAAAAATGGAGAAGCCACATGTGACAAACTAAAGACACTTGTCGGGTTCACTGTTTAGTAGACAGAGCCCATGATGCAGAGGAGCGCTGAAGGCAATGGACCAAGTTCGCAGTACAAAAGGATTAGAGTTGGGAAGCCAAAGGTCAGGACAGGTGGCACAGGTTCAGAAGCGATGACACAGGCAAGGGTCAAAATCAGGATACAACAGGACAGTCACTAAAGGTCTTTACACGATCAGGAGCACAGTACAACTCAGCGAGGAATCGAGGGTGTGTGAGGGTTAAATAGGGAGAGTGTGTGGTCTTGTCTATTGTAGTTCCTCCCTGGTCTCCACCTAATGTACCTTTAAAAGGCTCTGTTTTGGCGCGCATGCGCTTGATTGATTGAGAGATGCGCTATGGGAGCGCGAAGTAGGTGAGTGTTGGAGCAAGGTCCTGCTATCACTATCTCATTCAGTAGCTTGTAGAACCGCCTTTAGCAGCAATAACTTAAAGTATTTCATTTTTTGAATGACTTTATCAGCCTTTTACATCGTTGTGGAGGAATTTTGACATACTCTTCTTTACAACATTCATTTACGTTTTTGCCATTTGTTTATGCACATCTCTTAAGGTACTGCCACAGCATTTAATTAAGGTTGAGGTAATCCTTCCCAATTTCATGGGCAGCAACAGCTACTTTTCTAAGATTATTGCTGATGTCTTTCACCCTTGGTATTGTGTTAACACACACCTTAATGCTCCAGACCAGCAAACTGTTGTTGTTGTATTTACCTAATTTTAAGACCTGCTGTCATGCTCCTGAGCAGGTCAGAGAGGAGACGATTGCAAGGGTTGTTGGTTAAAACTTTATTTGTCATATTAAACATAACAAATTTACTGAAATAAAGAATAAAGGGCAGTCTGCCACAAACAGGATACTTTGAGAAAAACAGGGTTTAGGCGATATGCCACAAACAAGATCTTTAGAAAGTAAATGAATAAAGTCTTTTTGTATACAAGCAGGCTTGAGGTTTACCAAGTAGTTAAGGATTTCCAGGATACTGCAATGCAGCTAGTTAAAAGCAAATACCTTTTAGGATAAAGCAATACAGGATCATGTATCGTTGTAGAGGTTGAAACAGGCAGGTATATTCCAAAATAATATAATGCAGGTTGCTTACGAGATGAAGGTGTTAAGATTCTTCAATGAAGGCAATACGTCACAAATCAGGATTTTTGGAAATTGATAAGGAAAGTCTTGATGTAATTCAGGCAAGTTCAGGATGAAGTAATGTAGGTTAGTGCTTTTCAGTATGAGGAAATGCAGAGGAGTACAGGATGAGGCGCTGCAGGTAAGTTCTCTACAGAATGAAATAATGTAGATAAAATACAGGATATTACCAGGAAGAGAGATTCTTTATCAGAGCATAGACTTCATCTTTATCAGAGCATAGACTTCAATGTCAAGGCACTGTTGTGTGCTTGGAGTAGACTTATCAAGCCTCCTAATTAGTTCATCTAGGTGAAGATGATGGGGTGAGAGAAAAGTTTAGTAGCTAGGAAGGCCCCTAGAGGAGAAAATCATGAAGTTCACTTAAAGGGCCAGTAACAAACGAAAATGTCTTGCATGTCAGTTTTGAAACCTGACACCTGTTAAAGAACAAATTATGTTATGTTCTTATAAAACTATAGAATTCAAAGTGTGTGTACTTTCCTCCCCCCCTTGACTGTAGATATATACTGCCAGTCTAATGTTTGTTTGCTTTTTAATACCTTTCTAGACATATGGCGGTAAAAATCTGAAACGCGTTGGGACAATCTTACAAAGAGGGGTTCTGATCCTATTACTGTTCTGTTTCCCTTGCTGGGCAATTTTCATTAATACAGAACACATCCTGCTTCTCTTCAGACAGAATCCGGATGTTGCCAGGTTAACACAACATTAATACTGTTAACAATGTTATAAGTACTGTGTGTTTGTTTCTTTGTTCGTTTGTTTGTTTGGTTTTCCAATATCTTTATTTAAAAAGTACAAAGATTTAAAGATTTCACAAAGGAGGTGCACTTTTTATATGAATAGCTATTGATAATACTTTCATGAGGATGATCCACAGCAAGTCTCTGTTGAAGAAATATATCATCAGAGAGCAGAAAGTTACAGGATAGTAAGATAGGGCACCCTGCAATCCTTATGAATAGGTATAGCAGCAAGTGAGATTTCTGGCACTTGTTCCTTATGTGTACAGCAGCTAAAACTCTCCCAAACCAGAGTCTCTTCTTTCTGGTTGTTGATGCAAGTAAAACGGGGGATGTAGGGAAGCAGCGCTTAACAATTAAAGTTCTTGTGTGGAGTCCAATGGAGCCAATATAAGGGAGAAAACAAAATGGAACAGGAATACTAATATAGTATAGTATGTCTATAACAGCAGAGGCAGAATATAAATATATTGCACTCACACTTTTCTGGAGGTTAAGATCAGCGTTTGATTTCCTCTGGTATCGTATCCCTGTGCCAATAATCCACGTGGTGTATTCCAGATGATGCTCCAGTTATATACATAGGATATAAAAGAACAGGAAAAGCATTCTCTGTATTAATAAAACAAATAAAATAAAGAGAGAAATATACTCACAATGGATGAGCAAATAGGGCTCAGTCCTTTATAGCATAGGTGGTTTGTTCCCCACCCGGGAATGTGAGATACAACTTCTCCAATAAATGATGTCCGATGAAGGTCCAGGGGGACAATGAAGATTAATTTTATTAAATAAATAAAAAGTAAGTAACACACTAACGCGTTTCACCTATACAGAAGGCTTCTGTGTAGGTGAAACGCATTAGTCAAAACCAGTCATATCTACCCCCAATTCCTTTAACCAATCAGTCATTTCTGCATGCGTGTTCCTAATATAGTCTTGTATTTCACTCAAGTCTTGTAGCTCAAGATGGATTTGGCCTGTGTTATTGTCAATGTATACACAGTATGATGTACCTAACTTGTGGCATACCTTTTCTTTGGATACCAATAAGTAATCTAGGGCCATTCTGTTTTGTAAGACTACTGTGCGGATCTGCTCTTGTTCTGCAGCAAGTAGGCTTAGTATATTTTTAGTATGATTAAATTCAAGGTCGATAGCGTCAACTAGGTTATTGATCGAGTGCCATATTTTCCATATTTCTGCGCTTGGCAAGATACCTGACCAAAAACGTACAGATTCAGAGACCTTAACAGCTTTTATCCTGTTGGAAGTCCCTCGTCTTCACCTATGCATTAATGTTAGTTTGCTTCGAGAGTTTCGAGAGTTTATTCTTCATGTATAGATCAGGTGCTATGTATCCCAAGAAACAGGGTTTATATTGCATGGTATAAACTTAGTAGCCCATCTCCCATATAACCAATACAACCGTTTAGGTAAGAGATGAATGGGAGAGCATGTTGTGGAGGTAAAGAGCGCTGAGAGCTTTAGGTGTATTTATGTTATGACTATTTGGACATATGGCAGTGTCCTGGAATCTCAGGTCTTTACTTTTTGTAAGCATGTGCATAGTGTTAACCAGCATACTATAGCATACTATTATACCACCAACGATACCCAGTGGCCTTGGATGTTAGACTATGGTGTAGGGCCATAGCTACAGACTTGCATTCTTCTAGAATTAGAGGTGGGTACCAGGAATGTATAGCCATAAAACCTTTCAGGCCCTCTGGTCTACCCCATGTCTCAGGGGCATTATAAATAAAGGAAATTACTATATTTTCAGGAGGGTCTGCTTCCTTCACTCCCATAAGGTTTACTTGCATTATGGCACTGCTCATAGGCTGGTTATCTAAGTGTACCTTTTCTTGTGAGTTTACTATCCTATTCTTTCTAGATGCCTTCCCATTATCAAATGACCAAAGCTGTCCCTGTCTCAGTAGGTCTAGTATACCTTTGAAGGCTTCGCCATATTTATTGCTTTGGGGTTTGTGTGCACAAATCCAGCAAGAATCATTTCTTCCACTCATTACATACGCTCCCTTGCATGCTTTCACAAATGTATTATGTTTTTCCATGAAGAATCTTGCAACTCTCGCTTCCGTCTATTGTGGCTGGTAAGATTGTTATCAAACAAGGGCTGGTGTGGATAGACAAACAAAGATAAAAAACAGATTATGCATATCATTATTCCTATTACTAAACATGACATGCCAAGGAGGAATCTCAGGTCTGGCTTGTATTCAGGATTCCTGCTTTTGAATCGAATTAGCTTCACTCCGTCTCCATCTCTCTGTATTTGACTCTTTGTCCGAAAGGCCAGGGGCAAATTTTACCCTGCTGCCGTGTATCCATGCTGGTTGTTGGTCTGTTATGACAGCCGTCCAAGTAACAGATATCACATTGAATGGAGGCTCAAATGGTGGTACAATGATTTTCTGCCCCCTGATTTTCTTTATCAAATCTCTGTCTCCTGGTTTAAAAGGATGTGTGGGTTCTGTAACTGGGAGAGGGAGAGACTGCGATAAATCACCATAGATGCTGTTCAACTTGTTGATTAGATTGGCAACATATTCAAGTCTTGCTACCTCAACCTCCTCCGCCATACCCTTTGTTAGTCTAAGGAGTAGGGAATGGTCTATCCATCAATATCTCAAATCCTGTTGTCTTATTAGGGGTCATCCTCATCTCAGCTAAGATGATTTGGCCAGTTCTCTTTTCTTAACTTATCTTTTATAGTCCTGTTTGTTCTTTCTACCTGCCCTCAAGACTGCAGATGGCAGGGGACATGGAATTTCCAATCAACACAAAGCAATCTGCTTATGTGTTGATTGAGCTTGCTTGTAAATGGAATTCCTTTGTCGCTATTCATTTGCAGAGGGCAGCCATATCTACAAATTATCTTCTTACCTATTATTTGTGCTACCTGTTTTGTGTCTTCCTTTCTGCAGGGAAAGGGTTCGGGCCATTTACTGAACTGGTCAACTGTGACCAGTAGGTACTGATAACCGCATTTTGCCCTTGGCATGTTTGTGAAATCAATTTGTAGTTGTTGCATCAGGCCCTCAGGTGGGGGAAGGTGTTCATGTGTTCGCCTCAGCATACTATTTGGATTATTCATTGTACATGTTAAACATCTACTTATTTGAGACTCAACCATTTCTTTTAGGTCCCTGAAAACAAATATTGTCTTTAACTCCTGGTTTGTCATTTCATTACCCTTATGTCCAAATCCATAAGAGTGTAATATGAACAGGTGTGGAGTTGCCTTTGGGAGCCCTACCCTACCCTCCTTGTCAGACCATAGGCCATGAGGGCCTCTGGTCAGACCATTTCCTTCCCAGAACAAAGTGTCTCTGGGATCGGCGTGTTTCTGTAGTGTCCGCAAGTTGGCATTTCCCGCAAATTATGGAATAATTACCATCACTTGTGGGGTCTCTGAGTCTTGGTGAAAGGAAGGGTCTAGGCATTCTGAGCCCTCCCTTACTATGAATCCGGCAGTTCTGTTTGCTAAAACATTTCCGAAGGATATTGGATCGTTACCATGTGTGTGTGCCAGACATTTGACTATGACAATTTCTGATGGCAAAAGAATTGCATCCAACAATTGGGCCATTAAGTCAGCAAATGAAATGCCCTTTCCGCCAGCTGTTATAAAGCATCTCTGTAACCTTATCCATCCCTGAATCATGCCGAAAGCGTACCTAGAGTTAGTATATATGGTGAGTGGTTTGTCCTGGAATAGTTTACATGCCTCAGTTAAAGCTTGTGCAGAAGAAACGGGCAGTGTATGGGCTTTCAAGATTAAATCCGGTAATTGGACTACTGCATATCCTGTCTGAGGGTCTAGTGCATGACCCGTCTACAAATACTACATCTCCGTGGTCCAGAGGTGTCTTGTAAGTCAGATCTGGGTCTGGTGTCCAAAGCAATAGTCTGTGTGCAATCGTGTCTCATTTCTACTACAGGTAAGTGAATAGACAATAGCCTGGTGAGAAGAAAGGCTGGGCCTGTTTCACTAATAGACAATGTGAATAGAGTAAGGAGCACAACCATAAATCTTTATATATATGAAAAAAATCTTTATTAAATGGGTATATACTATAGGACTGTCTCTTTAAATATTATCCACAGAGGTACAGAGTCATGCTATTCAAAAGCATTTACCAGAAAAGCAATGATATAAGCAAATATAAAACGCTCAATGCGTAATAAATGAATGAAAGAAATATCATGCAAACAGTCCACTATAATACTAGTATAATGAAAACCCAGACATATAAAAAAATGTAGCAAACCATACCAAATTCAGTGAGAAGTAGGGACAGAGCTAATAGACAATGACATCTGTAATTTTGACATAAGATCCCTTCCAAGCAGGCTAACTGGGCATGTAAACTATTCCAGGACAAACCAACCAGCATATGTACTGACTCTAGGTACGCTTTTGGCGTGACCCATGACTTCGGACGGATATGGCGACAGAGATGCATTATAACAACCAACGGAAAGGGCATTTCACATGCTGACTTAGTTGCCCTCGGCCAATTGAAAGGGATTCCCGATCCAGGAGTGGCAAAGACTGCCACGCTCAAAGGCATCCAGTGCGGCGATGCGACCAATCCCGGACGAACCCACATCTGTAACGAAGTAAAGATTCTCTGGGTCAGCAACTATACTCTTTCATGCCATGGACTTTAATCAATTTGGAATTCTCTGCATTTCTCCTTATCTCCAACCAGCTGGTGAGGAGCCCCAATGAATAAGACATTACAACGTAAGGTTCATGGTGACTTCTGACATTTAACAGGTGGTACAATAGCAGAGGAAACAGGGGTGGTCTTATAAACATTATCCAATAATAACATAATTTGTCTATCTTATATTAAGATATTGTAACCTATAGCTAGCTTGCAGGTGTAATGGTGGAGTATTCATTATGCTTATATTACGATACATGGTCAAACCTCGCACTAAGCTAAGTTTCAGTTTAACTACACAGTTATAAATAAAGTTACTACTCACTTACAAAAATAGAAATGTTACTACGCAGTTAGAAATATAGCAGTACAAAACAGGAAATATGACCAACGCACTGAGACAGGAAAGTTCATAGCTCTATGTCAAGGGGTTTATTCACTAGTAGAGTTGAGTGAACCCGGACTGTAAAGTTCGGGTTCGTACCGAACATTACGGTTTTTGGACCCCGGACCCGAACACGGACATATCATTGTATGTTTGGGTTAGAGTTCAGTGTTCGGCAATTTAATGGCGCGTTTTCAAAGGCTGCAAGTGTTTGACTGGTGTGCCCTTAGAAGCCATCACAGCCATGCCTACTAATGGCATGGCTGTGATTGGCCAGTGCAGCATCTGACCAAGCCTCTATATGTAAGCTGGAGTCGCATAGCGCTGCACGCACATGAGCTCTTATTAGTGTAGGGAGAGGATGCTGCAGCTGTGAGGGACAGCTTAGGAAAGAATTCTCCAGACTAGTACATTAGTGGGGTGCACTTTATATCTGAGAGACAAATAGAAGCTTCAAATACTGCTGTCACATTGCAGTTTTAAAACTTAAAATTTTTTGGGTGCTAAACTGCTAAATAGTATTTTAGTGGAGTGCACTTCATATCTGAGAGTCAAATCGAAGCTTACAGTGCAGTTGTAAACATTTTAATTGTTTTGGTGCTAAACTGCTGAATAGTACATTTTGGGGCCTGCTCTTCATATCTGAGAGTCAAATCGAAGCGTCTAATAGTGTGCTTACAGCGCACTTGTAAACATTCTAATTGTTTGTGGACATGCAAGGACTACCGCAGCACGTCTCTGATGATGACCAAACACAGATGCCAACTGCTGTGGCTTTCGGCAGTGTGCAGACTGGTAAGGAGGGTAGGGTTGAGGAGTGGGTGGAAGATGATGTGGAGGATGATGAGGTCCTAGACCCCACATGGAATGATGGTCATGTGAGTGACGTGTCCAGTTTGGAGGAAGAGGCAGTGGTCGCACAGAGGCACCAGCACAGCATAGGAGGGAGCTGGGTGCAAAAGCGGAGCCATCCCCTAGGGACTGAGCACACCAAGGCCAGCTCCAAGGAGTTCCCTGGCATGGCAGTTCTTCAGACAATGTGCTGACGACAAGACACAAGTGGTTTGCACGCTGTGCAATCAGAGCCTGAAGCGAGGCATAAACGTGCTAAACCTGAGCACAACCTGCATGACCAGGCATCTACATGCAAAGCACGAGCTGCAGTGGAGTAAGCACCTCAAAAACCAAGAAAGGTCTCAGGCTCCTCTTGCTTCCTCTTTTGCTGCTGTCTCGGCCTCTTCCTCCACCTCTGGAGTGACAGTGGCACCTGCCACCCAGCAAACAGAGAATGTGGCAGCAACGCCACCACGTCCGCCACGGTCCCCAAGCATCTCCACACTGTTCCATGGAAGCGTTCAGCTGTCCATCTTCCAAACACTGGAGAGAAAGAGGAAGTACCCACCCGCGATCCCTAGCCCTGAATGCCAGCATTTCAAAATTCGTGGCCTTTGAAATGCTGTCATTCCGTCTGGTGGAGACGGACAGTTTTAAAAACCTGATGGCAGTGGCTGTCCCACAGTACGTGGTTCCCAGCCGCCACTACTTTTCCAGGCGAGCCATCCATTCCCTGCACAACCAATTGGCGGACAAAATCAGGTGTGCACTGCGCAACTCCATCAGTGGCAAGGTCCATATAACCATAGATACGTGGACCAGTAAGCACGGGCAGGGACGCTATATCTCCCTAACTGCACACTGGGCAAATGTAGTGGCGGCTGGGCCTGAGGAGGATAGCAGTTTGGCACATGTCCTTCTGACACCGAGGATTGCAGGGCATTTTTCTTTGCCTCCTGTTGCCTCCTCCTACTCCACTTCCTCCTCCTCTACCACCACCTCATCCGGGGAGTGTAACACCTTCATCACCAACTTCAGCACAGCCAGGGGGAAACGACAGCAGGCTGTTTTAAAACTCATACGTTTGGGGGAAAACCCCCACACCGCGCAGGATCTGTGGACTGGCATGGAACAACAGACCAATGAGTGGTTGCTGCCACTGAGCCTCAAGCCCGGCGATAATGGGCGATATCTCGTAGCAGCTCTGAGCCTAGCCGGTTTGACGCACATCCCTTGCCTGGCGCATGTGCTGAATTTGGTGGTGCAGAAATTCCTGAAAAACCACCCAGATATATCAGAGCTGCTGCAGAAAGTGCGGGCCGTCTGTGCCCGCTTTCGGTGTTCTCACCCTGCTGCTGCTCGCTTGTCTGTGCTGCAGCGTAACTTCAGCCTTCCTGCTCACCGCCTCATATGCGACATGCCCACAAGGTGGAACTCCACCTTGCACATGCTGGAGAGACTGTGCGAGCAGCAGCAGGCGATAGTGGAGTTTCAGATGCAGCACGCACGGGTCAGTCACTCTGCGGAACAGCACCACTTCACCACCAATTAGTGGACCTCCATGCGAGACCTGTGTGCCATTTTGCACTGTTTCGAGTACTCCACCAACATGGCCAGTGCCGATGATGCCGTTCTCAGCCTTACTATCCCGCTTCTATGTCTCCTTGAAAAAACGCTTCGGGCGATGATGGAAGAGGATGTGGCACAGGAGGAAGAGGAGGAGGAAGAGGGGTCATTTCCACGGTTATCAGGCCAGTCATTCACAAGTGACTTGGAGGGTGGGTTCCTGCACCAGCATAGGCCAGGTACACAATTGTCCATCCAGGGCACAGTTCTGGAGGATGATGAGGAGGAGGAGGATGAATCATGTTCACAGCAGGGTGGCACCCAACGCAGCTCATGGGCATCACTGGAGCGTGGCTGAGGGGATACGGAGGACACAGACGATACACCTCCCACAGAGGACAACTTGTCCTTGCCTCTGGGCAGCCTGGCACACATGAGCGATTACATGCTGCAGTGCCTGCGCAACAACTGCCGAGTTGCCCACATTCTAACTTATGTTGATTACTGGGTGGCCACCCTGCTGTATCCCCGTTACAAGGACAACATGCCGTCCTTAATTCCCTCACTGGAGTGTGGTCGGAAGATGCGTGACTACAAGCGCACGCTGGTAGACGCGCTGCTGAGGGCATTCCCAACTGACACCAGGGGCTCAGTGGAAGCACAAGGCAAAGGCAGAGGAGGAGGAAGAGGTCGCCAACGCAGCTGGGGCACCGCCAGCACCTCAGAAGGTAGGGTTAGCATGCCACAACAACCAGCACCACCATCTGATATAGAACGTCTTAGCAGGAGGCAGCATTTCAGCAACATGGTGGAACAGTACATAGTAAATAAAACTCCTAAATCACATAAGGGAAAAAAATAAATAAAGTAATAAAGAAATATGGCCCTATTGTTTGGATAACATAAAAAGATAACAGAAATAAATAAATAATAAGAATTCAATAATATCACTCCGTGAGTCAGTGGTAGTTAGAAGTAAGAGGAAATACTGCATAGAGTAGTATTTCTTCTAGGGGAGCCTTAACGGCGAAACCCGCGTCGGGTTTGGCTTCTATGATGAGGGAAGACATGCTTTAATATATTCAGACTATACCACCCATACAAGATTTATTATTTTATTTTATATTTATTTAATTTGCAACTTTTTTTTTTTCTATTCTTTATTCCAGTTTTCGTTCTGTGATTTCTAAATATACCACATTTACTCTACTTAAAGGAGGGGAAGTGGTTACTAGTATTTTTTAAGGGGTGCCCTTGAAGGCACAGCAGAGTAGGGAAGCTAGTCTCTCCACTTTTAGCTTTCTCTCCTGCCTAGATATACAATCTTCTCCAGTGCTTGCCGTTCTGCTAGTATTCAAACCGCATTTATCTTTTTCCCTCCTCTCTATTTATTAGACTGGCAACATTTGTTACTTTTGCTAGCAGTTACATTTGATGTTATTCTGTATCTACTCTATGCAGTATTTCCTCTTACTTCTAACTACCACCGACTCACAGAGTGATATTATTGAATTCTTATTATTTATTTCTTTCTGTTATCTTTTTATGTTATCCAAACAATAGGACTATATTTCTTTATTACTTTATGTATTCTTTCCTTATGTGATTTAGGAGTTTTATTTACTCCCATATAAGCAGAAGTTATATTTACTCTGCTTATTCTTATTTTTTTATTACATCAATTTTTTACACTATATTAATTAAAAGTGACATTTTATCTGGGTTACGCGTATTTCAGAAGTGTTCACCTACTAAATGGTTCACCCTTTTGTTTCTTCTCTCTATTCTTTAGTTCATACTTTTAGTCCTTACTCAGAAATTGTGCCCCCCTATGAGTATAGATGAAAGGCAGCAAATACCTTCAAGAAAGTTTAGAAATAAAACATTTTGACAAGATAGGCTTTCAGTATGCAGTCAGTAGTGGACTGGGGTAATGAAAGAGCCAGATATCTGTTCCTAAGTAAGCACTGTCATACCTAAAGGGACACTAGGCATCCAGGAAAAGAAGGATGTGAGTCCAAAATATCTACTGTTCCTTATGGACAGTATGGACGCTTGGAAGGTAATATAACAGTGAATTTGTGGCACAGAAATAGTGAAATGCAACTAATATTTGCCACACGAGGACTGTTAAATAGTATTAATGTGGACCAAGTTTTGCATGCCATATTAGGCTGCTGACTTTTTATTTCATATTATTTATTTACAACCCAAATATCTAGTCCCCAAGGCTGGGAGAAAAACTAACATTCACATGCATATTATTTTATTGCCTTTTAATTTCTAATTTATTGAGACGTTTTGGAACAGATAAAAAACTGAAATAACTGTACAAAAAGTCATTGAAGTTAATTATTTCTAAAATTCTAGAATAATGTGTCACAGATGTTAATTAATCTGTCTTTTACATGATTAGGCATGCCTAAACTTTATGCCTGTCTTTTGCTTTCAGCTTTGCATGTTACAAAAGTATTTTATTAATGAAACACAGAATCTTGGTTTAACAAAGTAATGCTTAACTATGTGCAACAATTTTATTCTCTTGCAGGTTAACACAGCTGTATGTGATGATTTTTATCCCAGCCCTTCCTGTAAGTTTTTTTTCAGATTTTTATTTCATGTATGTTAATCTAAAATCAGCGTGCTTTGGATATAAAATCATATCATAGACCATGTTTATGGGGAATTCGCTGTTAACTTCTTTACATAAGGCAAGAGACTGGCGTTAAAGGGATGCTATGGTCATCAGACTTAATAAAGTTGCTCTGGTGTGTATAGTATGTCCCTGCTGACTTTTTAATGTGAACACTGCTTTTTTGGAGTCGCAATAGCCTCCCAATGTTTTCCTATGGGAAAGTATTGGATTGGTTGAGATTGTCAAGTTTGGCTGGGCCAATTTCGAGGAGACACATGTGGCGCTAAAAATAAGGTGAGTAAATCACCTTTACTTTACTGACAGGTAAGCAACCTCCAAATTAGCTAAGGACTAACACACTCTTTTTGTTTTTAACTTTCATATCTGGGAATGGGCAGTCGTGTAGTTGGTGGTCCCTGCTTTACTAACCTACTCTCCCTCTGACAGAATCTAGATAAGCTGGTATTTTTCTACTGGTGGGGGTGGGGGTGGGTCAGGGGGGATTTACACTCATGTGTCTAATGTCTAATTATTTGGATCCAACACTGATTAAATGAAGAGATACATTTAGTGCAATTTTATAACTCCTCAAAATTACTAACTCTATATAATACTAATATCCTTTAGTGACTTGTTTAATAGTGTATGTCTTTTATATAAGACCTCTCTGCTTTTTTCTAATTGGTCTAATTATTCAATGCCATTTCTAATTGTTTAAACTCTACATTGTCTCTCTAGAAATGTGTATCCCCAGTTTATATAGAGAGACAAATGGCTGTTAGATACATTGTATAATTTTGAGAAGTTCAGAAACCTACACCAACTAAATTTACTCTAAGAGGAATACTTGATACATTTTGAATACATTTAATACCTTTACTGAGATCATCTTTAAATCCCATTCCTTTTTAAAAACTTTACCAAACTCTTTGGTTATTTCACTTTAGGTAGCACATTTTAATTTTTGTGTGTTGACATTATTAATAAAAGGTATTACCAATAATGATATTTTGAAGCGGCACTGTCATGCCGAACTTACCTTTCCCCAATCGATTCCTCTTCTCTCCCTCTCTCGGTATCTTATTCATTTCTTCCTATCTGCTCTAGTTTTCTTTAAAAAATAAGACAAAGTAGAGACTATTTTTCTTCTGGAGGTTTCCTACACCATGACCAGCTATGACCAACGGAGGAGCAAAGGGTGCTTCGTTTCCGGTGGTCAGAGCAATTTTCCCACAATCCTTAGCTTTCCTCCCTGTTCCCGCGATGCTTCCTGCCAGTATTGCCGAACGTCCTGTCACAGACAGAACGTCGGCAAAACTGCCGAATTGCATTCTAACAGAATGAGAACAGTTTCTCTATTCGTGTTAGAACACAATTCGGGACTTTGTTCGGATTCGCAATTTCATTCGAATGAATGAAACTCCGATCCTATTCGTGCTATGGCTGCATCTTGCAGCCGCTTAGCAGATAACTCCCTAATTCCCACGGTATTAGGGAGCTTTCTACCAAATGCTGAAAGACCTAAATTGGTCTTTCAGCCAACTTTACTAATACTAACTAAAGATTACTTAGTATTAGTAAATTCTTCTTGTGATTGTATCAGGCTACCACTTCTGATGTCAGCAGGCAGTGGGCAGGTCTAAAGGAAACAGGGACATGTGAGCAGCTGCAAAATTGAATACAAGTAAGATTTTTCTTTTATTAAGGAGTCATTAGGGGACCAGGGTGAACAGATGGTGGTTTTAACCCAATAGGGTCAGGAATACATGTTTGTGTTCCTGACCCTATAGTGCTCCTTTAAGCACCATAACTCAGCTCAGGCAGCAGTCTTGGGTGCCATCACACTGTTTGGGAGCCGTTTGACAAAAACTAGAGCTTGCTCAGGCACTCAGAGACTGCGCCCTCTCTTGCTGCCGTCATAGTGCCGATTTACACTTCTGCATTATCAATATTAATACAATCCAATGCTTTGTTAACCTCCTAGCCAGCATTCTCAGCCTAGTATTGCCATTATCAGTGCAGCTAAAGAAGAGAAGGTGTATGGGTGCAAGGAAGCGTAGGCAAAAAATAGGAATGGCATCCACAGAAACATATCCACTGCAGGGAGCTGTAGTGGTTATGGTGCTTATAGTGCTTGTTTGAAAATAAATAAAATCAACAGAGTCTGATTCCCACCTGAAGTCTTCTAAGATTTTTTTTTTCTTATAATACCACCGTATATAAGCAACATTTTAATCCTAGGTTTGGCTGTTTTTGGAGTCTTGAAGTGCTGAGGTTTTTTTATGTATTACCAAACTGAGTCAAGACAAGATATTTTTACATGTGCCTCTTACTAGTTATGTGTCTCATCTTTTCAGGACGGGGGCTGATATTGACAACAAGAGTGGATGCTCGAGTCCCCTTTGCCTTCATGTAGCTGCTGATTGTTAGTTTTGAGGGAAAAAGGTAGTTTTTGCCTGATTATGAGAGTTTTGTTGTGGAGCCGAGGTGCCCCACGTCCATCCGGCTCGACGGGCAGGCCCCGCCACCCCTCCTGGCTGTGACTTACACAGCAGCCATGTAGAATTCTGTTTAATTTTAATCAGATTGTACAACACAGTATGTTTACTTTAGAAGCTCTTATCTCCTGCTCTGTTAATAGAACCTTAATCTGTGGGCCATAGCAGGCAATTAACAGACCAGAAGATAAGGAATTCCAAATTAAACACGCTGTGCAAAATAATTTAGGCTCTTGGTCAGGAAGTGTGTAGGATGGCTGTGTGAGCCACAGCCAAGAAATGTGTGGCAAGGGCTGCATAAACAAAGTAATGAATTGAATGGACACTATTGGCACCCAGGCAACTTTATCTCATTTAAATGGTCTGGGTGCAGTGTCCCTGTCCCCCTTTATCCTGCAATGTAAAACATTGCAGTTTTAGAGAAACAGCTATTTTTACATTGCAGTACTAAGACTGCCTCTTGTGGCTGTCTACCAGAAAGCAACTCGTTATGAGTTTGATTCCATGAAACAACACTGGACGTCCTCACGCTTTGCTTGAGGACATCCAGCGTTAGTGAAAATCCCATAGGAAAGCATTGCATTTCTATGAGCAATGCTACATGGTAGTCTGGCTTCTCTGTTTAAGTTCCTGATTTTTCTTACTATGTTGATTGTCTATTTACTTGCTATTGAAAATAACTCAGGAGCATATATTTTCCTACAGCTGTGTGAGATCTTACTCAATTTCCTCAGGCCATCACTTCATAATTCCCCCTGCTACCTCTTGTCTCAAATTCCCAGGGCCTTCTTTACCTTTTGTATTGGTCTGTGCATACTGTATGTTTTACCCTAATTGTACAGTGCTGCGGAATATGTTGTCGCTTTATAAATTCCAGTAATAAATAAATAAGCATATACACGCTCAGTTTACCAGTTGCATGGGATCTTTTATCCAGCCTGTTACAAATCACTAGAGAATGTGTTGACGCCTTTTGGATTCAATTTATCTATTGGAGTATGAAATATTATTGCAAGATATCCATCTGACAATAGAACAGTATGTACTGTTTTCCTGTTGAAATATGCGATTCATTCCCATTTAATCTCTCATGATTTGCTATTTCAGGCTGTGTTCCTTTATCAACTACAGACGCGCTATTTACAAAATCAGGTAATTAATTGCCAGGATGAGTAGAACTACGTTCCTGTCACTTTTGTCATCATTACCATGTAATTTTAAAATATTCTAAGGATATATAATTAGTGTGCTTATTAGTTTAACATTAAATGTGTTTTATGATGACATTGGCAAAAACCTTGCTACAGTAGCATTACACAGACATGTTATACATACAGTACCTGGGTCAACCTTTGTTCAGTCAAAAGAAAAAAGCTGTTTGACATGTTGACAGTTATACACTAAAGTGAAATTGTCTGCAACTCCAAACATAGAGGATTCAATGACCTGTCTGAGTTCAATATTAAAACATAGCTTCTGAATCTGAACCTGATAAATGGGGACTCTGTTGAACATAGCCATGTCTGGGCCACATTTGTTTAAATTTTCTCCGAATTGTAGTTGCCTCAATTGGTGTTAAAGGAACAAATCTGTATTCCTAGCATTATTCCTGTCTCTATTAATATTAGGTCCCCCCATTCAGCATAGAAACGATTAAAAACCCTTGTTTTACTTGCCTTGTTTCCAGTGCTGAGGCTCCCTCTGCGCTTCTCACCTCTTCTCCCCAGCCGTGTTCTTTTGTCGACTAACAATTTTAGTCGATTGAAATGTTTGAGATTTAGTCAACTAAAACAATTAAAAGACCACTATAGTGCCAGGAAAACATACTCGTTTTCCTTGCTCTATAGGGTTCTTGGGTCCCCCTTACCCTCTGGGTCCCACTCCCGCCGGGCTCTAGGGGGAGGAAGGGGTTAAATCCATACCTTTTTCCAGCGCCAGGCTCCCTCAGCGCTGGGGACTCTCCTCCCTTTTCTGACGTCATCGGCTGAATGCGCATGTGCGGCAAGAGCCGCACGCGCATTCAGCCAGTCTCATAGGAAAGCATTCTCAATGAGACAGCCACTAGAGGCTGGATTAACCCATTTGTAAGCATAGCAGTTTCTCTGAAACTGCTATGTTTACAGTAGGCAGGGTTAATCCTAGATGGACCTGGCACCCAGACCACTTCCTTAAGCTGAAGTGGTCTGGGTGCCTATAGTGGTCCTTTAAGATGACTAAAATACGAATAAAACTAAAAAGGCATTTTAGTCAAAAGACTATAACTAAAACTAAATTGAAATTTGCTGCCAAAATTAACACTGCTCCACAGGCGCAGACAAATAGGAAGCAGAGTCTCAATGCTCCTTGTAGTGAGTGGCTAGTGCACATTCATACTTGTGTTTGAGCTTACTAAAAGATCCCTACAGCCATTCTAGAAGTATTTTGGGACTTAGGCCCATTTCCATTCAACTCAGAGATTTTAAAGAGACCATGTGTAGACTGTGACATTTGTATTGGTGTAATTTTCACTGCAGAGCAAACTTGTTGAATTTACTTGTATATCTATTGTACAGTGCTGCACGAAATGGTGACCCTTTATAATTAATAATAATATGAATTGTACAAATTAAGAATTAATATAACTACATGTTTTGTTTTGTTTTTTTCTTGTTTTACAACAAGCAAGTATTTGTGTATTTATGTGCGATTTTAGGGTATAATATGGCCTCAGGTTCTTACTGGAATTGCTGTAAACATCATCAATGCTTCAATCAATGCCATCCTTCTGTATGTCCTAAAGCTTGGAGTAGTGTAAGTCTATTTACATATCAATATAGTTAAATAAATAGATAAATAAACCGTATAATAGTATGTGGGCATTTCTGTTCAGCAGACTCATGGGAGCATTTTAGTTTATGTAATTTTCAGTGCAAAGAGAATGAAGCAGTGAAATCCAGCAATCTTCTGTATCACAATTTAACAGTGCACATAGATGCTTAGATAATGATTGTCTCCATCAGCTAATTAAAGGATCACTATAGTGTCAGGAAAACAAAACCCCTTCAGTCACTTACTTTAAACCAGCGCCGGTGCTGGTGACCTCGCTTCCTCGTCCGACGTCAGCTCCTCCGTCACTGGAGCTAAATGCAAATGCACAAGTATTTCTCAATGCTTTCCTACGGACGCTCTGCACGATGGAGGCGAAATTAGCCTCCTGCGTCACAGATGCGCCTCTAGTGGCTGTCCGGAAGACAGCCACCAGAGGCTGGATTAACCCCAAATGTAAACATAGCAGTTTCCCTGAAACTGGTATGTTTACATATGAAGGGTTAAAACCTGAGGGTTGAAGTGGTCTGGGTGACTATAGTGTCCCTTTAAGTTCAAATCACAATATCTGTTGTTATATAGTGACTTTTGATGTTGCCTTACAGGGGTTCAGCTGTAGCAAATGCAATTTCTCAAACTGCGATGTCTGCTCTGCTCTTCACCTACATAGTTATGAAAAAGCTGCATGTAGAAACATGGGATGGTAAGTGGTCATTAAATACTATTGTTTATAAAGTGATTATTAAACATAAGCATGCAAAGACTTAAATGGTCTGCTACATGTTCTGCGATAGGAATTAGAAATATGTAAAAAGCCAAACACGTAAAGACACAGCAGAACATCTCTTTCTTTCATGAAACTATAGGCAAAACATTCAAGCTGCTGGTTTGTAAGGCTAATGCCTGTCCAAAATAATTGTTTCCAGTTGTATGTGGTAGGAATGATCTAAGTTGGATCACAGTTATGATATAAACATGTTCACTTGCCACAAATCTTTACAGTCCTATGAATTAACATTTTTGGTTGTTCCTGCAGCCTTTCGTTATCAGTAAAATATAAGGCTTTTTCCTATGAGCCTTTAGAATGCACTATAATATTTGCATTACTTTTTGTCAACGTGTGCCCTTATATGGCTTTACTTAGGAATTAGTGACTCCACATGTGAGTTAATTAGTAGATGCCGTGACTACTATTGCATGGTTAAGGATTTTTTCTTGGATGTGTCTGTTTGTAGGTGTTGCAATGAGGGAGGGTTGGGGGTACAAATCCCCAGTTTACATCTAGAATGGCTAGTTGCAAATCATGATACACGTTGGGAACATTACTTTAAAATTATATTTGTGAAAGATAAAACAACTCAGTCGACAGGTCAGCCTATTACTTTCTTTTCAGGTTGGTCCAAAGCCTGCCTCCAGGAATGGGGTCCTTTTATACGACTTGCTATACCTAGCATGCTTATGATGTGCATAGAGTGGTGGAGCTTTGAACTTGGAGGATTCTTAGCAGGTCAGTATTCATCAGTCTCTTTAAAAATACACATGTAATTTTTAGCTTTTCAAAAATGTTCATGAATTATTTTTTCTGTTAGTTTTTATATATGTATATCAGAATAGGACTAATATATTTCCCAGTGTTGCAGTAATTCCATTAATTGTAACTATACTTTGGTTATGTATTTATTTGTGTTTATGTCTGTTTAGGTCTTATCAGCGTGGTGGAACTTGGGGCACAAGCCATAATGCTGGAATTGGCAACTGCAGCTTACATGGCAAGTTCTTCATTTAATATGTTCGGATGAAGAGATTGGATGAAAGACACCGGTTTTAAGCCAGTCACTAACAGTTTTTGTCAATTTGCGATCTAGGGATTCTGAAAATGTGCTACAAAATAGCTATTGGTATATTCTAAAATATACACATAGGGCTATTAACTAAACCGACTAAGCACATTTTCACAAATTAAGTTTTAAAAACTGGAAACACTGAGGCAAAAAAGTTGATCTGAAAAAACTCAGCCATATTAGCAACTTGGCTATTTTGAGTTAAGTGAATAATCTTTACAGGTAATGGTGAGTTCGCAATAGATAATAGGACAAAATGTAAAGAATTAAAAAAACAAGATACAAAAAAGGGGCATCTAGCGCTAAAAAAAAATATATATATATATATCTGTTATATATTATATATATATATATCTCTGTTATTTATATATATATATATATATATATATATATGGTGATGAAGTATTTTCCTTTACTTTTATATATATATATATATATATTTGTGTTCTGGGCATTCTCATTTGATATAGAATAAGATTGGTTGTAGAGATGTAGCTTTAGGAATAATCAGTTGAGGTTTGCCGAAACCAATGTATGCTGTAGGCCGGTAAAAAGTGGGCTTACATAGAGGAAATATGAACAATGGAAGTGGAGGGTGGGGCTATTCGCCTGACCAACAAAGGTAACTAGTGAAAGGGGGGAGTCCCTTTTATAGGTCTATAGCCCCTCCCACAACTTCAGGCCATGCCTTCCAATTTGTGTTCGGGGCATTCTCATTTGACATAGAATAAGATGGGTTGTAGAGAGGTAGCTTTAGGAATAATAAGTTGAGGTGTGCCTAAACCGACGTATGCTGTAGGCCGGTAAAAAGTGGTCAAAAAGAGACATATTAATGCAAAACATTATACAGGATCATAGTGCATTTGTTAACCATCAGGTAGACATTTTAATGAAAGCTTCCTAATTCCTGAATTGGTTGTGGTATGTAAGTCGCATAAGCCTATGATTCCCGGCGGCTCTGTGTCTTAACGTGTGCTGGGATGTCTTGGCTATAGGCCGTGGAGGCTGCTCCTATCCTAAAAGAGTGCCCTGAGTAGTCGCTAGGTTTTAGTTCGAGCCCGGTGAATGAGTAGGTGGACATAGTGCATGAACATACCTGTGGTAAGGACAGTATAGTACAGCGACAGTAATGGTTCAGTGGTGCGTATGGTGGCGTGCCCAAGAACGTAACCAGTACCTTAACCGGGCACCCAGAATTGCTTGTAAGGTAGTAGGTTATATGCACTGGCTCGCCCATCTGACTCGTCTTAGTTTTAGGAAGGGACCGGACATAGTGGTCTGTGTGTTTTTAGAAGATAAGAGGTCAACAGGCACTCTTGTTTATGTTGTTGGCTGCTGATAGTGAGTTATTTTTTTGGCCTGAGAAAGTCGTTAAAGGCTAGATAGGTAGCAGTTTTGATAACTGCATTGGTGCGTGGCTTGGAAGGTGCATGGTCGAGTGGTTCTGACATGGTTTGAACATTGTATGTCCATGGCCAGTATTTAGTTTTAGCAGGAATGTCCGCTTGGCTATGTCTCTAAGTAAGGTATGGATGGGGTAGGAGGATAGGAACCCTTGTTGTTTGGGAAGGAGAAATACATATGAATTGAATGCCCGTGAGATAAAGTTTAACTGTGTTGTGCGAGAATTATTAACTTATGGTGGCAAAAAGAGGCGAAGGCCATAAGTGGTAAAACCTCAAACCATCCATCTAAGTGATGGTCTGACATGAAACGTATTGAAAGTGGAAAAAACCCTGTAGCAAGCGTGTTGAGTGCGGGTGGACAAAGCCAGTTTAGTCAGAGCCCAGCTATGTTGGCGAGGTTCATGTAATCCATGACCTTAACCATAAATGACCCCCCTGCCATGGCGGCTGTCACAGCAGCTGCCACAATAGTTTACCATTACGTGTGGTTAAGAAAGTCCACCATATGTGTAGGTCTGCCGTGGCTTGGTTGTCTAGGGACAGCCCCTGATCATCATGCGGGAGTGTGGAAAAAGCAAAGTGGTCTGAGATGAAAGCGTGGCCTGCGGTATGATGCGCATGGCAAAATTTAAGGAACCTGGTAGGGATTGTAGTTCCATGCAGTTGCAAGTACCAAGCAGGGGGTGGTAATCTCGGGAGTGAATGACTGTGGGGCATCTGGATATGTTTAACCACAACCAGCAAAGAGTTCAACGAATATATTGAAAATTGTGGGCTGCTCTTGACCCGAAAGTTAAGCGGGAGAAGAAATATTAACTGCTGCCCATAAATGACCTGTAAGTGCCAGTGTAGGGTGGATGGTGGCAGTCTGAAATGCGTTTGTGATATCAGTTTTACTTAACCAGGCTTCCCCCCCTGCTTGAGTGATTGCTGTAGTGGTATGAACAATGGTGGCATACTGTAATGAAAACTCCTCGGAGGGTATGAGGGAGTTGAGACTTGGGGTAGCAGAGTCATGAGGTGCAGATAAGTCTATGATCAGTTACAGTGTGAGGGAAGATTCCCTGTGACAATCCCAATGGGATTGCGCCACGCTGTAAATGGTGTAGATCGGAGAGACCCAGGTAGAAATCTTTCTGCCATTTCTTGGGTCATGAGTGTAATGCCAGCTGTTGGATGCTGCTGTGATGACTGCAAGTTAGTGCATTTTAGATTCCCCCAAAAGTATATGGCAATACCTGTACGGAAGGCCTTTAACATCGGAGATTAGGAAATCAACTAAATGTCTGGAAAGGTGATGAGTTAGAAAGTACTGGAAATGCATAATGTTTACAGACATGAAGTAAGGTTCAGGGTACATTTATTGGGACACATGGTTTTTGCATGTGCCCTGACATATTGAGAACATATCTGCAACAGTCTGCATGCACTGAAACTACATGTGCCAACATGGAAATTGTTGCAAATCTGGGATTTGCCACAGAGAATGAGACAACCCAATTTGTCTCTGGTAGTTCTCTACGTACTACCAGAGGTGCTAGAGCCTGGAGCCTGAAACGTGATCGTCCGCTGTGGTGGGACAAAATTGTTGTGTGGGACTAGCAACATTTCCTCCAAGTGAAAGTGTGTTGACTCTAGCTGGAGTGTTAGGTAGAAAGAAATCCTTACCACCTGCTTGATACATACTAAAAAAAACATGAAGATTGCCATTATTATATGAACCCACAGTGTGCTAGTACTGGCTTGCTAGCTAAAACCGCATGGCGAAACAATTACTCCTTTGTTTGATGACAGGTGAGGCCGTGCTAGTTGCCAAGTGGCTTGAGAGGCTCGATCTATGCAATGGCGCAAAGGGATTTTTGTGGCCACCAAACGTAGTGGCAGGATGTTGGCCTCTCGGTGACTGTAACCAGAAAAAGGGGAAGGGAGTGACAGGTGAGGCCCTCTCTATATAGCATGTGAGGCGGCTAGCTCATGAGTGGCCCGATTTGGGTGTTTGCCTCCGAGCGTTGAGGCAGGGTGTTGGCCTCACGGGACCACTATATGACAGGCGTAGATGCCAAGAAAGGAGAATACCTATTGGAAACCTATAGTCCCTAATTGCCAGTACGCTAAGGATATACCCAGGGGGAAATAGAAAATGTATGTATATACCACATGAGCAGGTGTATGTACCTGGTAGTATGATTAGATACCCTTACTGGTTGTAAGGGTTTTTAATACCTGTATCCCGGATGGGTAAAACAATGTATGAAAATTGAATATAGACATTTAAAAGCGTATACCCATATGTGTGTTATGCAAGTTTAATAGAGAAAAGTGCTCCGTCCCAGTGTTTATTGTATGCTTGTAAAGCCCCTGTTTGAAGGAAATTAACTTGCCAGGAGTGTTATATCATGTGTGATATGGAATACTACTGTACCCCGAAACATGAGTGTAGTGAACCATGACTGGCAGCTGAATAACCTAATATGTGAAAATACATAATTGGAAGGACTTATATTTTAAGCGTGCAAACATGCAAATATTCTGTATTAGACTCTGGAATCCTGCATAATGCTTTAAATAGTATGTGCATTCTTGGGTAAATGTATGCGTGTTGTCAGTAAATGTAACTAAATGCCTTTGTAGGCAGGTATGCAGGAATGATTATATCATAGCAAGCATGCGTTGTAAGGAAGTGTTATTGTGTAATTATAATTATAGTGGGAATGTTATGAGGGGAATAATCATATGTCTGAAACGCCTGTAGTATACCGTTTGACAAATAGAAGTAAGTATAAAAGCGAAAATGCTGTAGTTTGTTTGCTTATAAAGTGAAATAAAGTCTGAGAAGCCTGTAGTATACCGATTGACTGGTAGGGGTCAGCATGTAGGCGAAAATACAGTGGTTCGTTGGTTTGTATATGAAATGCAATAATGTCTGAGAAGCCTGTAGTACACCGAATGACCAGTAGGGGTCAGTGTGTAGGCGCAAATGCAGTGGTTCGTTGGTTTGTACATGAAATGCAATAATGTCTGAGAAGCCTGTAGTACACTGAATGACCGGTAGGGGTCAGTGTGTAGGTGAAAAATGCAGTGGTTCGTTGGTTTGTACATGAAATGCAATAATGTCTGAGAAGCCTGTAGTACATTGAATGACCGGTAGGGGTCAGAGTGTAGGCGCCAATGCAGTGGTTCGGTGATTTGTACATGAAATGCAATAATATCTGAGAAGCCTGTAGTACACTGAATGACCGGTAGGGGTCAATGTGTAGGTGAAAATGCAGTGGTTTATTGGTTTGTACATGAAATGAAACAAAGTCTAAGAAGCCTGTAGTACACGGAATGAGGGGTCAGTGTGTAGGTGAAAAATGCATTGGTTCGTTGATTTGTACATGAAATGCAATAACGTCTAAGAAGCCTGTAGTACACCAAAAGACTGGTAGGGGTCAGTGTGTAGGCGAAAATGCAGTGGTTCGTTGGTTTGTACATGAAATACGATAATGTCTAAGCAGCCTGTAGTACACCAAAAAAACGGTAGTTTGATAGTCCATGGTCACGCCGGCACGACCCGCCCCTAAGGTGTGTCGGCATGGCTGTAAGCTCCTCCCCCTCCAGCTTGATAGGCGGGTGATATATGTATAGGGATATGTGGAGAAATAAAGAATATAAATAAAGAATAAACAAAGAATAATATAGCAATAATAGTAAACATAATCATGTATTGTTTGACCTATAAAATATAAATATAGTTGGTGATTAATAAAATATTGAAGTGCAATGTGCTTATAAAGTGATAGGTGTTTCTTAAAGTGATAATCATAAATGAGTCCTTATTATGGTGAATATCCCTTTGGATATATATTATATATTAATACTATCACCTTCTACATTATAATCCCCTCCCCCCAGCCCGCACGCATGGGAGATGTGCGGCATGGCCGGGGAGTCAGGGAGCTTCCGGGCGGCAGCTGAGTGGCGATCACGTGGGTCCGTGACGTCACTTCCGTCAACCGCCCGGACGCATGCGGATCACTTCCGCCAACCACCACTGCACACCAATGAAATTTATAGTAAATAAAGGCGCCGAAAATCTAAACCTATTAAAGGTATACACACATACTCCCCCACATAAGGAAATTGTAAACTCTACTATGATTGGACAAAATGCATTGAGCTCATTAAAGGGGAAGACCCTAAAGACATTTAAAAATGGAAGATTCAGAGGACCAACACTACAGCTAACTGAAGAAGCTTTATTTGAGAGTGAAACGTGTATTGGCTATTTTTTAAAGGACTTTTTATTGAGGACTTTTAAAACATTTGCTTTATGACTGTTAATCTGTCTCATTACTTTTGGTCCCTTAAAAAGTGGGAGGCACATATACAAACTGTTGTAATTCCTACACCGTTCACCTGATTTGGATGTAAATACCCTCAAATTAAAGCTGAAAGTCTGCAGTTAAAGCACATCTTGTTCATTTCATTTTAAATCCATTGTGGTGGTGTATAGAGCCAAAAAGATTAGAATTGTGTCGATGTCCCAATATTTATGGAGCTGACTGTATATATAGTGATGAAGTATTTGTCCTATAATTTTATATATATATATATATAGTGTTGAAGTATTTTTCATATACTTTTTTATATATATATATATATATATATATATATATATGTATGTATGTGTGTATATAGTGATGAAGTATTTTTCATATAATTTTATATATAAATATAGTGATGAAGTAGAGATATTCAGCTCAAGAACCAAATCCGGAGTTTCTCTTTTCCAGTAGACCGAGATATGTTCAAAAAAGGAATGCAAGTAGCCCCTGGGGATGTCCTCAGGTTGTAGAGATATGGAATAACAGACAAAAGTAGAAGTACATAGTGTAGTTGGTTATTGAGACCAAAACGTAGAAAAAGAGAGGCACTAACACTTTATAGAGCTGTTAGTTCTACTTTATGCACTTGAGCGGGGAAATCCCTGCTTAAGGATGTGAGGTGAATCTATTGGTCCAATTTTAGTGCTTCACAGGACATAGAATAAATCAAAACAGAAAGAGAAACAAGTGCCAATATAGTGTAATATGTAGAGTGGTTAATATATGGATCAGTGGCTTCATACTACACTGTCTACCTCTACTTTTTTCCTTTTGTATTGTTCCATATCTCTACCACCGGAAAAAAAAACCAATCACTGTTTAGTAAATAAACCCCAAATGAAAACATGCATGCATTTAATTTAGCATTTTAATTTCCAAGGGGTATATCTAACAACAGCTTGCAAAATCTGTAGATCTTTCTTCCCCAGTCCAGACTTTCTGTAGCTCTTGGCAATTGCCTGCCACTTGAATTTAGCTCAACAAAGCTTAATAACCCAGGAAATAACACTTTTTTGTTAAAGGGGACACACTCTTCACACATAAAGCACTTCAGCAAGGGTCTGGAGTGTCCCTTTAAGCCAAAATAGCAAACTTAGGGGGGAAGAAAATCTGAAACTTGACTGTGCTTGTAAATGCTGTCTACTAACCCCATTTTACTGTTAAGTGAATAAACCTGTATGTTTCTATGTTAGACCAAGTATCAGTATTAGTATTAACAAATGTGTTGTTTTCTTTTATCAGATACCTGTTGGTTTTTCCGTGGCAGCCAGTGTCAGAGTGGGAAATGCTTTAGGAGCCGGGGATGTTAAGCAAGCCAAGCTTTCTGCTAAAGTTGCTATTATGTGTACAGGTACAGGAGTGTGGTGGCGTTGCTGCTAACCCTATCCTATGTATTGAACTACATACACTTTACCAACCTCAATTTGCATATGAATAATCATATTTCTTGCATTATGTATTTTATATGTTTACAATATGGAACTCTTTAGTCATCTCTGCTTTTAAAATTGCTGCTAATCAGACACAATTGTGTGATGATTAGTATACCTGGGCCTGCAAGCCTTATGAAGTTATTGTAGATAGGAATGCATTGTAAAAGTGGGTTTGCTGTTATTTAGTTTATTGTGACATCAGTCAGTAAAGGGGACTGCTTGTTTATGATGTAAATATACATATGTAGTAGATTTTTTAGTATGCAGAGTGAAATTTTCAAATAAATGTTTAGTATACATTTTGCTCATGTCTTTCATTCTGTCTGTCTATCTATCTATCTATCTATCTCCTAGGGTGAGTGGTAACCAATCACCACAGATCGGTTTAAGATTATCTTATATACTGAAAAAGCAAAAAAAAATACATTCATCCAATTTCATCTAACAGGACAGATTTATTTTTTTTGACAGCCATTTTTATATTTCATATGAGTCAAATAGATAAGAATATAGGGTTCCTCCATCTTAAAACCTCAGATTCGCAATGATGTAGGTGATCACCAGCATCATAGGAGAGATAGAAACACCTCATCTGAAAGGACAGGTTCTGTCCTATCAGTTGATGGGTATCCACGATCCCTTAAGTTTAAAAGAGTAGGAGCAGTCTAACCATCTCCTAAAGGCTACTTGTAGCATGGCTTGCTCCTTATTGTAAAGCACACATCATCTCAAGCTGGGTAGGCTGACATGATAGAGTTCATTGTTCTCCAATGACCTCCACAGGTGCTAGATTTCTATCCATTTACTCACCTGTGGGATATGATGAAATGGGAGATTTGTCGAATGAATATGTAGTTGACGAATCAGCAGAAATTGATGTTCTTCTCTATTTATTTTCTTGTACCATTGATATTAATTTGGTTTCTTATTTTGTTTTTGCATATAATTGTATTGCACCCGGTTATATATTGCTTTAAAATGGTTGCTCTTAGGGGAAAGGAATGTGGTTCTACTCAGCATTGGAAAGGTGCACCTAATAAAGTGGTCACTGAGTGTATACTCGCATATCCGTACTGAAAACAAACTGCTGTATTATAAATGTAATGTGTGATTCCTTTTTTTGATTGGATGCTTATAATTATTGCTGTCTTTTTTATGCATTCTATGAACAAATATGACAATTAGTTGTGCTAAATAGTTCACACCTAATCTGGCATTCTTTTCTCACAGGTTTTTTTGCCCTGGTGTGTGGTGTTCTCATGGCCGGGTTGAAAGATCATGTCGCATACATTTTTACCTCAGACAGGTTGGTGTCCCTTAAAGAATAATTTCTTGTGTAATGCAGGTAGGGTAAAAACCAAAGCAAATGAAGGTCACAAATCTATAGACCCATGCAGTGGGTTACCTCACACCGTAAACTACCACAGTGTTGTTCCAAATGGAAAGACATGCCATTTCTGACCATCTGGTTTATTGCGTAGAGCAGATGCTTCCAACTGGCATACCACACTTTACTACTATGGCATTAGAAGAAACACAATACTCACTTGCAGGATCTAAGTGATCTGTGCCATGGGTATATACCACAGGCAATTTTACAATCCCATAAGTTCTTTGCCAATTCTCACTCCAAACCACCATGTTCATGGTGGCTAAAACAATTGCTATCTACTCTGCCCAATTGCTAAAGGCCCCATCTCCCTAATGCAAATATATACCACCAAGGAAATAAATAAATAAATAAAAAAATAAAAAAAAATATATATATATACATATATATATAGTCAATATTTTATTATATGTGTATATTTATGAATTATTTTTAAATAATTATGTGATTTTATTAAAGGGACACTATAGTCACCAGAACAACTACAGCTTATTGAATTTGTTCTGGTGAGTAGAATCATTACCTTCAGGCTTTTTGCTGTAAACACTGTCTTTTCAGAGAAAATTCAGTGTTTACATTACAGCCTAGTGATAACATCGTTGGCCACTCCTGAGATGGCTGTTAGAGATCCTTCCTGGGTCATGGCTGCCTAAAATAGGTTGATTATGTGTGAGCGGACATATTGTTCAAATTCTAGGTTTTGTTTTGATCAGAACTGTACAATTGCCTCTGTCCTTAAGGGGATAATAAACATTATGTTTATAAATGGTGTGTTGGTATAAAATTAAAACGTCAATAGATTCAATTAAAGTGTTTTTTGATCATTAGTTTTTATTGATTGTGATCAACTGTGAGATTTCAAAAAGTAAAATCTGACATAAAAATAAATTTGACAACTTTTGCACACTTGAAAGAGGAACGTTTGTCATAAGACGTTTTCTCATAGAAAAGAGGAACACTGACAATAAGATGTTCTCTGAGTGGTCAGTGATTTGGAGAGCAGAAAATATATTTTTGAAGGAATATAGTTTAGAGCTTTAACCCTTTAATATCTATTCTAAGTGGGGACTCTGGTATTTTAGCTTATTACACATGAGCACACGTTGCAATCACCCAACCTTCTATTTCTCCTCTTAAGCACTGGGCTTCCCCCTGCAGCTAACCTTTTTGCAAAAATAAAAGATGTTAATGAAAAGCTGAAGTTCTTGTGAAGTCTCTCAACAAAGTCTCTTAAAAAGAATCAGAAAAGCAGATTATAGGATGGCAGTCACTGAACAAAATGCAAAAAAAACACCAGGCCTCTAGAGGATTCCATGTCATCAAGTGCTTTGGTCCAAAAGAGTTTGGGGACCATTGGGCTAGAAAACCCAGCTCATTCACTCACTGCCATTATAGCTGACTCGCCATTAGCAATACAAGAATAATGCTTAACCTTCACTGTATAACTTGTGCTTTACTTTCTTTCGGCAAGATTGATGTAAGAATATAATTAAAATTATCTTTTATTTTACCTTCAGGGAAATTGTTGTCCTGGTGTCACGACTTATGCTTATTTTTGCTCCATTCCATGCACTTGATGCAATGGCTGTAAGTATTAACTTATCTATTTTAAGGATTTCTAATATCAGGATCATTTTATTTTGGGGAGAAAAGGAAAATTTATACTTACCCACTTGTAAAGATTGTAAAACATGATTGGTCTGAGATTATCAATGTAGATTCTCAATGGCTTATAGTAATACAAATTATGCAGATATAACATATTAGATACTTTCACTGTTATTTATTAAAGTGAGAATTAAAGTGAATTCTAAGTAAATTTCAAATTATTATTATTTGTGTAATGTGTAAAAAGTGTTCAACAGATCACCCGTTTTACATTACATAGGCTTTTTGTTCAAAAGCAAAAAACAAAAATTTGGAGAGGAAAAAAGGTGCACTTGACGAATGGTATGTATAACTAAGTACTAATATGTGTAATAAACATCGGAGATTTAGACATACATAAATGGCCAAGATGTATCCAGCCCACCACTGCACCAAAGTACTCCAATTACGCTGGGTCCTAACTGCCTAGATATGCATGACTTAAAAAAAATATTAGTAAAACACAAACAGCACTTACCTGCAAAGGAATGAGCAGAGGAAATGAAACCACTGCCTGTAGGAGCAGACTGAAACAAAAAGGATTAATGGCAAAGGAACAGTTGTGACAACTTGTGTTCTAAGCACTTAAAGGAATAGATTTAACAATTGCTTATACAGCTCCGAGGTGCTCAAGTACCTCTAACCAAAGGGCATAGGGAATAGTGTTATAAATGCAATGTGACTAGTTGTATCAACACAGACAGAGTGGGTTAGGGTCATAACCTCTATTTGGAGGCTCAAAACTAGATATAAGAAAAAAAGGAAAACAGAAATGTAAGATAACAGATAGCTAAGGTACTTGCACTCACGTATCTTGTTATGCGGGCTTAACATCCTGATATTTTGGGCAACCTTTACAGCATCCACCAGTATGGAGGTGTCCATGCCTGAATGTAGGCATTCTATCATATTGGCAACCACTGTCACAGGTGGCGGTATGGAGACCAAGACCCCTGTGTGCCTGATGATGATAGGAGTCACCCTCGTTGAAATTAACAAACAGGGCCTGGTGCAGGGTAACCACACGTCCCATGGTGTTGAGCACCAGGGTTTATGCAGCCACATACCAGGTCCCTGATACAGCTTCTGCGGATCCCAGGAACTAGGAGAAAATATGCAGACCTCCCAGGATCTGGATAGGGAGGCTCTGCAGCAGATATGTATCCAGTACTAGAAACAAGGCAAGATTAGAACAGACACCAAACAAGATAAGACAAGACTAGACTAAACAAACCCAGAACCGGAGCAGGACATAAAACAGAGTCCAGAACATGTACACAAGACATGAGGGAAACCAGAACAAGGCATGGATTGGACAGGACCGTACATGAACTGGGAAGACAAAAAAGACAAGAGATGCAAAACAAGAGGAGACATAACTAAGTACTAATATGTGTAGTAAACATGGGAGATTTAGACATAAATGGCCAAGATGTATCCAGCCCACCACTGCACCAAAGTACTCCAGTTACGGTGGGTCCTAACTGCCTAGATATGCATGACTAAATAAACAATACTAAAACACAAACAGCACTTACCTGTAAAGTAATGAGCAGAGGAAATGAAACCACTGCCTGCAGGACCAGACTGAAACAAAAAGGATTAATGGCAAAGAAACGGTTGTGACAACAAAAAACAAACATTTAAAGGAATCCAAGAGACTGAGAATTCCAGGAACAGAATTAAGAAAGGAACCCAGAAAGCCCAGCATAAAGAAAACCAGACATAGAATAGAAAACCAAGAAAAACTAAACAAGAATTGTAAAAAGAGTACTGGATACCGGAAGCAATAGTCAGAAATGATCTGCAGCAGGAACAGGATGTGACAATCACTCCACAAGGAAAGGCCATGCCTTGAGAGGTCCTAACCAGGATATCCTTTAAGGCCATCTTGGGGAGTTATTATTGAAGTTTATTATTTAAGTTATCCTGCAGACAATTCTGAGTTGTCTCAAAGTCAATGGGTGAGGATTTCCACAACAAATCACAAATAAGGCAGTGAAGGCAGAGAGCAGTTGAAAATGGTGTATGTGGTAGGAATGCTTGGCTTCACCCCCCATAAATTTCAAATTTAAGGTCAAAGAAGCCAAACTGAAAGCATAGCTGACTCCAGTTTCGCTACTTTGACCTTAAATATAAAATTCACCTTAAATTCTTACTTTAGTAAATAACTTTGTAAATAAACTCCATCATCATCCATTCTATTGCTAGCTGTGCTTTATTATAACTAGGTTTCTATACAAGACACAGTAATAGCACGTAATAGTTTTCTGCTTCTTGTTTTCCACAAATCAAAAAGACTTGGCTTAAAATGACTGTGGCAGACCGCCAATATATCGCCGCCACGGAATCTCTTTCCCCCCAATATCGTAGCTCCAATACTCCTAAAAATAAATATCGCTGGTATTGCCTCCCCCCCACACACACATTAGTCGAGACTGAGTGCTGGGAGTAGATCTTTTTAAAGGACCACTATAGTGCCAGGAAAACATACTTGTTTTCCTGGCACTATAGTGCCCTGAGGGTGCCCCCACCCTCAGGGACCCCCTCCTGCCCGGCTCTGGAAGGGGGAAAGGGGTTTAAACGTACCTTTTTCCAGCGCTGGGCGGAGAGCTCTCTGTCTCCTCTCCTCCTCCGTTACGCTCCGCCGGCTGAATGCGCACGCGCGGCAAGAGCTGCGCGCGCATTCAGCCGGTCTCATAGGAAAGCATTTATAATGCTTTCCTATGGACGCTTGCGTGCTCTCACTGTGAAAATCACAGTGAGAAGCACGCAAGCGCCTCTAGTGGCTGTCAATGAGACAGCCACTAGAGGATTAGGGGGAAGGCTTAACCCATTGATAAACATAGCAGTTTCTCTGAAACTGCTATGTTTATTAAAAAAATGGGTTAACCCTAGCTGGACCAGGCACCCAGACCACTTCATTAAGCTGAAGTGGTCTGGGTGCCTAGAGTGGTCCTTTAATGCAGGCAAAACTTCAGAATTTATACATACAGTAAACTCCTCCCCTGTGCCTCAGAGATAGAGTCAGAAACTGTACAAACTCAATTATCTCCAGGTACAGAAAAATACAAAAATTTTACAACACCCCAAAAGTACCCCCAAAATCCATGGAAACCCCTCAAAAGTCACATAGCCAGATAGCCCTGATCTGAGTGACTATCATATCCAAAAATCACTCAGATCGGTTTGGTAGTTTGGAATTGCCTTTGAGGGAAACTTTTGCATGGCTGGCCACAAGGTGTAAGCTCAAAATAGTTCCAGAGGAATCGTGGCAAGGTCCAGTCTCAGTTCATGGAATTTTCTACGAAAAGAAAGCTTTCAAGTGTCGAGTGCTTCCCCCAGTCGGTAGTTCGTATCTCCTGAACGCTGTTCGTATAGGTGGTCAGGAACTTGAACGGGCAGCAATTCCATCTTTACAGGTGTTTGCGGGAGTGCCTAGCCAAAATCAATTCAAGGCACTTAAAGACCAATACCGCTGCCTGCGTTCAGGAGACAAAATGGCTCAATTCTGTCGACCACATGTCTTTGATTGCCCAAAATGGCGGCCAGCCAGGGGAGCATTCTATTAATTGTTTCCGTTGTGGTTTTCATACTGGGTACTTAGTGTTCCATGTTCTAATGAGGTGCTGGGGTGGTACTCGTTCGGGAACCAAACCAGGTGGGTTTGAACAAATAAACGAACGTAAAGGAAACTAAATGTGCCAAACCAAGTGATGGGGTATTCCTTCACAATGACAGCCCCACATAATATGATCAAAGTATGCAGCAAATTATTTCCTCTACCAAAAGCATACGTTATGCAGGGCAAGTGAATTCATTCATAATTTTTTTTTAAATAGATTTGAACTATATTGTGCTAGTATTGTGCTAAGGCATAGAAAAACATACATCTAACAACCTCTTCTTTATTACAAACATGTATTTCTGACACTATCGGTTTAAGAAACTATTTTAGACCCCCGGCCACCCATAAAAAGTTAAAGAACTCACCTTATCCCAGTGCCAAGCGGGTAAGGTCGCATCTTCCTTGGCAGGCAGTCCCCTTGCAGCCAATCCCGCCAATCCGAGTCATGTGATGGCCATAACACAGCAATCACATGACTTGAATTGGTGTGATTAACGGATTGGCTGCTAGGGGACTGCCTGGGTTGTCAGGCAGATCCCCCAACATATAATGAATAATATCACACATATATATTATTTATTTAATTTTTTATCCTAAGTGTATTTATATATTGTTTACATATAATTTAAATTATTTTATTAATTATATATTGGGGGAATGCCTGACATGGTGGGTACTGTTGTACTTGTGCTACATCGCTGAACACAAATATTAGTGTTTTGGAGCAGTGAAACATATGAAGATGATATCATCAGTGAAAGTGCGTTTTGTTTTTTTCTTGAAAAATGCAAAAAACTAATATGAACAATAACTTTGACCAATGTTCGTGACTACTAAAAAAAAAACTGACAACCAATTTTGAATACCATGGGTTGTCTACTTTTGCAAATGGTATGCCATGATGTAGGTAATTTTCATTCCTGGGCTGCCATAAAGTCTCAAAATTAACATGGGCCCAGCAAACCAAACTGGCAATTTTTCATGTTTAAAAACTGAAATGGGCAAACCGCATATTTGACCCTGTAATTTTCCAAAACACCATGAAACCATGAGGGGCATTGTGAGACATTGCTGAACACAAATTGTAAATTCTATTGCTGTTAACAGTAACAGTATTTTGACATTCACAGTTAAAATGCTGTGCAGAACTAAAAAACAAAGCACAATTTCTCACACATTTTAGATTTTATGCATATTAAACTGTTTCACATATATATAAATATTTTATGCAAGATAAAGCCCTGTTTCTCCTGAACAAAATGACATATAATAAGTGTGGGTGCACTTAATATGAAAGAGGTAAATTATGGTTACTTCAATACCCTCATAACCACACGCTCCTGCGAACCCAAACGACTATTTCACACATTTAGCTCCCTTTTTTGCCCTGTTGTTCCTCCTCCACCTACTAACTTGACCGCCTCAAACTTTGCAACTCACTTCACTGACAAGATCTCTACAATCAATGAAGAGATCTCTCATCTTTCTTCTTCCCCTCACAATACTTCCCCTAGCCTCACCCCCTCTGCTGTTCTATGTTCATTCGCACCCGCTACAGCAAAAGAAGTTTCTGCTCTGCTCCAGTCCTCTCGCCCCACCACCTGCTCCATAGATCCAAATCCCTTGCATCTCATCCGTACTCTGTCTTCTTTTCTTTCTCTATCTTTCACTAAAATTCTCAATCTCTCTCTCTCCTCTGGCATATTTCCATCGCCCTTCAAACATGCAACTATAACCCCAATTCTAAAGAAGCCCAACCTTGACCCTAACTCCCCATCTAACTACCGTTCTATCTCGCTACTGCCTTTTGCATCCAAGATCCTTGAAAGAGTTGTGTATGCGAGATTGATAGACTTCCTCAAGTCCAACTCAAGTCCAACTCTCTGCTAGACCCGCTTAAGTCTAAGCACTCTGTTGAATCTTTTGTCCGTACTCCCACCTCTGATGCTCGCCTTCAAGACTTCTCAAGGGCTGCACTGTTCCTGTGGAACTCACTTCTCTCCTCCGTTAGATGCTCACCCAGTCTCCCTCCCCTTACAAATCATTAAAAACCCACTTCTCTTAATAAAAGCGTATCAATTAAACTGTTAAAATCTCCCGACTGATTCCTCTCTTGCAACTGTCGTTAGTCTAATACTATCCTTACCTTTTGTGTCACTTTACCCCACTCCCTCTAGCATGTAAGCTCATTGAGCAGGGCCCTAAACCCCACTGTTCCTGTTTGTCCAACTTGTCTGATTACAACTACATGTTTGTTCGTCCACCCACTGTAAAGTGCTGCGGAATTTGTTGGCGCTATATAAATAATAACATAATAATAATGGTTGAAAAGACTCAAATTCTAGGTTTTATTTTGGTTCAGAACTTTGACAATTGCCTCCGTCCTTAAGGGTTTAATCCCAATTATTGATAACCTCATTACATATTTCATGATTAATGTTTCATTACAGGGCACCTGCGGCGGAGTGTTACGTGGAACAGGAAAGCAAAAGATTGGTGCTATTATGAATGCAGTTGGGTATTACATTTTTGGTTTGCCAATTGGAATATCATTGATGTTTGCTGCAAAACTTGGTGTAGTAGGTAAGAACAGGCACTTTATAATGTGTTTAATATAGGTTTAACATATGTTTTAATTTTTATTATATTTCGCATTTACATATTTTAACCATGCACTCTCTTTTCAAGGGTTATGGACTGGAATGATCACTTGTGTCTTCCTGCAAGCCTCATTATATTTAGCATTTGTTTTACGGTTGAATTGGAACAAGGCAGCTGAAGAGGTATTTTTTTTTTTCTCGCTACAGTCAAGACCACATTCACTCTAGATAAAGCCACCAGTGGTGCATTTTATCAAACCATGCCGAACCACACTTCTGAGTAGTGAATTATTTAATTATTTCTTTTAAGGCTCGGGTGCGAGCAGGAGTGAAATTGGAGAAACCAGAATCTGCCCCAAATATTCCACAGAACGCGAGCAACTGTGATGACATGGATGTGAATGGTAAATGAATAGTACAAAATACTCTTATCTTTTCTTAATATCACAGTTCTTGCAGATAGTGAACCCCTTCACTACCAAGTATGGTAACCTGTATGTTCTATATTCTGCTCTACTACAGGAGACATGCCACCTTCTGATCCTAAGTATGTTGAAGGGCATCAAGACATTGGATATATTATTTTACCAGATACTGATAATACTGACAAACACACAGATCAGCTTGTACAGCAAGATGATTCCGTCATGAATGCTACAAATGTTGTAGGTGAAATCCTATCTGTGAAGCAGTTGATTCTTTGGCGTGGGATGGCCGTGGTTGCAGCTGTGGCTTCACTGATTATTGGTGTAATGATTAAATGTCTTATAGGCGATGGATAAATTGTTAAACTTTAACAAATTAGCATTAAAATTGCTTTGCAAGCTCTGCACCATAACAAATGTCACTATAAAACTGTGGTGTAGTCAGGTTATTGTGGTGAGAAGATTAAATATTAAGTTGCTATCAAAAGAAGAGAAGCATATTTAATACAATATACCTCAAACAGATATTGCTGTCCAACACCTAAAATGTGTATGTGTGTGGCTTTTATAAATCATGCAATCATGGCTTCAAAAAAGTAAATTCACACTTTGTTGAGATGGTTTTTCTTTACAGAATAATCAGCAGACACCCATATAGTTTGCATGACAAATAATAGTAAAATATGAAGTATTGTACAAAACATATCAAAGATAACTTTGAGAAAGAAACTAATCCCAGTAAAAACATTATAAGAAAACTGGGTTAATGTTGGATATGTAATAAAAAAATATTTATAGATAGTTGGTTATTATGTAACCAGCAATGCAGGTTTACAGGATCACATCATGTGAGAATAGGTCACTTGTTGCACAATCTAGGTCATAAAACAGAGTTTGAAGATTAACAGAGTTGATATTTTTTCAACTAGGCTGCATTGACCTAAATTTCATAAGTTGCAAGCTAACCTTGCCCCTCACTGCCACAGTTGCCCTGCCATTTGTGTTGATGAAAGAAACCTGTCTGTGTTCTCATAAGGTCATGCTTTAAGCCAGCACTTACGTCAAGGTCATGGGACCTTCAGTATGTTGTACTTCAGAATGCTGAAGAATGCTTATTTGTTGTATAAAGCATTCTTGTTATTGGTGCTGTAAAATATTAAGAGCAAAGCATTTATTTTATGATGGAAAAGCAAATTTTATAGATGATTTCAAATGAAGATATTGACAATAATTTTGACCAATACTACCTCTTTTCCTAGGTGTTATTGAGTACCGGTATATTCTGCATCTTATGTATGTTAAGCATATTATGTTGAGATATGTGCGATTTCTTTACTGTTTTTGAACCTCGTGCCTTAAGTTCAAGAGCAATAGCTGGCACACTTTAAAATTAAAAATGATTTTATAATAAAAAATAAAATTTGTGAAATTGTCTTGTTTTTGTTCATGAATATAAACATATAGAATGTAATCTGTGATTTGTTTCTCATTTGTGCTTCCCTCTCAGATCATACCTTCAACCACCTGCTCTCCCCTGTTATTATTTTTCTACGAAAGGATCACAGAAATAGATATTAATATAATATATAGTAATAACTGAAGTAAAATTTCCTTGGAAACACGGGAGATATTTTGGAATCTGGGCAGCTGCTTTATGTCGTGACCCCAGCAGTCCCCCTGCAGCAGCTCTGGCCACCCCAGCACTCCAGGGCCTTGTGATCACCATGATCACATCGCCGCAATAGGACTCTAGGAGCTGCCAGCAGGGGGACTGTCTGAGCTGTCAGGCAGTCACCCAGGCTGCTAAAAAGTAAAAACAATAATAAAATAAATATATTATACATATACAGGTGGTCCTCATTTAGCGACCTACCTGTTTTACAATGGCTCGCACTTATGACCAGGAGTAAGTTTGAGCCGCCGAGAGGATTCCTTGCTCTGGTGCGCATGTCTATGTTCGGGGAAACTTCCCAGAACATAGACGAACGCACCAGATCAGGGAATCCCTTAACTCCTCACTTACCGGCCGATTCGTTCTACGCCCGGGTCATAGGAACGGAACCCGGTCGGTAAGTGAGGAGTGTCTGTATTATATGTGTATAAGATATTATAAAATAATTAAAGCATTTCATAATATAGTATACATATATAATGCATATATATGTTTTCATTATAAGTGTACTTTGAGATATATACACATATCTCAAAATACACTGATAATTATATTATACATATAAAAGTGTGTGTGTATGTATGTATGTATGTATATATATATATATATATATATATATATATATATACACACACACACACATTAAAGAAAAGAAACATTTTAAGTTTCAACGTGACTTTAGGGACTTTAAAGAAGGCAGGATTTTTAGGCAAACTAAAAGATCATACACATGTACCAACCACAGAAATAGTCTCTCTTCAGGGAACACTGAATGGACCGACTCCGATTCTGTGATTTTGGTTCAACACAAAGCACAAATTCTGGGTCCACTTGGTCAACATATCCTACAAAACATGGTATATTAAAAGAAACAAACAAGTCTGTAGTGTTCTTAGATACACCCCCACCTTCTACTACTGCACTTGCCTCTGGTTCTACTTTTTTAGACCAGGCCTGGCCACTACCCCAGCGAGGCAGATTACGGGACCATCAGAGGTGGGGTTACAAATCGGACCGCAGCAATTATCGCAAATAGATCCACTTAGCTTGGATATCACAAAAATGAAGATTATTAATTTATCTAATTTTACACTTACATCTGACCATATCTCACTCTTGAACAGAGGTTTGTCATTTGTTCCCACACCAAAAGCTGACAGGTTTGAATGGCTTAAAGATATGTCTTTTTGGTCGCAAATTAGCTCTCTGCTCTTTACACAAAAGAAAAGACAGCAAAACAGCCAAAGATTTAGGCCAGAGTGATGAAGAGTATACACACTTTTAAACACTGATACAGCTTTTGGATGAACAAGACCCCACACCTCCTCTTACAAAATTTAGACTTCTAAGTTGGTTCACCCCCAACCTTAGAGATGACATTAACGTTGACTTGTTTGTAAAGATGACAACGGATACTATTGAATCTCTACCAGACCCAACAATATATGAGAATAATTTTGTCTATCGGTGAACAACGAGCACTAAAAGAATTTAGTCAAGACAAAGATCTGATTATCAAACCCTCTGATAAAGGGGAAAACAACTGCAAAGAGACTCTTATATAGAAATGTGTATGCATCATCTCAATGAGATTACTTGCTTCAAAAAGCTAGACAGAGATCCTACATCAGTGATGGCGAACCTATGGCACGTGTGCCACAGGTGGCACGCCGGGCCCTTTCTGTGGGCACGCGGCCATAGGTTCACCATCAATGCAGAGTAGGCACCTGCCTTCCCAAAACGGCAGGCGCCTACTCTGCTTCCATGTCGGGAGGCAGGGGGAGGGATCTGTGAAGCAACGCTCCATGGCAACGCTCCACACAGCATCGCCCGGGAGGACAGGGGAGCTGCTTCACAGATCCCTCCCCCTGCCTCCCGACACGGAAGCAGTGCTTGCCACCACCAGACCACCAGGGATGGCTGTGTCCCCCCCCCTTCATTAAAGATAAGAAGGAGGGAGGGGGATATACTGATTTAGCATACTTTTTTTTTTTAAACACCTTTACCCCAGCCCCACACACACAGCACTCCTACCCCCCCACAGCACCCCTACCCCCCACACACAGTACCCCTAACCCCCCACACAGCACCCCTCCCCAGCATCCATCCCCACACCCAGCTTCCCTCCCCTCCACCCTGCATGCCTCCCCTACCCCCACACACAGCAGCCCTACCCCCCCACACAGCACCCCTACCCCCACACACAACAGCCCTACCTCCCCACATAGCACCCTCACAACACACACAGCACCCCTACCCTCCACAGCACAGCACCCCTACCCCCGCCCAGCACCCCTCATACACAAACACAGCACCCCTCACACACACAGCACCCATCACACAAACACACAGCACCCTTCATACACACACACACAACACCCCTCACACACACACACAGCAACCCTCACACACACACACACACACAGCAACCCTCACACACACACAGCAACCCTCAGACACACACAGCACCCCTCACACACAGCACATACACAGCACACACACAGCACCCCTCAATGCAGTATGTGTGTGTATTCAGCAGTCTGTGTGTGTGCGCGTGTATTCAGCAGTCTGTGTGTGTGTGTACTCAGCAGTGTGTGTATTCAGCAGACTGTTTGTGTGTGTGTATTCAGCGGACTGTGTCTGTATGTATTCAGCAGTCTGTGTATGTAGTATTCAGCAGTCTGTGTGTGTGTGTTCAGCAGTCTGTGTGTGTGTACTCAGCAGTCTGTCTGTATGTGTATTCAGCAGACTGTGTGTGTGTGTGTATTCATCAGTCTCTGTATTCAGCAGTCTTGTGTATGTGTATTCAGCAGTCTGTGTGTATATGTATTGCATTTGTTGGAGATACTAATAAATATAAGCTTAATTTTATCGATTTATATCATTATTTAAAATTTGTATCATTGTTGTTGTGTTCTTTTAAAACAAAAGTTGTTAATTAGTTCGGACAACAGTACGAGTTGTTTTTTCTAAACTTAAACCTCAGTATTGATGTTTAATTGCCGTGTTGGCACTTTAAGGGAAAAAAAGTTGGCATGTATTGCGGTTTGGGCACTCGGGCTCAAAAAGGTTCGCCGTCACTGTCCTACATCCTCCTTCCTAACCTCCCTCAAAACGTTACTTAATTCAGCTCTGGAAGACAATATCATCACCACTGAAGAACTCAGATTCATTATGCCTAAAAATTCACCAACCATAGCCACATTTTACTGTTTACCAAAAGTGCATAAAAACTTACTCAAACCACCTGGTAGACCAATTGTGTCCGGAAACCAGTCTTTGACTGAGAATGCTAGTAAATTTCTAGAAAATCTCTTACATCCATTTGTTATTCAATTGCCGTCCTACTTACAGGACACTAAGCAAACCTTGCTCACTTTGTAAAACCTTGAAGTACCCCCCTATACCCACCTTGCCAGTTTAGACATTGTATCCTTATACAACAATATTCCACGTTCAATAGGAATTAAGGCAACGTCGTACTTCTTGAGAGAAACTCTTAAATTCTCAGAGCCACAACAAAACTTCCTTCTAGATTTACTTTCGTTTATTTTGAGACATAACTACTTTGTCTTTAATGGGTCATATTACCTGCAACTTAAAGGCACAACTATGGGGACGGCTTGGGCCCCTAGCTACGCTAACTTGTACCTGGAGTGATGGGAGGAGACCATACTCACATTAGTGGATCGTGACTTGAGCCAGTACATCCACGTGCTCGTATTCTGGACTGGCCCTATCACCAAGCTCAATGAACTTGTGAGTACTCTCCTTGACCTTAAAATCGCCTTAACTATGGAAGGGACAGTTGAGACAGAACTGTTCAGAAAAACAATTGCTACCAATAACCTCCTTCATTGGAAAAGTCATCATCCCATGAAAATGAAGGCAGGGATCCCTTATGGTCAATACCTCCGGGCTAGGAGAAACTGCTCTAACGACATCACCTTTCAGAAAGAGGCCAAGGAAATTAAGAAGCGGTTTAAAGAACAGGGTTACCCGAACAAGATCCTGAAGCACGCTTATCAGCGAGTGATCAAGATGGATAGATCCACCTGTCTCCGTACATCAAGACCAAAACCCACACACAATGTTATTAGATGCATAGGCATATTCGACCAATATTGGGAACCGGTGAGAAAAATACTCTCCAGCAACTGGCCTATACTTGTACATGATAAAGATCTGACTAATAACATTACCACCTACCCGAGTATCACCGCGCGGAGACCGCAAAACTTGAGAGAAGTGTTTGTTCACAGTCATCTCGAACCATCTAGTGTCATCCCAGGGGACTATCAAAAGCTAAGGGAGTCCAAGTGGATCCATGAACTTAAGACCCTAACACCCTTAGGTCTTAATGAGGAGTTTAACTTTACTCCATTTATACACTAGCAATGGCCGTCCTGCACATATCACTCCACAATCCCTCATCACCGCTCCCCATGTAAATAGTAGTAGTCTTCCTATACAAATAGTTATTTTTCCACTACAATTTTTTAGTCTTCATTTAACATTAGGCTGAAACTTTCATTGTCTAATATTATAATGCTTAAGTCTTTTTTAAGTCATTTCTGTCACATAATGGCTGCAAATAGTCATTATTAAGCTTAAGTTTTATTTTTGTAACATAAGGTTGTAAATAGTTAATTGATTAACACTATTATGCTTATGCTTTCATTTAGCAAGTTAAAGCTTTGAATAGCTCTTTCAAATTTCCTACCAGTTAAGTCTTATGTTCTATTCCACAATGTTTGTGGATAACGCCAGGCAAATCTTGGTTAAGAACCATGCCTAGTATATATTTCACAAGCCTTAATACTCTCAGTAATATTTTTGTATCATTCACGTTTTATTTATTTATTTATTGCATCTTTACTACTAATCTCTACCAAGCATGTAAGAGTAAATTTTTTGCTCCACTACTTACCCACCCATTAAGGCATAGAATAATTCTCATTGGTTAAATTTGTTTAAATCCACCAATGAGAACTTCACCAGACATTTAAAAACATGATTCCATCACAAGACCGGTTCCCCTCTGATGAACCTGTGAGGTGAAACGAGCGTCAGGGGAAACATCACTGGCGCTATCAACCAGTCACTTTACTAAGAGTGACCTGTCACTGCACTAAGAGTGGCCTCTTTACTTACCATACCAATTAGAGTCTTCTATCGGCATCGGCTCGGCCGTTACCCAGCAGCACTTGAAGCAGCCTACAAAGTCTAGGCATTTCCAGCACACTTCTTTCATTGTAACAGTATTGGTGGGAAATTTTCTATTTGTATTTCCATAGGAGATTGTAGGCTTTTGGCTAAGGGGGTGCCATCAAAGGCACAAGTAGTTAGGGACCACAAGCATAGGATGATTCCTAGTGTTTTTGTAGTTAACCCCTCTCTACCCATAGCTTGTTGGTTATTTAGCCAGTTACTGCAGAATATACCAGGCAATATCTTTGCAGTCTGCACCTCTTAGCTACTATACTGCAGATACTCCCGCCTGCACATACCATAACACTAGGATTTCCAGTGTTTTTGTAGTTAACCCCTCTCTACCCATAGCTTGTTGGTTATTTAGCCAGTTACTGCAGAATATACCAGGCAATATCTTTGCAGTCTGCACCTCCTAGTTACTATACTGCAGATACTCCCGCCTGCACATACCATAACACTAGGATTTCCAGTGTTTTTGTAGTTTTACTGCAGAATATACCAGGCAACATCTTTGCAGTCTGCACCTCCTAGTTACTATACTGCAGATACTCTCGCCTGTACATACCATAACACTACGATTTCCAGTGTTTTTGCAGTTAACCCCTCTCTACCCATAACTTGTTGGTTATTAAGCCAGTTCCTGCAAAATCTACCAGGCAACATTTTGCAGTTTGCACCTCCTAGTTACTATACTGCAGATACTCCCACCAGCACATACCTCTAGATGCTATTTCTCACGGTCTTTAACACAGGACCCTGTCATCATTTCTGAGATGCTATTTTCTGCAGTATACTGGCATGCTCAAGCTTGTTTTGGAGTCCAGACACTGCAGTTTCATTACATATTGTTATCAGCTTTGTTAACAGCTTCAGTGCAGCTCACTGGGACTTGACTATTTTTCCTTGAGCCTGGTATATTGATATATTATTGACACTACTAATTTATAGTTGTTGTTCCCACAGTGGCATTTCACTCTAAAAGGCAGTGTAAAGGCATCACTTGAGGATTTCTTACAACAGTCATTTGAATGAAGTGTAACTGTATCTCTTGAGGATGTCTTACAACAGTTATTTGAACTAAAATTTGTTTTAACTATTTCCATTAAAAGTGAATTATCTTTCCTGTTTTGAGATCTCCCCAAGCCCAACATATCCCAAGGTCACCCCTCTATAACAAGGCAACTACCACTCTGCAGGACACTCTATCATTTATCCTGTCCCTTCTCCTGTCTCCCTTCGTTATTGTTTAGTTTTATAGTGCATTTCATTGCACTAGGGGTTAACCCCCGCTCAGGAGTAAGATTATTGTATATATATATATCTATATATATAGATATATAGATATATATATATATATATATATATATATTATAAATTGAAAATAATTTATTATAAAAAACAAATAAAAACGCTAACTTTGGCCAGCGTTTGTGACTAAGTGGCTACTTGGCTACTACAAAAGACTGGACATACCCTATTTTGAATACTGTGGGTTGTCTGCTTTTACAAACGGTGTGCCATGATGGGGTTCATTTTCATTCCTGGGCTGCTATACGGTCTCAAAGGCAACATAGACCCAGCAAACCAATCTGGCAAATTTCAATGTGCAAACATGGAAAAGGGGAAAGCCCTACATTTGACCGCTGTAAGTTTGCAAAAACCCATAATACCTGTACATTGAGGGCACTGTTGTTTTCGGGTGATATTGCTGAACACACATTGGGGTGTTCTTTGTCAGTAACACATAATAGGAATGGAGAGTCGATGCCTAAAGTACAATTCGAAAGAAAAATAACACAAACAAAAATTACTACCTAAATGTTTGACAAAGACTGGTGGTAGAATTAGTGCATGGAAAGTGTTAAAATACCACCCTTTGAAATACCCTAGGGTATCTACTTTTCTAAAATATATGGTTTGATGGGGGTAAATTACATTGGCCAGCTTCAGAAATATCCCAAATAGGACATGGGTGCATGATGACCAGCTGTGAAAATTCCAAGTTGGGAAAACTGGAATGAGTATCCTCCAAATAAGGTCCTTTAGCCCCCAGAGAACCCGACACACCTATACCTGGGAGGTATCACTATACACAGGAGATGTTGCTGAACACACATTGGGGTGTTCTTTGACAGTAACCCTTAAAGTTCTCCGTACATGTATTTTTAAATTGCTACGTGTGTCAAAAAAATCACATTTAAAAAAAAAAAAATTAAATTTGGCATAGATTGGTGGTAAAATGGTTGCATGAAAAGAGTTAAAATACCCCAAGTTAATACCTTAGGTTATCTTCTATTAAAAAATATATACATGTAAAGGGTTATTCAGGGATTCCTGACAGATATCAGTGTTACAATGCAACTTGCATTAATTTTGGGGGGGGGAAATGGTTTGTAAATAGCAAAGTGCTACTTGTACTTATTGCCCTACAACGTTTCAAAAAGCTAAGAACATTGGGTATTTGGGTAAAATTGGGTATTTCTAAACTCAGGACAAAATTTAGAAACTATATAGCTTGGGTGCTTTTTGGCGGCTGTAGATGCGTAACAGATTATGGGGGTCAAAGTTAGAAAAGTTGTGTTTTGTAAATTTTTTCATCACATTTTATAATTTTTTTATAGTAAATTATATGATATGAAACTAATGGTATCTTTAGAAAGATAATTTAATGGCGAGAAAAACGGTATATAATATGTGCGGATACAGTAAATGAGTTAGAGGAAAATAACAGCTAAACACAAACACTGCAGAAATGTAAAAAGAGCCCTGGTCTTTAATGGTAAGAAAATTGAAAAACGTTTTGGTCACTAGGGGTATATACTAAACAGTGACGGGGCAATCAACAAAATCATAAAGTATATAAGCATACAGTGTTAAAGACTATGTGATCTCTCTTAATAGTAATCTTGTTATATCATTTCAGTTCTACTTCTCCAAAACACAATATCAAGTAAAGTATGAAGTACTTGGAAAAAAACAGACAGTGTTTTAATGGTTGATGTATAATTTGTTAAATAATACACTTCCAAGTTCATATTTCAGGCAGCTAGTTAGCCTGTAGATGTAGTTTGCTTATTAAATCCAAATGGAGCATGGTTGCAATTCAAGGGATTATGGCCCTGAAACAAACCAAGGATCACTTCACGTTGTGCGGAAAAGCTTTTGTAATGTCTTGCAAGGCATACGCTCTTTTATCACACATAAGGGTGTGGAAGAAGTGAAGGAGCTCTGTGGTTTAGCTGTTCCACTGGTAAGTGTTAATTTGAAATATAATCATTTATCACGTGTTTGGATGTAGGGTTTAAAAAGCACACTGTAAAGCCATTTGTATTACATAAAAATATTTTGTAATCAATTTTTGTTGCAGAAGCTTGAGTTGTAAAAGGTAAAAGAACATAGTCTTAATAATAGTAAAAGGAATAGGCAGCTTGATCTGGTATTTTTCAGTAAAAATCTTAGAACTAATATTTGCCATTTGTTAAAAATTGTAATGTGAAAATCTGAGATGTGAAGAAAAAACAGGCTCGTATATACATATATTTTGAAATTGTAAAAAGGTTCAATCTTTATGGTCATGGGCTTTTGAGTTTATTAAGAAAGCATTAAGACCAAGTATCAAAATTACCCCAGAAATTGCTTTACTAAATATGAATCTGTCTGAATGCCCAAAAGAAAAGGCCTATTTAATAACACACACTTGTACAGCAGCTAAGATCCTAACTGCAAGAGGCTGGAAGCAAAGCCATGTTTTTTAAAAATCAGCTTTCTCTAATCCAGGGGTTCCTAATAAATTTTTCCCATGGAACCCTTTGACATAGAGTATCGACATGTTGGATTCCACCCTCCCTATTTTTTTATGTGCCGGTGTGTGTCTGTGTATCTGTGTGTCAATGTGTATCTGTGTGTGTATGTATCTGACACATAGATACACACACCTTGACACACAGTGTCTATCTGTGTGTGTGTGTGTGTGTGTGTGTGTGTATCTGTGTGCCACTATGTGCCTGTGTGTGTGTGTGTGTATCTGTGTGTCAGATACATACACACTCATACACATTGACACACAGATACACAGACACACACAGATAGACACTGTGTGTCAAGGTGTGTGTATCTGTGTGTCGGATACATACACATGTCAAGGTGTGTGTATCTGTGTTTGTATGTGCTAGTGTATGTGTCTGTGTGTCAGTATTAATCTGACACAGAGATACACACACCTTGACAGACTGTGTGTATCTGTGTGTGTGTGTGTGTGTGTGTGTGTGTATGGATCTGGCATACAGATACACACACTGGCACACAGATACACACACTGACACACACCTTGACACACAATGTGTATCTGTGTATGTGTGTGTGTGTGTGTATCTATGTATCAAAGTGTGTGTATCTGTATTTGTATGTGCCAGTGTGTGTATCTGTGTTTGTATGTGTCAGTGTGTATCTGTGTGTGCGTATGTATCTGACACAGATACACACTCTGGCTCACAGATACACACACCTTGACACACTGTGTGTATCTCTGTGTGTGTGTGCATGTATCTGTGTCAAGTTGTATGTATCTATGTGTCAAATTGCATGTATCTGTGTTTGTATGTGCTGGTGTGTGTCAAGGTGTGTGTATTTGTGTTTGTATGTGCCAGAGTGTATATCTGTGTGTCAGTGTGTATCTGTGTGTGTGTGTGTGTGTGTATATCTGACACACAGATACACACATACTGGCACATAGTGGCACACAGATACACATACTGACAGATACACACACCTTGACACACAGATACACACACACTGGCACATACACACTGGCACATACTGACATATACACACACCTTGACACACAGATGCACAAACTGACACTTAGACACACAGATTCACACACATTGAGAGATACACACACTGACACAGGTACAGACACATACACATACACACACGTTTAAATGTGTTTTTTACTTTCCTTTTTTCTGCAGGAGGATGTTCAGTGCTGCTGGATGAGGTTAGCAGCTGCTCCCTCTCCCTCCAGCCAGCGCGCTCTGTCTAGGAGGAAGTGCAGTCACTTCCTACTGGCATCCAATACTACAGGGGTCCAGTCATGATTTTAGATGACCGCGGCGCCTAACCAGACCACTGTTTAGCGATACCCATTGGGTGGCCCTAAATGCTTGGGCCACCCGACTGGCAAATTGCCACGTAACCCGAATTATGTTCTCTATTTTGAACTCTAATTGTGAAACGCTGCTCTTATCAATTGTTACAGCTAAAATTGAAAATGGCAGAAAATGGTTTACGGGTGTGGCGAATAAAACAAATATATGGAATAACGCTCTTGAATAAGCACAGGAATATTGCAGTCCCTCTTAAAAAGAAAATAATTGAAGCTGCATTAAACTTCATAACCGGCTGGCAGCCAATCAAATCAGTGTTATATGTTGTATGTGCAAGAGATTTGACTTTGTGTTAACAACGCAATGCATTCTCTTGTAATTATTGATGTGGATGTCTTTATGTGTGGTAAGGAAAAAAAAGTGAAAATGAAGTCAATAAAGATTATTATAAATTAAAAAAATACTAAACTGCAGTTAGAAAATAAGGTATCTTCCAATATTACAAAATCAAATTGTATTTGTCTTTATTATAGAAAATGTGCTTTTAGATCTCTCCTTACATAGTAAAGAGGTGCTTAAAGGGAAACTGTAGTCACTATAATCATTTCATCTCTTTGAATTGGTTTTAGTGCCTGGAGTCCCCAGGCACTGTCCCTCCATTCAGTGTTAAACCATTTTCAAGCAGTTTAATACTGTGGCCACCCACAGTCTTGTCTTTTCTGGAGGTGTGGCTAAGGCACAGATCAAACACTTCCTTGTAGTCATACCCTTCATACTGGCAGTGCTAGCTCTGATAGGCCAAATGCAGTAAGCTGACACCCTCAACCACTCACAGCTGCCCATTGCTGCTCATGCTAATACTTATTAATTATCCAAAGTGGCACAGAGGGGATGAGCTGCTGGGGACTCTCATTTAGCATAAAAAATTTGAAACTGTTTAATGCTGCATGCAATTAGAGCACCAGGAGATTACAGAAACTATAGCCAGTTTAATGAGATGGGACAGATACAATGATATGGGACAGATACAATGATACAGTGCCCCTTTGATGTATTCATTCTGTAGTGTAGAACAACGTTTTTATTGCACCTTAGTAAATACGAGCCTAATAATGTTCCAAGAGTTGGAGGCTGTACAGTTTGTGGTTTCAGAGTCAAGTTTGTGGCTAGAGCATAATCTTCAAAATCTGAAATTATCCCAATTAATACACCAGTTTCCACTTGTAACGGCACCCCCAGGCATAAAAGGGGTTAAAAGCCGTTTAGGAGATCTTCCCCTTCCAGAGACACAGGCACAGCTACGGTAGACACCAATCTACCGAACCGGAGAAGCACATGAATGCTCTCAAACATACGAATGCTGTAAACAGCCGAATAGGAAAAACCATACAAATAGGTTTACACTCCTAGCAGTCGAACTGGAACAGCATACAATAAATCCCCCCAAGAACGAGACAAAGCTCCGTTTTGAGGGTCAAGCAGGAACAGACAGACCTGTGGGTTTATTGTTCTTACAGGGAGTGCAGAATTATTAGGCAAATGAGTATTTTGACCACATCATCCTCTTTATGCATGTTGTCTTACTCCAAGCTGTATAGGCTCGAAAAGCCTACTACCAATTAAGCATATTAGGTGATGTGCATCTCTGTAATGAGAAGGGGTGTGGTCTAATGAAATCAACACCCTATATCAGGTGTGCATAATTATTAGGCAACTTCCTTTCCTTTGGCAAAATGGGTCAAAAGAAGGACTTGACAGGCTCAGAAAAGTCAAAAAATAGTGAGATATCTTGCAGAGGGATGCAGCACTCTTAAAATTGCAAAGCTTCTGAAGCGTGATCATCTAACAATCAAGCGTTTCATTCAAAATAGTCAACAGGGTCGCAAGAAGCGTGTGGAAAAACCAAGGCGCAAAATAACTGCCCATGAACTGAGAAAAGTCAAGCGTGCAGCTGCCACAATGCCACTTGCCACCAGTTTGGCCATATTTCAGAGCTGAAACATCACTGGAGTGCCCAAAAGCACAAGGTGTGCAATACTCAGAGACATGGCCAAGGTAAGAAAGGCTGAAAGACTACCACCACTGAACAAGACACACAAGCTGAAACGTCAAGACTGGGCCAAGAAATATCTCAAGACTGATATTTCTAAGGTTTTATGGACTGATGAAATGAGAGTGAGTCTTGATGGGCCAGATGGATGGGCCCGTGGCTGGATTGGTAAAGGGCAGAGAGCTCCAGTCCGACTCAGACGCCAGCAAGGTGGAGGTGGAGTACTGGTTTGGGCTGGTATCATCAAAGATGAGCTTGTGGGGCCTTTTCGGGTTGAGGATGGAGTCAAGCTCAACTCCCAGTCCTACTGCCAGTTCCTGGAAGACACCTTCTTCAAGCAGTGGTACAGGAAGAAGTCTGCATCCTTCAAGAAAAACATGATTTTCATGCAGGACAATGCTCCATCACACGCGTCCAAGTACTCCACAGCGTGGCTGGCAAGAAAGGGTATAAAAGAAGAAAATCTAATGACATGGCCTCCTTGTTCACCTGATCTGAACCCCATTGAGAACCTGTGGTCCATCATCAAATGTGAGATTTACAAGGAGGGAAAACAGTACACCTCTCTGAACAGTGTCTGGGAGGCTGTGGTTGCTGCTGCACGCAATGTTGATGGTGAACAGATCAAAACACTGACAGAATCCATGGATGGCAGGCTTTTGAGTGTCCTTGCAAAGAAAGGTGGCTATATTGGTCACTGATTTGTTTTTGTTTTGTTTTTGAATGTCAGAAATGTATATTTGTGAATGTTGAGATGTTATATTGGTTTCACTGGTAATAATAAATAATTGAAATGGGTATATATTTGTTTTTTGTTAAGTTGCCTAATAATTATGCACAGTAATAGTCACCTGCACACACAGATATCCCCCTAACATAGCTATAACTAAAAACAAACTAAAAACTACTTCCAAAAATATTCAGCTTTGATATTAATGAGTTTTTTGGGTTCATTGAGAACATGGTTGTTGTTCAATAATAAAATTAATCCTCAAAAATACAACTTGCCTAATAATTCTGCACTCCCTATATATACACATTAGTACCACCCACAGGGTTTTGGAAAACAACCAATAAACACATACAATACACTCAGACACTCCCACACAAAATCCTCCCCTCTGCCTGTGATACAATTACCATACACAATGGATAATGTAATTATCACCGGCAGAGAAATACAGTGTTTCCACATTATTCATAACTTTAAAAGTATGCATCACATTCACATACATTTTAAGAATCAGCATACTCCAAATACGAACATATGTCAAAATCATCCAAATTGGTCCAGTGGTTCAAAAGATAGATCGAAGTCCTTTGTGACCAAATGAAGCATGGCTTTTCTGCCCAAGACCAGTTCCACAGCGTCTTCTATCCTGGAGATAATTTGGAAGTAATCCAATTATCTCCAAGGACAGAGGCAAAACTCCATTAAGCACATGGCAGCAAAAGACAATAAAATACAATAAAATACACACAGTTACATTTATGACATAAAATACAGACATGCAACATATGCCCAGATAGCTTAGGTTTGAGCGCACATTAATACTGAATGGCGCTCAGACCACACACACATACAGTTCAATTTGCATGGAGCCAAAGTCTTTTATTACACGAATAGGCTCCATGTCATAGCTATCTGGGTTATTTTAGTTAATTCAGTAAATCCGAGAATCTACCGAACGCCAGGCAGAAAACATGAATAGACCTTTCTGCATAGGAAAATAAAGTATTTAAATGCCGGTCCATAGTCAAAAGGCAGCAGGCAGGCAACCAGGCTCCTCCAATGCACAGTGGCGAGATTGGTCTCGTCACACCACTCATTCTTATTCCCTTTGGACCAGGAGTAATCAACCTTTTTCTGCCTACCGCCCATTAATGCATCTTTCTTGATGGAAAGATTTCCTTAACGCCCACCAGTTTTCGTGCAAGTTCGAAATATTTTTTAGAAAGGAGGGTGTTTTAAAAAAATAAAATGTGAGTACATTTATCTTTTTATTTCTACTTTATGCATGTTTATAATGTTTTTAACTTTATAAAGTTTAATGAGAAAACAATGAAGTAAATTGAAATTGCCTTTACTAGTGATTAATGAGATCCTTGAGGTTTATGCTGCGAGACTAAATATTTGATATCTGGTTCGATTTTCGTAAGGAACAAATAAAGGTCTCCTCTTTTGGTGATATTCAGACGATTTCTCTGTTTGCTCATAATATGATTTCTCATCCATGCATCAGCTCCCCTCCTCTCCCTCCTCAATTCCCCTCCCCACCTTTTTTCCCCCCTTTTTTTTACCTTCGTAATAGCAATGCCCAGCAGAAAGGCTGAGCTATGTAGCACACTTACTATTATTAGCCAACAACAATTCTCTCCTTTTCCTTTTTATAATTTTTATTTTCCTTCTTTCTCTTTTTTTTTACAAATACTCTGCTCCTTCTTTCTCCTATTCTACAAATACACTGCTCCTTTTTTCTCCTTTTTTATAAGTACTCTCCTCCTTTATTTTATTCCTTTTTTTCTATTTTTTTTTTAATATTTTTTTTTTATTGAAGGTTTTTCAAAAGTAAAGATCCAGTACATAGTTGTTTCATAGAGTATACAAACGAGAAGTCAGTGGGTTACGGGATAATACAATCGTACTCTAAAGTTGCGCAGTAATATCATCCGCTTCCGTGTACTATTGAACATTTCGACGTAGCTGGTTTACAGTGTTCCCTTCATTTAGGTTGATGTTACAATTCAGATAAACTCAACAAAGGTATATACACAAACAAACATGCAGGCAAATCACAGTAATTTGGATCTAGCATTTTCTGCGTACTTTGGTCATGTCAGCTCACATAAATCACTGTCCATGATCCCATGGGCTGCTCCTGACTCCTCTGGGTCCCCTCCACCCCTCTCACCCTCCATGGTGTTTCTGTCCCTCATACCATGTCTCCCAGACCTTCCAAACGTCTCGGAACCTTTCCGTGGCTTTGGCAGTGTCAGTGGACATTTTCTCATATACATAGAATTGTTGTATTTTGTCTGCCAATTGGTGGATGGCTGGGCAGCTAGGTGTTTTCCAGTTTAGTGCTATTAGGTTTCTAGTGGCCATTAAGACTATCCCTATCAATTGTATGTGGTTTTGTGGTGTCGTTTCGGGGAACAGCAAGAGTAGGCAGGTCGTTATGTTCATGGGGAAGTCCCTAAGTCCCTAATTCCGAGATCAGTCAGTAGGATCTGAACATCTCCCCAGAGAGGTTGTATCCCCCCACATTGCCACCATATGTGTGGCAGGGTTCCTTCCTCCACACCGCATCTCCAACACTTGGATGATACGTCTGGGTATATTCTGTGTAGTCTAATGGGTGTCATGTACCACCTATAGAGTAGAGTCCACTTTTTGATCCCATTTAGGGCCAGCATCCACCTTTCATCTGTCATGACTGTCCCCCTCTCCGTCTCCCAGTGCTGTTTACATGTCATCGTTTTTTGTGGTGCTAGGTCTAGCCATGCTTTATAGCAAAGTGAGAGGGCTTTGGGTTTCATCGGGGCTGTCCAGCATCTGTGGGGTATTAGTCTCGCCGCTACCGCAGATGTAGGCACAGTGGGTGGTGTGCCCGTGACGTGTGTGTTTATTGTGTTTTTTAGTTGTAAGTAGGTAAGATATCTCTCTCCGGGGCCTTCCACCTGTCTCTGATGTCTGGGAAACTCATGATCGTTTGATCTGTACACAGTTGTTGGATTTGGGATATACCTAAGCGTGACCATCTGGTTAGCGGGATCGTGGTATTCACTGCATGAAGTGCAGTTAGGGGAGCTTCAGGGTGGAAGTGTTTCTTCCAGCCAAGGGAGGACATAAAGTCGTCCCACACTCTGACCGTTGCGGTTGTGGTAGGATATAGAGTTACCTTAGGGCCTCTTAGTGTTCTCGGCGTCCACAGGTAATTAAGCAGTGAGGCGTGCCTAAGTTGGCCTCGTTCCATATCCACCCACTGTGTTACCCCCTGTTGGGCGTGTAGGTGTATACTCGTTGCTAGAATAGAGGCTTTGTAGTAGAGTCCAATGTTGGGCATAGGCCCCCGTTTTTGTCGTCCGTTGTAGGAGACCTAGGGGCAGCCTGGGTTTCTTACCCCCCCAAATGAAGGAGTTGCGTATGGCTTGTAAAGATTTATGGATTGCGGCTTGGATGTCTATCGTGAGCATGCGGAATATATACAGTAACCTTGGCAATAGCATCATCTTATATGCATTCACTCGGCCTAACCATGACAGTTTTGCATTCTTCCATTTATGTATCTCTGTGATGCACAAATGTATGAGGGGTTTGTAATTGAGCTTTACTATGTTGCTAATAGGAGCGGCAATCTTAACCCCTAAGTACGTTATGGACGTTGTTCGCCAGTCAAGTTCAAAGGAGTTTTTCAGGGTGGTTACAGTTGGCCCTGGTAAGTTTATCGGTAAGGCTTGTGTTTTTTTCTTGTTCAGACGGTAGTATGATATTCTACCATAGTCTGTCAATAATGTTAGCAGAGGGGGCAGTGATTGTTCTGGATTTGAAAGTGCCACAAAAATATCGTCCGCGAACATCGCCAGACAATAGTCTTTGTCCCCCAGTGTAATACCGGTTATGGCCTGGTGTCGTCTTATCTTCCAAGCCAAGGGTTCTAGGGAGAGTATGTATAACATACATCCCTGGCGCGTCCCGTTCGTAATGTGAAAAGTCCGCGACAGGAAGCCTCCATGGGAGACCCTAGCACTGGGTCGTGCGTACAGAGCCAATATTCCCCTGATAACCTCTTCAGGGAACTGATACTTGCACAGCACCTGTGTCATATATTGCCAGTTAAGTCTGTCGAAGGCCTTTTCGGCGTCCAGCGCCAGGAAAAGACCTCCGAGTTGTTCCCTCTCCATCCCCGCTATTATGTTTAGCACTTTCCTCGAGTTATCAGAGCCTTGTCGGCCCCTCACAAATCCGGACTGGTCATTGTGTACTAATTTATGCCAATCTTTCGCTGAATAGTTTTGCATAGATTTTGGCATCGCTATTTAGCAGTGAAATGGGCCTGAAGTTTTTACAATGATCTTTATTTTTGCCCGGTTTGGGAAGTGTGGAGACATGTGCCATTGTGACTTCTTCTGGCAATGTCCCTTCCGTCATGCAGTGGTTAAACAGTGCACTGAGAGGTTGAGCTAGGGTGTTAAGGAAGGTGCGGTAATATTTATTAGTCAGGCCATCAGGTCCCGGTGATTTGTGTAGTGGGAGCGTGGAGATCACAGAGGCGATCTCTTCGGTCGTGAAGGGTTTGTTAAGCTGTTCCGCCTCTGTATTAGATAAGGTAGGGAGGTCGATTCCTGATAGGAAGGTATCAATATCTGCTTTAGAGGGGCAGACTGTCTGTGGGTCATCTTTTAGATTATATAGTTTTTCATAATAATGGGCAAATTCGTCTACTATCCCCTGTGGGTCTAGAATTGTGGAGCCCTTGGAACTCTTGATGGAGGCAATCTTGGAGTTAGCAGTCCTCTGTTTCAATTGGGCAGCCAGCCGTGCTCCCGCTTTGTTGCCTGTAGCAAAAAAGCCGTGTTTAAACCTGCGCATGAGGAATGTGGTTTTGGCCAGTTCCAAATCTCTCAGCCGCGATTGTAAGAGCAATAATTTAGTATGTGTGGCTGCTGTGGGGGTGTGTTTGTTAGTGTGGGTTAGAGAGGTTAATTCGGAAAGTATGGCCGTGTATGATTCTAGTCGCTTTTTTTTTGCGTAGCTGGCGTGCTTGATGAAGCAACCTCTTATGAAGGCTTTGTGCGCCATCCATATTTGGGGTAGAGGTGAGTCTGGGGTTTTGTTTTCTTTAAAATAAAACTGTAGATCTTGTTCTATTTGGTTAACTATGGCAGGGTCTGAAAGCAATTGTTCATTGAGTCTCCAACTGCTTCTTCCTGTGTTGGGGAATTGTTCTCTGAGTTGTAGTGTGATAGGGGCATGGTCTGACCATGTGATAAGACCTATGTCTGTGCGCTCAACCTTTATGATGGAGGAGGTGCGGACAAGAAAGACAAGCCAGACAAGAAACAACATATTTTCAAACCTTTCTATGAAATCTTATCTCAGGAGGAGCTCTGACTGTTATACACCTGTTACTGACGACTTTCTAGATTGCATGTAAAATTGTTTGGCCCTTGTAAGTTCCATTAGCCACTTTATATATTACAATTAAGATTTTCCAATAAAACATTAATTTTATAGTGCATGATATACACAATATGGTTTGTTTTTAATTAAAATTATCTTGCATTTTATTTTTTTCTTGGGTTCAGATTCTTTCACAGCTGCTATGCTTTTCCATAAACATTGTCAGCTCCATATTCTGCGGTCACCTGGGCAAAGTAGAACTGGATGCTGTAACACTTGCCAACGCAGTAAGTTTGAAAATGACTTTTTTTCTCTATTATTCAAAGAAGAGAGGCAGTAATTGTAATTAGTTACTTATGAAGAGAACTGAAAGTAAAATCAATTGCTCAGCACACAGTTACTCGTTTGACTGTAAAGATTCATGCTAAAGTTTTACAGCTAATATATCAACCTTAAAAGGTCATTTAAGCGCTTTAACAAATTTGCATTATTGCAAAGGTAATGGTGCACAGAGTACCCTACACCCATGTTTAACTCATAGAGTGGCTTACAGATGCAGTGATTTGTACAAATCAATTAATTTTAACCTAGCCATTCAGAGCTGCAAAATCAGTAGACTGATATAATGCTGCCCAATATCAATTTTGTCCAAGCCGTGTGCAGCATGCACACACCCCATGCAGGCTCTAGCTCTACAGATAGATGTACCAAACACTTAACTGGGCTGTAGGTAAACTGCTAGCAATCACAGTATGGCTGCCATATGTTTATAGACCAGTTCCACCCATGGAGACATGAAAAATCCATTATGATTATTATTGTCCATTTCTGATGCTTAGGTAAAGGAACACTCTGAATACATAACATATTTTAGTTTGCTGAAATTGTTATTTTGTTAATGGAGTGTTCATTTATTCAGGGTCATTTATAAAGTTTTATACTGCAGGGCTGTATTTCATAGAACATTGCGCAACCACTACTGACTACATTTTGCTCACATCCCTGAAGAATGCATATTCTATAAGAATAGTCAGTGCCTTCCACTAATATTGGCACTCTTGATAGAGCTAAGAAGAATGTGAAAATTTTTATTGATTATGTAACCTTTTGATCTTTTGTTAACAAAAACACACAAAAAATACTTTGCTCTCGTGGATATCAAAAACTTGCAAGCACCACACAGGTTTATCAAAATAAATAAAGAAATCTTTATTAAATACATATGTGGCACAATAGTAGGCACCCCTATGAATTCATATAAGAAAATTATATTTGAAGTATATTCCCAATCAGGGTCGGACTGGCCCACTGAGATACCAGGAAATTTCCCGGTGGGCTGGCATACTATAGGGCTGGTGCACACCGGCCCGCAATTACAGGGTGACCGACAGGAGGAGAAGCGCTCCCTTCCTGCCAGTCACTGAATGTAGCATGCTTGGCCACCACAAGGTATGAGGAGGGGAGGGGAAGGGAGGAATAATGAGACACTGGGAGGTAGAGGCGAGCTAATAAGGCGCATGAGGAGCTAGGAGGGAGGCTGGAAGGGAGACTAATAGGACACATGGGAGGCTGGGAGGGAGGCTTATGGGACACATGGGAGGCTGGAAAGGAGACTAATGGGGGGCTGGGAGGGAGGCTTATGGGACACATGGGAGGCTGGAAGGGAGACTAATGGGACACATGGGGGGCTGGGAGAGAGACTAATGGGACACATGGGGGGCTGGGAGGGAGACTAATGGGACACATGGGGGACTGGGAGGGGGGCTATATAGACACTGGGAGGGGGACTAATGAGGGGATGGGAGGCAGAGCTAATGTGACACATGGAGGGCTGGGAAGGAGGCTAATGGGACACATGGGGGCTTTGAGGGAGAGCTAATGGGACACATGGATGGTCACTCAGATGGCCACTAGAACATGGCCTATGTTGAGCATCTCCACGCTCTGTATGTAGGCACTAAATGCTCCCCATAGAGATGCATTGATTCAATGCATCTATATCAGGAGATGCTGATTGGTGCAGCGAAGAGTAGAATTTTGCCACACATGCACAATAGCCTCACAATGCTTTCCTATGGAAAAGCATGGATTGGCTGAGATCATCAAATTTGATGATCTCAGCCAAAGTGAAGAGCACACTCTTATTACTTCAAAATAAACAAGATAACATATATTTTTTTACTGCGGTGCAATTGCATACATTCACCATTTCAGTCCCATTACCAAACTTTTCTTAATAAGTCAAGGTAGTTGCACTGAGATATTGATTATATGCAAATGCACGTCTGCTTAAAATAAATTTGCTCTTTTGTTAATTTTGAAGCCCTATGAGTGCTTTTTTTCACGTTTGAGTAAGAGTTTTCAGGGGGTTTTTTTCCGCTTCCATATTTGCACACTATGATGGCGCAACGCATTATGGGTCTGGTATAGAATTTCTTTTCCATGGCTGCTTTTCATTGTCAGTCCGGCCCTGTTCCCAATTATATTTTACATTTTTTAGTACACCTGTGTGATTTGCATCTGGAACAGGAAGTAGTTCAAACATGACTTCCTATTTCATATGGGTATAAATATTAGGTAACACATAGGTCAAATTATTCTAGTCATGCATCACAGTGGGTAAGACCAAGGAATATAACGTAATTTGTGCTGTTTGTATTTTAATTATCGTGTTTAGTTGTTACATAAAATGGCCAATATAGTCCAAAATACGCATAAGTAGTCTAGAACATCCATATTTACATAGGTTATTGATCATTTATCTTGGGATTTCCTTTTCTTTCTTTGTTTATAGGTTATTGCTGTGACTGGGATTTCTGTGGGCCTAGGGCTGGCTTCAGCATGTGACACACTCATATCGCAGGTATTCAACTAAGAGTTATATTTCCTTTATGTATGTTGAAATAATAAATACAAAAAGTGTATGGCTCTCAAGCTGACTTCTGAACAGTACTCATGTAATCCATTTTCCAGATGTGCAAACCAGGAAACAAACTGGCACAATAATTTAATTTAATTGAGCTTCCATGAAGCTGAAGGGTTAACAAAGCTATTAAAATAATATACGATGGGATCTGTGAGAGCCCCAGCCTGTAATAAGAGAGAGCTAATCAAACCACAATTAGGCAAATACAGGTCTTTTCCTCTCTCCCTGCCACCCTGTGTTACAGAAGATGAGATAGAAGATTGCAGAGTAGATAGAGGAATAGTATAGAAGATGTCCAAGCAACTTCATCAAGTAAGTATTTTTTTTTTTTATGGCTTATTTATTTATATGTTTGTTTATTTAAGATTTACTGCCTTCCTCTTAAATATTTATTAGATGTAGAGAGTAGAAAAGGTAATTGATATGGGGGTTGGGTAGCCTTGAGTACTCATAGTTGCCAGGGTTTATTGGTTAACAGGACTATAGAGATTGGGTACTTTCTGGTCCTATATACATTAATGGGACTAGAAGATTTGGGCATCGTCTGAGAAATTTTGACCTTTAGAATACCTCACACACTACTTAGACCGTTATAACATTACTAAGATAATTTATTTATTCCGGTCCCTGAGTATATTACTCGCCGTTCTTGTACTGTATAGCAATTTTGGTTTCTCACTATTAGGTGACTTTGACCGTTAGGAACACCTTTCTCCTGATAGGTTTTACTATTGAGACTTAGTATCCCTCTATTGCTCCCACTATAATCACGGTGAAGTTTTCTCTTTGTTTACAGAGACAAGTTACATTTCTTGTTTCAACGTTTAACTAATTGACGATTTCAGTTACGGATAAGGGTATTACACATTATCCGGAATACTGAAATTTTGTCGTATACAAGATTAGTCTATATATTTTAGCACAGTTAGCTGTTCTAAAGTGTTACATTATACCTCACTTATAACTGTTTCTTTGTATAAAATAAAATTCACTTTGTAACATTTTTCTCAGCTACAGTAGTATTTCTGCTTGCTGGTGATTGCAAAACTCAGTTTTGCTAACTTATTTTGGGTTTGGATTTCTGAAAACTTTAGAACAGAACCTCCCAACTATATTATCTGATATTTTTAGCATCGAGTTAATACATGGTATTTTGAATATATATATATCTTTCCACTGGCATTTTTAGCATAGAGTCAATATATGGTATTTTGGATATATATATCTTTCCACTGGTCTTTTGCCCCCACTACAGTATCTCTGGGGCTTTTTTCACTAGTGGGAAAGATTACCTTTTGCATTATAGACTTTTTTTCTCCATATTGACTCTTTACAATATAGAATATTGGTATTAGATATTTATCCTTACACATTTTCTATTTTAATGAATTCATTAAAAGTTATATTTTAATCATTAGGTCACTCCTTTCTCTTCTTTCTTTATTATTATAGGTTATATAAATAGTTAACACAGGCTTAACTCAAGTTATATTTATAACATAAGCACAAAACAACCAAATCAAAGGAAATTTCTAAAGGACAGGATCAGCAATCTTTGGCTGGTAAAAAGGTAGGAATAAAAAGATGCAAGAAAGAGTGAAACTGAGAGAAGGAGAAAATGTGAAGACAAAGAAGTTGAAAAGTTGGGATAGGCAAGGGAGCATTAATAGAAAATTAACTTGAGAGACAAGAGCAAAGAGGAGTGATACAGGGATAGATCATCATGAAGGAAGTCATGTGAAAGAATACAATAAGGGATGGCAACTTTTAGCCTGGGGCACAAGTACAAACAAATGACCCTTTTACGTTCACAGATCTGAGTGTGAATGGTTCTACTCATGAGGAGCATGTGACATATGGATTGACTGATGGAGGTTGATGGAGTTGTGAGGTCTGGCATCATATATCCATAAAACAATATATAAAGTGTCAAGGCATATCTAATTCTCCAAAATGTAGACTTTAAAAAGAACAGGCCACCATGACAATTATAATTAAACAATTACCATACAGCCAAATACTTAAGTGATAATAGAATGCTTTCTAATCTAACCAAGTTCACGGCCGCAATGTAGCAACCAGGAAACACTGCTCCGAGAGCAAGGGATCTTGTGACCCCCACACAGGTAAAGACTTTCCACCGTGACCATATTGTGTTGCCATGGAGATGGATGTAGAAGACTCTATAGAGATAATGCCCACATAAAATACTTTGATTTGTTACAAATAGTTAGACACCATATATATTTAGCAATTTTTATTAAAAAAAAACCAAAAACACAAAAATTACAATTTAGGCTAGAAATTTTAAATATTTTTAAAATCGGCAATACATTGTTTTTTTTCTCAGAGCAGAACTATAATTATCACAATTTGTATGTGATAAATATTATATTAATATTATTATTTAATATATTAAATATTAGTATTAATGTCAAACATCCCTGTCACAAAAGTATAGCACATAGATAGGAAAAATAAATCCTAATCCAAATTCAACTATAATTCCTTCTGTTTCTTAAATAAATAAAAAAAAATGAAGAGAAACTAACCAGTGATTACAATTAAATCGTATTAAGAGAATTATATAAATCATATATCATATATCCCTGCAACCTCCATCTATATAACCTACATAGCACGCTTTAGGCAGCTCTTAATGTTGATAATGTCATGGAACAAGACTGAACGTGATGGATTATCACTTAAGGTTAGAGTATTCTGTAAATTCTGTTTGTTTTTTTGTATGTCTTTTAGATATTTGGCAGCAAAAATCTAAAACTTATTGGAGTTATTGTGCAACGTGGAATCCTTATCCTGATGCTTGCTTGCTTTCCATGCTGGGCACTGTTTGTTAACACAGAGAACATTCTATTATTCTTCAGACAGGACCCAAGGGTGGCCCGGTATGACAAGTTTACATTTTTAATCTATTCCTATTGTTTTTCAAAATATTTTCTTTACACAGAACATATGTCTTGAATGAATGAATTTCCCAAATTTTCATTCCCTTAACGTACACTGATTTGTTTTGGTAGCTTCTAAAAGAGCTACTGAAAGTAAGTGACTAGTTATGTAATGTTTCTGACAAACGGTTATTATAAAATCATCTTTACTATTCCTATATCTATTAATTGTTTTCTAAAATAAAAACAAAAAACTAAGAATGCTTAAAGAGGCAGTGTAAGAAACATAGCAATTTTTCTTTATTGCAAAGTTTATTGTTAAGAGTGTACCAAATACCATGTACAGCTATGAGAGTCTTATAATTTCAGTGAAACATAAATATCTTTATAATTATAAGACAGCCCCAAGAGCTGTCTGCCAGGCAGCTGGAATTCTCAGCTCTGTCTCCTTAATGTCAATATTGTCCAACTTGTACACAGATTCGACTTATCTCCCCTAAATATGAGCTGGGCTGTGTGTTGTCACATGTTTGAGGTGAATGTAACATGTTTGAGGGCTCAGTATACAGAGATTCGGACAAAACACAGTCACTTAACTTAAAGTCTTTAGTGATAAAACGAATGACATTAACTGAAAAGTCCAAAAACAATACCCAATAGTGCAAAGCCAGGATCAGCAAAGTAAAGTCTTAATAATTAGGTATTCACGGTAGGATCAGTGAAACAAAAGTATAAAGTCTTTGGTTGTTTAAACAAATAAGCAAAGCATTACCAGGTGATCCAAGACCAGATCAGACAGGCAAGGGTGAACCAACGCTGGTTCAGGCAGGCAAAGGTGAGCCATGACTGGTTCAGACAGACAAGGGTTAACCACAGCTGGTTCAGGAAGGCAAGAGTGAAAAATGGTTGGTTCAGGCAGGCAGGGGTTAACCACAGCTGGCTCAAATAGGCAGCAGTTAACCAAGGCCGTTAAAGGAGGGCAGGGTGTAACCAATGCCCAATGCAGGATCAGACATCTGAGAGTTTACAAGTACATCTGAGCAAGGAGCCCAGTGTGGCCTGGGTTTAAATAGGGGAGAGGGAATGGGAGCCCTCCAATGAGGAAGGGTCTCTGGGTCCATATAAGTGCAGGCCCCTCTGGGAGAGATGGTGTCCACGCCCCCCTATGCAGGTGGGATGCTATGTACATTCATCTCGCTGAACCCCATGCTGCTCCTATACATGCTGAGATTGATCCCCTAGGGTTCTGTCATTATGAGTGGATCCTGGAGCAGTGTGGGAGACACTGAGCAAGAAACCAAACAGATTCACAATCATTGTGGACATAAGTGGAATTGCTGGCATGCCCTTTTAGGCCCAGCCATACCCACGGAATTAATAAAGGCACACATCTCAGGATGTTTGGAGATGCTCCACAAACAGTGCATACACAAACAAAGCACATTTTTAACCCCATAAGGATGGCGAGCATTCTATGCAGTCCTTTTTTAGGCGGTCCTAATCGCCGGCGGGCAGCATAGAGCGTTCCCGCAGTCCTTCATACTTGCACTTGCAGAAATGCATCGAAAAGTTCCCAAAAGTCCCAAAACCGCTGTAAAATATTTCCAGAATAGCTCCAAAACTGCAAAAAGTTGCTCTAACACCTCCACACTCGGCACCACATGCTACCCACAGACTACAGAATGCACGGGGGTGGCGCTATAAACCTCCCAGGTGCAATGCACCCTGGGAAAAAAAAGAAAAAGGAAACCGGGGCATTATTTTCAATGGATTTTCATTTGTAAACTGAAAATTATGTTAACCAAGAAGTTTGTAAACCGAGGTACCACTGTACTTAGATCATATATTTGTATATATATATATTTATATATATATATATACACACACACACACCTTGTTCCAAATTATTATGCAAATTATATTTTTCTCATTTACCTAAATAATTGATGTAAATAACAGTCAGCATAATTCTCATGTTATCAACTATTAAGAGTACAATTCAAATTTTATTGAACCATCCTCCTAATGATAACAGAATTTTTTTAAACATAAAAAACTTACAATGCACTGTTCCAAATTATTACGCACAGTAAGTTTCAAAACACTTTATAGGTTGTATAGAACTGAAAATTGTCATTTGTTGTGTTTGCAGCATATTTACTGAAATCAAAAGCTATTTCAATCCATCTTATAACAACATTTTAACTTTTTAAACATTTTAACAGGTAACGTTACATTTTAACATAGGACCCCTTATTTTATCGCAGCTTCACAAGTCTTGCATCTATTGAACTTGTGCGTTTTTTGGACAGTTTCTGCTTGAATTTGTTTGCAAGATGTCAAAATAGCCTCCCAGAGCTGCTGTTTGGATGTAAACTGCCTCCCATCCTCATAGGTCTTTTGCTTGAGGATGCTCCAAAGGTTCTCAATAGGATTGAGGTCAGGGGAGGATGGAGGTCACACCATGACTTTCTCTTCTTTTATCCCCATAGCAGCCATTGATGCAGAGGTATTCTTTGCAGCATGAGATGGTGCATTGTCATGCATGAAGATGGTTTTATTACGGAAAGCAGCTTTAAATATCTGTTTGTTGCTATGTAATGGTATTTTAGCAGCTGCTCTCTTGATCCGATGCATGGATCTGGCAGAAATCTTCCTCAATATGCCTTTATCTGCACGAACCCGTCTGTGCTCTGAATCAGCCACAAATCTCTTAATAGTGCGATGATCGCGCTAAATTGGGCTCACCTGGCAATTTAATTATCACAGGTGTCCGAGATTGTTTTCAGTGATCAAAAGAGCCCTGAGACACAATGCCATCCATGAGTTAAACTGAAAAACAAAATATTTAATCTTTGTGACACTTACATCGAATTTGCATAATAATTTGGAACAGGGTGTATATATATGATCTAAGTACTATTATATACACATACATATATCATTAATAAAAGTGTATTTTAATATCTATATAATTATATATATTAATATTAAAATACATTTAGAATGACGTTAATAATTATATATATTTAAAAAAAATTAAAATAATTAATAAATAAATTGAATATAGAAAAGAAAGAAAATAATAAAAATACATTTTTTAAAAATTATATACCGGTTTCAATTTCTTCTAACTGTATTTTGATACGAATATACATATATATTAAATTCAAAATACATTTAGAATGATATTAAAATTACATGTATGTATCTATCAAATCTATATATTATATATATATATATATATATATATATATATATATTATATATATATATATATATATATAGAGAGAGAGAGAGAGAGAGCTATATATAAAAAATATATTTTTTAATTATATATATATATTTAAATTCTACAAATATATTTATATAATATTTTGACATAATTAAATCAGACAACCCAGCCAGAAAGTCCAGATAATTTAGCTTGCAAACCCTGTATTTATTATTTAACCCTTTAACTTTCCAGGACACCATAAAGCCTGTACATTGGGGGTATTGTTTTACTTGGGAGATGTCGCTGAATACAAATATTAGTGTTTTAAAATAGTAAAACATATCGTCAGTAAAAATGCAGTTTTACATTTTTCACACACAAACTACTTTTACTGACTATATAATTGTTGATCCGGTTTACTATTTTGAAACACTAATATTTGTGTTTAGCGAAGTCTCCCGAGTATAACTGTACCCTACATGTACAGGTTTTATGGGGTTTTCAAAAGTTACTGAGTCAAATAGAAGGCTTGAATTTCCTTTTTTTGACATTGAAATTTGCCCGATTGGTTATGTTGCCTTTGAGATCATATGGTAGCCTAGGAATGAGAATTACCCCCATGATGGCATACCATTTGCAAAAGTAGACAACCCAAGGTATTGCAAATGGGGTATGTCCAGTCTTTTTTAGTAGCAACTTAGTCAGAAACACTGTCCCAAAAAAAAAAAGTTTTTTGCATTTTTTAATGCACAACAAATATGAACGCTAACTTTAGCCAGTGTTTGTGACTTAGTGGCTACTAAAAAAGACTGGACAGGGGGCGGGGCCTGACTGCAGAGATGAGAGGAAGCAAACCTCAAAAGCTCCTGCTGCAGGCAACAATTAAAGTGAACTTTCATTGCCCAAACAACAATTTATTGAAGCGGGACAGTCACCAAACAAAAGGCGACAACCAGCAGCACAAATTGATACCACTTACAAGCCGTTTGGAGCAACATTTGCCTGATAGGAGTCTGAGGCCTACAAGCATGGCGAGTGCAGGGGAGATGGCCGCTCCTCTGCCACCATGACCGACTGAGCTTCTCTGTACCCGGGTCCACATTACCCCCCCATGGACCAGCGGGGGTCATCCCGGTCTACCCTCAAAACGTGAGCACTCACCCACAACTTGAATTAGGTCGCAAGGCTGACTGGCGGGAGACACGAGGACTCACTAAGATGGCTGACGGCACCCCCGCCCACACAACACAAGCACCCAATGACTGGGCCGCAGCTTTCCAGACGAGGTTCGATGCCATATGCAGGCAATTCTGGGACCGTCTGGAGGATCGACACCAGCCGCCAACGTCACCACGGGCCAGTGGAGGGACCAAGGCACCTGCAGCATGGGAGCCAGCCAGAGCTCCATACCCAGACCAGCGCAAGACCAAGGTGCAGCCAGAGGGGCCCCAACTGGGCAAAGCTACAGCTAAGCCGACGAAAAAAAAAAGAATGACAGCCTGGCTGGGATGAGAGTCATAAGGAGTAAGACCCCCACAAGCCACACACACCTGCAGAAGAGAGCAAATTACCCACGGAAGCGCCGAAGTGCTGCCCTACGCAGCCCCACACCGGGGAAGGACCAGGCCTCAAAACGGCGACGGGTCCGTGAAATGGTGATACCGGCTCTCACAGAGTCTCAGGGAATGAAGGGTGCCCCACCTTGAATACACAGAGAAGCCCATGTGAACACAGAGGGTCCCGAGGTGCGGACGGGGGGACTCACTGACATCCATCCACACCTGCACTCACAGCCTCCAGACGGGGCATCGGATGATCTATTACCCAGCAGCTCCCAGGGACTATGTGGCAACACAAAGCTGAGGCGTTGGCTGACAGTGCCAATTGTTCCTGGGCACGGTATCCATGCCACCCGCTAGGACATGCAACAACAGCTTAACCCGTCTGTACCCAGTCAAACAAAGCTGTTGACTATGTGCTTAAACTTTGTTTTTGTATTTTTTATGTTTAGGTGTCCTTAGTTGCCTGCCTATGCCAATACATGCTATATTAGAAGAGAGGTGTTATATGACTCCAGCTAGCATGTTATACGATTCCAGCCAGCATGTTACCCAACCCCAGGCAGCAATAGAGAGCCCAGCATAGCCTATACAACTAGACACTAGCTCCACTGAACTCACTCAGACTAACAAACAAATCAGTGAGTCAGGTATTAAACCTGCTAATAGCTTGTTTTTATCTATCTACATAACCAGTGATGGCGTACCTAACCTGTTATTATACTCCTAGCCAGCATGTTATGCGATTAAATCAGTGTCCGCGAGTCTAGCATGATCTCCACATATGTGAATGAGTCTCACCAATTCCTGCTATCATATTTTGAATTTTCCTGCATGTTTATCTACTTACTATAAAATTGTGCACATATAGGCCCTCTAACGCAAAGTTTCGTTTAAATGTTGTAGCGGAACGCCAATATTAAATCCACGAATTCCGCTGGTTCAGGAAGTAATCCACAGTCAAGCGCTGGAAACAACAAGGCAATATCCCAAACCTCCCAGTAACTGGACGAAACACAGTTCTGAGAGTCAACTGAGGTCTTTTAATTCTGCTTCACAATTTATACAAGTCCCCATGCAAGGGGTTTCCTGAGTCCCTTCCCAGGGACATTCCCAGAGGGGACTACATGGGGGACTTATAGTACAAAGCATTTCTCCCATCAGGCACTGCTGCACGAGAGGGATCCTCCTCCTGGAATATACTGTTAAGTGGATTATCCCTCCGTGCAGCAGAACCGACAATTTATATTAAAACACATAACTTTTCGAATATGCAGTCTATTTGCACGAATGGACGTTCGGTAGATAGCTGGGGTCTGAGCGCATCATTCGTGAGATTACCGCTCAGATCCCAGCTAAAACAACCGAACGCCGCACAAAAACACATTTATTGAGAAACATATTAAAAAGACCGATTGCCTTCCAGGGTATGAAATACCGAACGGCCCGGAACTCCCGAACGTCCTGGAGGCTCAGCGGTGTTCGCGCCGTCGAGTAGCCATTTTTAGTACCATGCACTCGACGACCTAACACCGCTGAAGGCACAAAGGATCCAAGATGGCCGACCGCCGCATGGTCGGTAGTCAAACGGCGGCCACCTAGGAGAGCCTCTACTTACCGATTGCAACATTGTTGCAATCGGTTAACAAGCGCCACACGCCTCTAAGTGTGTGGGCTATTATGTGTAGGGTTTTCGGTTCACGAACGGCCCGCCAAAGTGCCGTTTGTGAAACAAAAGGAAAACCTCATACAAATAGCTATCTGCATTCGGCGGATAGCAAATACAGGGAATACACAGTTATTACAGCCCGCATACATTGTACATAGATGAACACATATCCCCACCGACATATAGGCAACCCTTAAAGGTATAGTCTCTTGATATAGTCCAAGTGGCTAGGTTTGCCACAAATGTGTTATATGACTGTTTTGCCGCTCGAATACCGGAAGCATTGACAGTTAGATTAGCCTATCTTAGAACAGTTAACTGTATAGCATTATCCAGACTAGTCATGCTGCCAGATCATACGCAACATTAAGTTGCATCACAGTTACTCTTATAATGCCCACTACATTATGCATACTGATGTTACTGCTTGTCACTCTGGTGACTTACAATTAGATGTATGTACCTAGCTTGTTTATTTTCTTACAAATACAAAAAAATGTGCCAATAAAAAAAAAGAAAAGACTGGACATACCCCATTTGTAATACCTTGGGTTGTCTACTTTTGCAAATGGCAAGCCATCATAGGGGTAATTTTCATTCCTAGGCTACCAAACGGTCTCAAAGGCAACAAAACCAGTCTGGCAAATTTCAATGTGTATAAACTGAAAAATGTAATGTGCTATATTTGACCATGTAACTTTCCAAATTACACCATAAAACCTGTACATTGGGGGTATTGATTTACTCATGAGACATCGCTGAATACAAATATTTGTACTTTATTGCAGTAACAGTTAACAGTATTGTGACGATTACAGTTAAAATGCCATGCAAAACTAAAAAAATAACATTTCTTAATTTCTCAAATTTTTAAATATTGTATTCATATTAAATTATGTTTAATATACAAATATTTGATGTTACATGAAAACCCTGTTTCTCCTGAACCAAATTATATATGATAAGTGTGGGTGCACATAATATGAAAAAGAGGAATTACGTCTGAACAGACATATAGCGCAAATTCAGGGTTTTGTTTATGTTTTGTTTTGATCACAACTTGTTCAATGGCCTTAGTCATTAAGGGGTTAACTCATTAGTATTTAGAGCAATAACCTTTGATAATTCTCGTCTCCTCTGGGCCTTCTCATTGACAATATTTTTATGCATATTCTTCGGTACATTATTTCTTGTGTGAGGTTAAGAGAGTTGAGCCTGGAGCAGTGAGGGGATCCTTATGTTCCACATGCCCTGATCTTAGTCCTGCTGAGGCTGAATAGTTCATTATTAATAATTATAATTTCATAGTTTACAAGTATGAATAATAATGGTTTTTGAAGGTGCCTCGTAGTGATGAAAGGTCATGCATCTGTAGTCATTAATAATCTGACATTTAGTTTTCTGATTACAGCATGGCAGAAGATTACGTCCTGTGTTTTATTCCTGCTCTCCCAGTAAGTTCATTTCAACTTTCCTATATTCTGCAATATACATAATTGTGTTGCTGTTCTGGTCTATTATTTACACATACTGCTCTAATCAAAATATATCTAAAACTTATGCAGAGCATAATTTTAATGATCTCCTAATAACACACATATATATATATATATATATAAACACACACACACACACACACACAAGCGCACAATCACTAAATATACAATAATAAAAAACTTAAAATGTAAAACCAAATAATTCAGCAGCTCCACATAATAGGAATATTTTCTAATTCTCAATAATCCAAAATGCACAACAATATGTGGAAGTGCTTAGTGAATAAGCCTTTGAATACATAAATAATGATTACACTTGACAATCAATATATAAAATAAATCTCTGTGTAAGTTATTTAAAAATAAGTCCAATATACTGTATAATCCTTGACAGTACTGGTTTATAGCCGGGAGATAGGGTGTTCAGATCCTAATTTTCAGTATATCCAACTTGCAGTGAAATTCTCCATTCCACACAGTGTATCAATATCCTAAAAGATACAGGGGAACAAATATGGTGTGATACTGTTGATTTATTGAAACTTCCCAACCTGTGCCCCTAATAGGAACTCTTACACTATATTTGTGTGGTTACCATCTCCACTAATCACAAAAAAGGCATTCACAATATTCCAATAGTTAAACGAGTTACCGCTCCACCGGTGTATTTCGTTCCACCAGTCTCATTCTAAACACCTGAGTGGGTGTTTGAAAGCCGGAGAGACGCTGCAGCTCCTCACCATTGATCTTGTTAATGTTCAGGAGCTCAGAAGACATTTCTTCATCAATGTGTTTCGCCAATGCACTATGGGCTTTCTCAAGGTAATTTTGTGGCTATAAGCCAGTACTGTCAAGGATTATACAGTACATTGGACTTTTTTTTTTTTTTTTAAGTAACTTACACAGATATTAATTTTAAAGGATCCCTATAGGGTCAGAAACACAAACATGTATTCCTGATCCTATACTGTTAAAACCACCATCTAGCCCCCTGGGCCCGTCATGCCTCCAGAAATATAGCAAAATCTTACTGTATTCAAGTCTGAAGCTGTAACACTGCAGGCTGTTTGCCTCAGAAAAACAAGCAGTCTGCTGACATCAGAAGAGGTGGCCTGATCCAATCACAATGCTTCCCCATAGGATTGGCTGAGACTGACAAAGAGGCAGATCAGGGGCAGAGCCAGCATGATTCAAACACAGCCCTGGCCAATCAGCATCTCCTCATAGAGATGAATTGAATCAATGCATCGCTATGAGGAAAGTTCAGTGTCTGCATGCAAAGGGTGGAGACTGAGGGTATTATAATATTAAGGGAATAAATAAATAAAATTAAATAAATAAACTATTTTAAAAAAAATTAAAACAAATTATATATACATATGTAATTTTATTCTAACTGTATTTTGTTATTAATATATATATATATATTGGTAACAAAATACACTTAGAATGACATTCTATATATATCTATAAATAAAATATAAATAACCGCAAATATATAACCACATAAATATATATAATTACATAAATAACTACATACGTGTACACTTAGACTTTAAATACATATATATGTATATATATTAAAATTCTACGTGTATATTTAAGTAATCTTTTAACATAATTATGTGATTTAATTAATTAAAATTTGATTGACATGCCTGACAACCAAGGCAGAAAGTGCAGAGCATTTGAATTGCAAGCACTCTATTTAACCCTACAACTTTCCAAGACACCATAAAATCTGTACATGGGGGGTACTGTTGTACTCGGAAGACTTCACTGAACACAAATAATAGTGTTTTAAAACAGTAAAATGTATTACAACGACGATATTGTCAGTGAAAGTTAATTTTTTTGCATTTTTCACACACAAATGGCACTTACACGGACGATATAATTGTTGTGATACATTTTACTGTTTTTAAACACTAATATTTGTGTTCAGCAAAGTCTCCCGAGTATAACAGTACCCCTCATGTACAGATTTATGGTATTTTCAAAAGTTACAGAGTCAAATAGAAGGCTTGCGTTTCAGTTTTTTTACATTGAAATTCGCCAGGTTGGTTATGTTGCCTTTGAAATTACCCCAATGATGGCATACCATTTGCAATAGTAGACAACCCAAGGTATTTCAATGGGGTATGTTTAGTCTTTTTTAGTAGCCACTTAGTCACAAACATTGGACAAAATTGGCGTTCAGATTAGTTTTTTGCATTTTTCACACACAAACAAATATTAACACTAACTTTAGCCAGTGTTTGTGACTAAGTGGCTACTACAAAATACTGGACACACCCCATTTGCAATACCTTTGGTTGTCTTCTTTTGCAAATGGTATGCCATCATGGGGGTAATTCTTATTCCTGGGATACCATACGGTTTCAAAGGCAACTGAACCAATCTGGCGAATTTCAATGTGAAAAAACTGAAAAATGTAACATGCTATATTTGACCCTGTAACTTCCCAAAACACCATAAAACCTGTACATAGGGGGTACTGTTTTACACATGAGACATTGCTGAATACAAATATGTGTATTTTATTGCAGTAAAAGCAAACAGTATTATGACACTCACAGTTAAAATGTCACGTAGAACTAAAAAAAATTTTTAATTCTTATTTTATTCATATTAAATTATGTTTCATACCTAAATATTTTAAGTTAAATGAAAGCCCTGTTTCCCCTGAATAAAATGATATATAATAAGTGTGGGTTCACATAATATGAAAGAGGCGAATTACGCCTGAACAGACATATAGCGCAAATTCAAGTTTTTGTTTACATTTTGTTTTGATCACAACTTGTACAATTGGCTCATTCCTTAAGAGGTTAAATATACCTAAACCTAGGTTTATGACATCCTACAAACATACATGAATACATTTAATCTATCAATTACTTTCTCTACAGGTTTCATTTCTTTATCAACTAGAAGGACGATATTTACAAAATCAGGTATATTTTTTTAATCACAATACAAACCCCAAATTACAAATTATGTATGGTAATGTTAATTGCCTGGAATATTGTAAATTTAAAAGCAAAACAGCTGAGCTGGAAAAATATAAATCTTGGAGAATACAAATTTGGTCCAACATTGAAATTCCATTTTCTTTTGACCCCAATTCTATGTCATTGAATAAACACCAGCATTAAGGACATGTTAAACTTGGAATACAATACAATTATTGATATTTCTTTTAGCTAAATCTTTGTTAAAAGAATGTTGGGGGTTTATCTACTGAATGTTGAAGAGTTGTAAAATAAAATCCAAATTACAAACTTTAGGCTAAAATAGCCAAGTTGTGATTATAGTTGACTTGCAGAATTTTTCCAAATTAGATAATTTTGGTTTAATTTTGTCATTCAGATTGCAATTATCTACAATTTGTTGTTTAGTGATTAAAACCATTAAGGCTCATTTCCATACAGAAAACAGTTGATAAATATCAGCTGTTTTCAGCAGATTTTTTTTATTCAGAATTTCAACTGTATTTAAAAAATGTGTCGGCTGCTGAGGGTATTATAATATTCAGGGGGAGGACCTAGTGTCCTAATGTCCTCCCCCTAGTCACCACCCATTGACAACAGATTAAGGCCCTAATATTAATATTAAAGAGGGGAGGACTAAATCGTTTAGTCCTTCACTAGCCGCCAATGGGAGGGACGATAGATCCTCGCCCTAAATTCAATATTAGGCTCACCACCTGCTATGAATGGGTGGGGGGCAGGGAGAAGACATTGGCTTCTCCCCCTTGATTGTGTTTATTAGGGGCGCTATTCATCTCCATTAGTGATTTAAAAGTCTCCCACTCAATATCACCCTTGTTATTTCACAGGCCCCATGCCCATGGGATTGAGCGTTTCTAGTAACTGGGTAGCAATAGCTGCCTGCTCACTAGGTTTAGATATTTTAGTACACATGCCCCCATCTACATCATGGCATAGGGAGGTGTTAAACTTACCTTATTGTAATATGCGGGTCTTATTGGACCCCATAGATTTTTTTATTTATTATTTTTAACTATTTAATGTAGTGGCTGGCTAGAGGCTGTTGGTGCTGCTAGTGGACAAATAGCACTTAAAATTATTGTTTGCTTTAATAATTGCAAGTGAATGAGAATCTGCGAACATGCATCCTGCCGGATGCATTCGGTCCCAAATGTTATTAATCTTTTAAAGCTTAGTCCTTATACAGAATTCTAAAGCAAAATTTTAATTTGGAAACCAAATGGATCCAAGCAATTACTGCAGATTCCCTCTGGCCGACACAATTAGACCGAATTAGGCTCTAGTAAATATCAGATATACCAATGTGCTCAGAATTTGGCAATTTTCACTGGATATTGTCTATCCGGACAAAATCTGGTGTTTAGTGAATAAATGTGTACATGGCGGTCAGTATAAGTGGATGTGACTAGCATGCATATGTTAACCAAGGATACTTGTTAGATGTTGGTATTAATGTTTAACAAAAACATTTTAATGAAAAGCATAGAAGCAAGCTCTTTTAAGCAGAGCCTTTGTGCTGTGCGTCTACATTGTTTAAAGGACCACTATAGTGCCAGGAAAACAGCCGGGCTGGATGGAGAGGAAGGGGTTAAACTCTTTCTCCAGTGCCGGACGGGGAGCTCTCCTCCCTCTTCTCCTCCTCTTCGGCTGAATGCGCATGCGCGGCAGGAGCTGCGCGCGCATTTAGCCAGTCCATAGGAAAGCATTCACAATGCTTTCCTATGGACGCTGGCGTCTTCTCACTGTGATTTTCACAGTGAGAAACGCGGAAGCCCTCTAGCGGCTGTCAATGAGACAGCCACTAGAGGCTGGATTAACCCTAACATAAACATAGCAGTTTCTATGAAACTGCTACATTTATAGAAAAAAGGGTTAACCCTAGATGGACCAGGCACCCAGACCACCTCATTAAGCTGAAGTGGTCTGGGTGCCTATAGTGGTCCTTTAACAGTTATTTGTATGTTTTGTTTACCTTTTATACAGCACTGTAAAAGATGTAGGTGCTTTATACATAAAATAAATAATAAAATATTTTTGTTCAAATGTGTAATTTAAGTCTGTTTTAGATTTCTAAAGCTTTGGCACTGACCCCAGATTTGTTTCACTTATTTCTGGGAAAGCATGATTTACTGTCACTTTAATGACGATCTAATTAATTGATGTTGTTTGTTACAGGGTATAGTGAAGGCTCAAATCATTGTCAGCATTGTATCGAACATCATAAATGCTATTGTCAACTATATATTCCTGTTTGTGCTGGAACTTGGAGTTATGTAAGCACACTACTAATGTTTTCATCAGTTTATTATAAGGTACACATTTACAACCTTGCTCTCTACTTGTTATGAAGATAACGAGGGCATTAATTAATACAATTAATTTCATCTAGTAATTTAGATGCAAGACTATGCAGCATTACCAATGTAAAGATATGTGTTGCTCTCTTTTTACTGGCATTAAGTAACACTCAAGTCCGAATGGCCTCATACTGAATGGGGCAAAGCCATAGGGCTTCATATTCAACAATGTCCGGATTTTGCAATTCAGGCCCAAAATTCAGATTTTAGCTGGACAGAACACCACTGGACAGCTGACATATGGACCGGGAGGCTTCATGTCTGGGCTTGAATTTTTTTAAACAGAACTAGCAGCCAACAGGCAAGTAGGTAAATAAACCTTGCCTGCACAAGGGTTAATTATGTGGACGCTGACCAGCGCTTGCAAGCTAGCTGCCACATTAACATAAATAAATAAAACCTATGTGTGTCAATAAGTCTTCCATATTACTATAATAGAGTTATTTCACCTCTCTATGCCCCCACCTGCAATGTGGGCATGTCTGTAAAACTTAAAACTAGCAACCTAGTGTCCCACTATTTGGGGGTGGGTAATAACATGTCCAACCCCCCATTGTTGAATTAACCCCTTAAGGACACAACTTCAGATATAAAAGGGAATCATGACGGAATATTTCCGTCATGTGTCCTTCAGGGGTTCCACCTGCCACCCATGGGTTGTTGCTGGGGGGGACACTAGGTCCTCTATTCTGAATATTACTATTAGGGTCAGGGATGGACACTAGGTCCCCTCCCAATATTATAATAGCCCCAACATGCTGACCGCGCATTATTTTTTTTAATGTCCCCCACCCAATGCCCACACCCACATTATTTCCATTATTTTACAGGTCCTATCCCCATCCCCAGAAACACAATGGTGCCATAGGGTATGAGAGTCACACAATGGGTTAGGGGGTTGATTGGTTCACAGTGGGGTTAGCTGGAGTAAGAGACACAAGATATGTCAGATATGTACACACAAGGATTAAGGGGGCCAGAAGACACATAAAAGGGTAAGGGGAGTTTGAAAGACACAGAAAGGGTTGGTAGGTTTAAGAGACACAAAAGTGGTTTAGCAGATGCAAAGAAGGGGGTGAAGGGGTGCAGAGAGACACAAAGAAGGTTGGAAAGACTCACACAAAATTTTACATTTCCTGGGGGGTTCCAACATACAATTACGCCCAGGTGCCAAATGTACGTCTCTGCTTTACTCCTTTGTTCCTTATTCCCTACTCTATGATTTTATTTACTTAAGTGATTCCATTATGCCCTCGCTCTTCATTTACTTTCTTGTCTTTCTCTTTTTTGTGTTTATTTTGTCTCAATTTATCTGGTTGACTGTAGATTTGCATTTCAAGATGTTGCCTTTTAGAAGTATTACAATAAGCATGACATCAAGTATAAGTGGATCTACTTAGGAATGGCTGTTTTTTGTTATTGTTAATATTATTTTACATATTTTACAGAGGCTCTGCTTGGGCCAACACTATAGCTCAGTTTTCCCAGGCTCTGCTTCTTTTCCTATACATACGTGTGAAGAAGCTCCATGTACAAACTTGGGGAGGTATGTACGCAACATAACTGAAAAGAAAAATATAGCATATGATAGTGGAGGGCTTTCTCTCAACAGAAGTCATAATGAATATATAATATGGAACAAGAATATATATATATATATATATATATATTTAAAATGATTAAATCAGTTACGTTTGCCCTGCATATATTGCAGTCTCAAGTGTCACAAGATGCCTTTTTTTTCGACATTTATCTTTTTTTCTAGATGTTCTTAGATATTATTATTTGAATATATATAGTGTTTTACAGTTATAGGCAGTGGATATTTGAAGGCACTGTACAAACAAGTTTATAATATACTCACTGGTAGATTGCTGCTCAAACCAACCAATATATTGGTATATAAACGGATCTTCCACAACATTAAAGTCACCTGTCTAATATTGTGTAAGTCGCCCTCATGCTGCCAAAATAGCTCTATTGTGATTAGACATAGAATCCACAAGACTTCTGAACATGTCTTGTGGTACCTGGCATTAAGACACTAGCAGCATATCCTTTTAGTCGCAAGTTGCGAGTTGGGGCTGCCATGGATCAGATTTATTGTTCCAGCACATCCCAAAGATGCTTAGTGGCTCCATGGTTCTGATGCTCACGTCTCCATTGAAGTCGCTTTCAGCAGTGGACAGGGGTTATCATGTGTAATCTGTCCTTTCTGCCTCTACACCCCACATACGCAACAAACTGCGATGCACTCTGTGTATTGACATCTTTCTGTTGTGGCGATCATTAAGTTTTTCAGCAATTTGAGCTACAGTAGTTTTTGTGTGATCAGACCACACGGCCCACCTTTCCTCCCTACATGCATCAATAAATCAAACACACAAAAAAAGGAAACCGCACACCTATTATGGTCCTGGGGTTGCCAGACATGGGCTGGCTACCCCACTGCATTAGTAAAGCAAAAGTATGGTCCAGGCACTCAAGGATGACTTGTGCACAGTAGCGTACACATAATCCACAGGGCCCCGGTGCAAAACTGATCGGTGGGCCCCCTCCCCATTCCCTCCCTCTCCCGCTCCCCCACCCCCCAACAGACACACACACACATATATATATATATATATATATATATATATATATATATATATATATATATACACACATATAGACACATACAGACAGACAGATACATACAGACACATGCACACATAAATACATACAGACACATTCATACATACATACAGACCGACACACACACATACCAACAGACAGGCACACATACACACATACAGACACACACACAAGACACATACATACAAAGACACATACATACAAACAGACAGGCATGCATACATACAGACAGACACACACACACACATACATACAGACACACAGACAGACACATACATACAGACACACACATATACATACAAACATTCATACATACAAAGACACATACATACACACATACATACATACCGACACACACAACACATACATACAAAGACACATACACACATACAGACACACACACAAGACACACATACAAAGACACATACATACACACATATAGACAGACACACACACCAGGCATACATAGAAAGACACACACATACATACAAAGACACATACATAAGACACACACATACATAAGACTCTGACCGGGCCCCCTTACAATCCACATCCATCGGGTGGCCCTGACAGCATGGGCCACCCGATGGACCCCTTAGATGGCTGCCCCGGCGGCTTGCCGTGCAGGCTGGTGACGCAAAAGATAATGGCGGGTACCCGGTCGCAGGGGTCCGCAGGGCGACCGGGCCCCCTGGAGTGACAGGCACGGTCGCAGCTGCGACCCTGCGACTGCGGTATGTACGCCACTGCTTGTGCAGCAGATTTATTGGAACAACAAGATAAGGATGCAACGTTTCGATCTCTAAAAAGATCTTTCTCATGCATGCATCCTTATCTACATGCATCAATGAGTCTTGGATGCCCATGACCTTGACACCAAAATACCAGTCGTCTTTCCTTGCACCACTTTTGGTAGGTATTAACTGCATACCGGGAATACTCTACAAGACTTGCCGTTTTGGAGATGTTCTGACCCAGTAGGCAAGTCATCACTATTTGTCCCTTTTCAAAGTCACTCAGACCTTTTTGCTTGCCCATTTTTCCTGTTTCCAACACATTAAATTCAAGAACTGAATGTTCACTTGCTGAAGACATATTTCACTATTTCACAGAATGAATGGCCTCCTCAGAGTTATTGAAAGAAGTAAAAACTCCTTCACGATTAGTTAGATTATGTATTCTTCTGACCAAAGGTGGAACTACCGCACTGCACCAAGGCCCTCAAGCTGAGTGTGTGCCCACCCAATAGCTATTTTTGATCATGGGCTTTGTCAGATGCCACAGTCCTTTAACAAAGCAAAGGGACACTTGTAGATGTAAAGCCATGGTGCTGAGCGTAAGTGTGTACAAGTCACTTCCTCCTACCATACCAATGAGCCTCACGGGAGAGGGAGAGGCAGGAGAACTAGAGAGGAAGGAGGGCCTGGTCAAGATTTAGCCAGATGTCAGTGGACCCAGGGAGGCTTCCATCCTGCACCCTAAAGGCAAAGAGGGGCCAGGTGGATCTGTGCCTGATCACAGTTGGCCATCACATGTATAAATCCTGAGTTGGTGCAATAACTAACTAAACATCAATAACATTATATAAAATATAATATCTATTATTTGTATTGTCTCTGGAACCCCTACTATAAAACTTTAGATTACACAAGGAGATTACGGGATTACGCATTAGACACAAGGAATATACAATTGCTGCTTATGCGGACAACCTAATTAATTTGTTACTATCTGCGCTATGAGAGTACTCCAAAGTATCGGGTTACTGCCTAAAGATGGATAAAACCAAAGCTCTACCCATTCACATAAAGAAAACGACACTGAACGCCCTTAAGGCGACTTATCCATTCCAGTTTAACATGACTCATATTCACTATTTGGGAACACACCTACTCGCCGATATCGGCTTAACAACTCCCCCTTACGAGTAGTTACAGGACCTTAAATCCTGGGAGGGCCTTTCCATCTCCTAGCCAGGCAGACTAGCATCTGTAAAACTAAACTTATTGCCCATGTTCCTCTACCTATTAAAGAAACTCCACATATTCCTAAAAGACTTTAAGATGCTGCAGACCAGCATAGACAAACTCATATGGACCAACACACGGGCCAGGATTAAAAGAACCACCATATATGTCCTAACAAGAGCAGGGGGCTGGGCCTACCACACCTTCGTGTGCATCTGTGTGTGTTTATATGTGTATATCTGAGTGTGTATTTGTCAATGTGTGTATACAGGGAGTGCAGAATTATTAGGCAAGTTGTATTTTTGAGGATTAATTTTATTATTGAACAACAACCATGTTCTCAATGAACCCAAAAAACTCATTAATATCAAAGCTGAATATTTTTGGAAGTAGTTTTTAGTTTGTTTTTAGTTATAGCTATGTTAGGGGGATATCTGTGTGTGCAGGTGACTATTACTGTGCATAATTATTAGGCAACTTAACAAAAAACAAATATATACCCATTTCAATTATTTATTATTACCAGTGAAACCAATATAACATCTCAACATTCACAAATATACATTTCTGACATTCAAAAACAAAACAAAAACAAATCAGTGACCAATATAGCCACCTTTCTTTGCAAGGACACTCAAAAGCCTGCCATCCATGGATTCTGTCAGTGTTTGATCTGTTCACCATCAACATTGCGTGCAGCAGCAACCACAGCCTCCCAGACACTGTTCAGAGAGGTGTACTGTTTTCCCTCCTTGTAAATCTCACATTTGATGATGGACCACAGGTTCTCAATGGGGTTCAGATCAGGTGAACAAGGAGGCCATGTCATTAGATTTTCTTCTTTTATACCCTTTCTTGCCAGCCACGCTGTGGAGTACTTGGACGCGTGTGATGGAGCATTGTCCTGCATGAAAATCATGTTTTCTTGAAGGATGCAGACTTCTTCCTGTACCACTGCTTGAAGAAGGTGTCTTCCAGGAACTGGCAGTAGGACTGGGAGTTGAGCTTGACTCCATCCTCAACCCGAAAGGGCCCCACAAGCTCATCTTTGATGATACCAGCCCAAACCAGTACTCCACCTCCACCTTGCTGGCGTCTGAGTCGGACTGGAGCTCTCTGCCCTTTACCAATCCAGCCACGGGCCCATCCATCTGGCCCATCAAGACTCACTCTCATTTCATCAGTCCATAAAACCTTAGAAAAATCAGTCTTGGGATATTTCTTGGCCCAGTCTTGACGTTTCAGCTTGTGTGTCTTGTTCGGTGGTGGTCGTCTTTCAGCCTTTCTTACCTTGGCCATGTCTCTGAGTATTGCACACCTTGTGCTTTTGGGCACTCCAGTGATGTTGCAGCTCTGAAATATGGCCAAACTGGTGGCAAGTGGCATCGTGGCAGCTGCACGCTTGACTTTTCTTAGTTCATGGGCAGTTATTTTGCACCTTGGTTTTTCCACACGCTTCTTGCGACCCTGTTGACTATTTTGAATGAAACGCTTGATTGTTCGATGATCACGCTTCAGAAGCTTTGCAATTTTAAGAGTGCTGCATCCCTCTGCAAGATATCTCACTATTTTGACTTTTCTGAGCCTGTCAAGTCCTTCTTTTGACCCATTTTGCCAAAGGAAAGGAAGTTGCCTAATAATTATGAACACCTGATATAGGGTGTTGATGTCATTAGACCACACCCCTTCTCATTACAGAGATGCACATCACCTAATATGCTTAATTGGTGGTAGGCTTTCGAGCCTATACAGCTTGGAGTAAGACAACATGCATAAAGAGGATGATGTGGTCAAAATACTCATTTGCCTAATAATTCTGTACTCCCTGTAGGTGTGTGTGTGTGTCAATGTGTGAATTTGTGTGTGTCAGTGTGTGTACCTGTGTATGTGTCAGTGTGCGCATGTGTGTATATGTGCATATTTGTGGGTATGTGTCAATGTGTATATATTTCTGTACCTGTGTGTGTTTCAGTATGTGGAACATTGTATGTGCATATGTGCTTATATCCCAACTATCAAACACCAACTCTACATTCAAACACGTTAAAACGCAGCCCGGACGAAAACGGAAAACCGGGGCCTACCCGACGTTGTCCCTGCCAAGCCTGGAAGCACTCCTCCTGCAACGGGCGAACGACTACTCTCCCCAGGCACCACCCGAGGCCTCACCCCACACACCAGCGATGGGTCACCGCTCGCAAAAGACGGCAGCAGGGGAGCACAGAGATATCGGAATGATGTTCCAGAGGCCCACGCAGCTCCAATCCACACCCGTGGAGATCGCGCGGCAGGCAGCTAGTACAAGGCCTGAAGCTCACACTAACCCAAATGAGCACGCAGGGGCAGAGGGACTGGTGGACACTCACCTGCAGCCATCAGAAGCTCCCACTGACACCACACCAATGACCAGACAAGATCTAAAGGTACTATTGATGGACTTTCACAAAATACTGGCTGCCGAACTAGCTCCAATTAACAATAACATGAAGGCCATCACAGACCGGGTACAGGCCTCAGAGAGGGACATAGCAGATGTCCAGACACAGGTACATGAACTCCATACCTCGGTCCAACAAATATGGTCTCACCAAAGAGCTATCACCTCACACATCACAGCAATGGAAGATCGCCACCACCGCACCAATGTAAAGATAAGGGGTGTCCCAACTGCAGTTACAGCGGATGAGCTCCCTCACTATGCCAGACGGTTGCTGATTTCCCTCTTGTTCCCTGCAGTAGCCCAAAAAATGACTCTTGAAGAAATCTACCGCCTACCAGGGCCCAAGGGGACATCGACAACGACACCGAGAGATGTGATACTAAGGTGCTCAACAACACACGATAAAATACTTATGTCAGCACTCAAAGGCAAAACTCCCCTGCAATTCGAGGAAGCCTCCCTAACGTTCTAGCAAGATCTCAGTAAAACAACCCTCCTGTGGAGAAAAAATGTTCCAACCAGTGACTAGCCAGCTTCAATCAGCTAAAATAAGCTATAGATGGGGAATGAACGGATCCCTGACGGTATCCAGAAACGATGGCGTACACACGCTTACCTCTATGGAAGACACCGTACCATTCCTGACAGCCCTGGGCCTGGCACAACTACCGGACACCACGAGACAGAGAGCCCACACTTCAGCGTCAACCTGGGACCCGGCGCATGCAACACCCTTCATCCCGAGAACGGGGAATGAGAGGATGGCAGAACCAGGAACAAGCACCTGCGAGGACCCAACATAAGATAACAGCCCAGCCGAAGACCAGCCAGCCACACCAGCCAGTCTCTAAACCCACCTTGGGACTGTCTGCTCAGGACATACGTAGACCCCAATATTCCCCCAGTTACTCCCCCCCATATCCTGCATTTGACCTGCATTTGGCCATGCAACTCTTTACCCACTCAAACAATAGGGCACTGCAGACATACAGACAATCACACCTACGGCTGGGGACACAACCAGCACTCTACCCCTCATAACAGGGAACAACAGCATACCACCACATCCACACAAGAGGCAACTGCCAAACTTCTCACACACCCCCCACCCCCTCGAAGCTCCCTTGGGCAGGAGCCACTACAAAAGAAACAAGTCATACTTCCTATACCCAACACCTCCCCGGGACTCTCACAACATTGCCCAGAGGCTTTGTACCGAAGATAGGCCCATAGGCTGAACGAACAAACTCTAGGACCCTCCACGAGCAACCACAGCACACCGACTCTCACCCAGAGATCAGCTAGAACACACCACACTTAAACACCTCAGAACAGGTGGCGACACAATAGCGATCAAGGCCTACACAAACATGCTACAAAAATAAAATAGTGCAAGAATGTACTGTGACCCTGCTAACACACAAAATGCATAAGTGCCCTTTAACGAATTCTGTAATGACCATGCTTTGCACTGAAAAAATAAAGAATTAAAAAAAAAACCCCACAAACAATTCACACAAGTTAACCACTGCTTTCAAATATCAACAGTACATACAAACACACAATAGCATTCAAGTTCCAACATTTTACATAAACACATACATACATGCGCACACACATACTCTAAACAAAAATATGCTTACATTCAAACATAAACACTGCTTACAACTCTGCGAGGATGGCCACATTGTAGATCACCAGCTTGGAAAACATACAAAAACTCTTTGCATACCCAATAAAAAATGGTTTAAAAAAAAAAACTCTGCACATCAGATTTTTTCTTGCATTTAATACCACATAACTGAAGACGTACACAGCAGAGTTATTCTGGTCCACATGTCATTCATGGTTATTAATTAAGATATAAATTGAGGATGATTGGCAAGGTAATTTAAATTTTAGGCTAAAATATCCTACTGGAAAATCCATTAACCCATTAATTTTCCACCTCAACTATCCTTAAAAGGTGCAATCCCTTTTTCCACGTTTCTCTTGTTGTTCACTACTGTATAAAATGTTGGAAATCAAATTTAGGCCAGAATAGCAGAATTAGAAAAAAAAAAAAAGTGCAAGTCAGTTTTGTTTTCAGTTCAGCTTTTATAGCCTAAAATTTTACATTCATTTTGGCTTCCATGTAATTCACACATTAGTGAATAACCCTGTACATGTTAAATTCTTCTTGACAAAAAATCATGGTCTATAGTGATTTCCCAAACCTCTTCCTATATATGGATTTAAATAATTATTTTTCCCTCTAACTCTACCAGGTTGGTCCATGGAATGCTTGCAAGACTGGAATTCCTACGTAGTGTTAGCTGTGCCAAGCATGTTAATGGTATGCATTGAATGGTGGACGTATGAAATTGGCAGCTTTCTTGTAGGTGAGTCATTGACAGTCATGTTTCCTTGCTGAGGTCATGTGACCTTTGTGGCAGGTATGGGTAAACAAAGCTAATCTTCTTAAAGGAATACTACAGCATTATGAATGCAAATATGTAGTCTTAACGCTAGTGCCCTAGTCACCAGTGCTGCCATGGTTATAAAAAAGGTAAATAACTGACCTTTTTAACCTCGCCGTGCTGGTCTCCTCGGTGAAGCTCCAATAATTTGATCTCATCCAATCCAAAGCATTGGGAGGCTAGTGCGCATGTGTGGCAAAATATCACGCTGCCCAACCAGATGGCCTCTCTGAGACCATCTGACTAGAACAACAGCATTTTAGTCTGCTATTTTTATGGATGCTCCTTTGGTGGCTTTCATACTGGCAGCCACTAGAGCCAGGTTAACCCTGCAATGTGGTAATTAACGTTCCTGCAAAACAGTGATGTTTTCAACTGCAGTATTCAAACTGGGCATACATGGCACCCAGTCAACCTCATTGAGATGAAGTGTTCTGGGTGCTAACAGTGTTCCTTTTAGTTACCAAGAATATAATTGAATTATCACGTAGATGGGTACTTAAATAAATGTCTTGAATAGAAAAAAAGAGAACAAATGCTTTCAGGGGAAAAAATGTATTTAATTCCTTGCATTTTTTTTTTTGTTTTGCCTTAAGAATTGGTGTTGTTATTTTGCAGGTTTGATTAGTGTGGTGGAGCTTGGAGCGCAGTCTGTCATATATCAGTTGGTAACGATTGCATACACAGTAAGAATAAATCAGGCTTATGTATTGATAATGTGACACAAATAAAGAAAGATTCTCTATGTTTCATCCTTCTTTATGTTCTAAAACAAGTTTCAAGTGGAAAGAAGTTGTTATAGAAAATGCATCCTCCAAATTCAATGACTGAACAGGGCTAGCGCCCTTTGATAGAAAGTGTATCTAAAAGGCATATAACCAGTGGCGTACCTAGAGCATTTACCTAGGCCTGTATTTGCCCCCCCTCCCCCTGCCCCGAAAGGTAAAAAAAAACACTCACATTTGTTTTTAATGTTGTCAAGAATATTTTTAGCATAAATTTGTAAACTGTATGTCTCAAGGCACTATTAGAAACTACAATGGAGTCTAAGGGGCCGTGGAGAAGGGTCTCTCTAACAGTCTGGCCCCCATTTACAATATAGTAATATAACATTGCACTCTGATACCCTGATACCCAGCCCAAGTTAGTTCTTCTCACTGTAATTACTGCTGCTGGCTGGCAGCCTGTTTGGCTGCTGTGTCTGGTTGCCAGGCACACTGGCTGCCGCTGGCAGCTGTGGCTGACTGGCAGGCCTCTTTCTTCCCCCAGCAAGCATCTGTTTCTCCCCCAACCCCTTTGTGTGTCTTTTTTTCCCCTACCCTTCTGAGTGTCTCTTTTTTCCCTTCCCCTCTGTGTGTCTCTTCGCCCCAGCACTCCTATGTGTCTCTATGTCCCCCCTAACACCTTTCTGCCTCTTTGTGTCTCTTTGTTCCCCAAGTCACTCTGTGTGTCTTTTTGTCCCTCTAGCCCTCCTGTATGTCCCGTTGTGCCCCCCAGCCCCTCTGTGTGCCTCTTTGTTCCCCTTCACCTCTCTGTATGTCTCTTTGTCCCCCAACACTTTTGTGTGTCACTTTCTCCCCCATCCCCTTTATGGGGCCTCTGTGTGCCTGTTTGATGCCATCTGTGTCTCTTTGTGCACCTCCCCCCAGTCTTTCTGTGTGTCTCTTTGTGCCCCTCCGTGTGTCTCAGTAAGCACTAGGGTAACAGAGGCTCCACTACCGTGGTCTGTATGCTTGGCCACACTACATGCATTGACCGGCTGTGCAGTGCACTTCCCTCATGGTGATCACAGGTCAAAGGCAGATCGCGCCCCCCCCCACCCACCCCTGTGCATATCCTAATGAGTGGTACCTGGGGCAGATGGCCACACTAGCCCCCCTCCCCCTTAGTACGCCACTGGATATAACTATGGTGTTTCAAGGTAATTGTTGCAGTGTATCTAGCAGGTTTATTCACTAAAGTGACAATTCAAGGTAAATTCAATATGAATTTCAAATTGAAAGCACCATTATAGGCACCCAGACCACTTCAGCTCAATGAAGTGGTCTGAGTGCAAGGTACCCCTAGTTTTAACCCTGCAGCTGAAAACATAGTTTCAGAGAAACTGCTGTGTTTACACTGAGGGTTAATCCAGCCTCTAGTGGCTGTCTCCCTGACAGCCACTAGAGGCCGCTTCCGCGGTTCTCAGTGTGAAAATCGCATTTAACTGACGCAGCGTGAGTTAAGATCCCCATAGGAAAGCACCGAGTAATACTTTCCTATGGGAGGTTTGAATGCGCTCGCGGCTCTGGCCATGCATGCGCATTCGGCTCCACTCGGGAGCTGACGTCAGCAGAGGGAGGGGAAGTCACCAGCGCCGAGGGAGCCCAGCGCTGGATTAAGGTAAGTGGCTGAAAGGGTTTTAACCCCTTCAGCCCAGTGGTGGGGTGGACCTAATAGCTCTATAGTGCCAGGAACACAAGTTTGTTTTCCTGGCACTCTAGTGCTCCTTTAAGGTCAAAATAGCCGAACTGGAAAAAAATTCTCTAAGTCAGCTATGCTTTCAGTTCAGTTACTCTGGTCTTAAAATTTGAAATTCACTTTGAATTCAATTTCTGTCCTCTCTTAACGGAGTAAAAGTGTTCCCTGTTGCAAGGCAGGGAAAAACTATAGCACTAGGACAGGGGTCAGCAACCTATGGCACGTGTTCCAAGCATAGCACTCAAGGAGCCTTTGCACAGCACTCAAGGCTGCTAGAGCCAAACAGGCTCTGGCCTATCAGGAGTCCTGGTGGAACTTTAGTTATCTGCTAGTGCAAAAAGGTGGTGAGGGATAATTCTCAATTTACCATTCCAGCACTTGTGAACAGGTATCCGTACTGGAGTAGAGCAGCCCCCACCAACTATTGCAGATCCTGCATTTGACCTGTACCTGGCCAACCTGGTCCACACTGAATCCCAAGGAAGCAACACACTATAGATATACACAAAGTTGCAGAATAAGCCTCCCTGTCATACAAATATTACTGACCACCCATAAACAAACACACATAGTCCCTACAAACCCCACAAGCAGTCTCTCACATGTAATACCACAAGCAACCCCACACATACACACACCACCAAACACACTGTGACATGTCATCCACCTACACAATTCCACAAGCAGCCCCCATACACAGCCTAAATTTAAAGGTATCATAGAAAATACCACAAATTACTAATGAACATATACAATAGAACAGTCTGCATGTGCACAAATACAATGTTACAAAGCAGCTGCAGCACCCATAAATAACACAAGCAGAATACGGCAACATACACACATACAAAATTTGGGTTGGCACACCAAGGGACTTCGAGATATTGTTTTAGCACAGTACTACTAAAAGGTTGCCTACCCCTGCACTAGGAATAGGAATGTTTGTATTCCTAACACTATAGTGTTCATTCAACATAACATAAAGTAGTGGATGTAGGACTTGATTTAATAAGATTTCCAACTGATTCAATACTGTTGGAAAAACTCTCCAAAAAAATTCTCTACAGAGGTCACCATTAATGTCTCTGGCATGTTTTGCAGATAAATCTTTCAGAACGTTTTTTCTAACAGTAATGAGGCAATTGAAAGGCTTATTAAATCAACGCTAAAGCCATGACAATCTAATATTTTTCATTAAAACGAAATCTATATGAATATATAGGTAAATTAGCAAAAATAATTGCATACCTGTGACTGAGCATTTTTAAAAGATTTATTCAATATGCTGGATTGAGAAGTCACTGCACTCATATTATTGCATTTGTAATTTTTTTAAATCAGATTTTTTTTTTTGCAGATTCCATTTGCCATAGGTATGGCCACCAGTGTTAGAGTGGGCAATGCACTTGGTGCTGGGAACACCGAACAGGCAAAGAGGTCCATGAAGATTGCTTTCTTAGTAACAGGTCTAGCTTCATTCTGCTAAATATTTATGCTTTAATTGTCTTGCTGCTCTTTTATTTTTCTCATTTACACATGATCGAAAAAAAACAACGAAAAAGCTATACATGCTGAAAGACATGTCCTCGGGTAAAGGTAAAATATGATAGCTCTATAAATATACTTGAGGTGTATGTGCATTATTTACGTCAGGAATAATAATTAAGATGCAGAAGCGGTAGAATTTAATGGAACACTACAAGCACCATGACCACTGCAACACATTGTAGTGATTATGGTGTCTGGAGTGCCTTGGCACCGTCCGATGGTAAGTAGTCAAACTTTTTTAGATTGTAAACAATCTTCTTCTGCAGCATAAGTAAAACATTTGAGTTCAACATCTTTTTTTAAGTCACAACAAACTAGATCAATATATCAAATTATTACAATGAATCTCCATCTATTTCATTTCCAGATTAAATATTTTTAAAACATTAATATCTGGAATTAATATAACTTAAGTTGAACTCTTAATCAGAGTTTGAATTGTCAAAAAAATAAATAATACAATACAATACAAAAACATAGATAAAACTCGCAACATAAAATTACAACATAAAATTATAAGGTCAACTATCGGGATCTGGGAGTGGTCGAATCGATATCGCTTCTTAATATATTAGTTAATAATTGAGTCTAGAGCCATTTTCGGAAAAGGGTTATTAGTAATTTGTCTTTGATCTAGGAGTATCCTTGCCAGGGTTTGTTAGTTATACTAAGGAATAGATAAACTATTCTTTATAGTAATCAAACCATTTTGTCCATATCTTATTATAAGAACCAATATTATTATCGTTAAAATAAACAGCCTTTTCCATTAGACCTTGATATTGGATCTAGTTGTAATCTCAGTTATAGAAGGAAATATATTCTGTTTCCATTTCCTGGCAACACAAAGTTTGACAGCCATCAAACCATATATAGTTAAGTACTGGGAAGGTTTATCCATTTTTGGGAAGTCTTAATAGAATAAAAATCTTTCTGGAGTAATATTTAACTTTATATTAATAAAGAGTCTAGATATTTCCAGTTTAAGAGTATCCAGTCCAATACAATCCCACCAAATATGTTTGAATGAGCCACGTTCATTGTTACATCGCCAACAGACATTTGATGTGGTTGTTTGGAATTTACCTGTTCTCGTAGGAACCATATACCATCTATGGATAAGTCTGAGATATGTTTCTTGTATGTTTATACAATGGACCGTTTTCCTTAATGCTTCAAATTAGTTTGACCAATCTTGACAGGAAAAAGATTTATTTAATTCGATCTCCCATCTAGAGATAGTGTTATATTTTAATTCCTGGTTTAATACCTCCAAAGATCTTCTAACTGCTGAGGGTTTATTTTTAGCCTTTCCAAAGAGGATTTTATCAAAGGGTGAGTCTTTAATTATAGTTAGTTTTTTTCTTAGAAAAGTGAAGTGTTCCTTTTTTGAAAGGCCAATTTTTTCCTGACGGTACAAAAAACTACCAGTCCCAGAGATATCATATAAATCCTGAATTTTTACCCTGTCTCTAACTAGCCATCCAGATAGATTAAGGTCTTGAATAAAAAAACTTCAGGACTTTCAAAGGGGCATTTGAGGAGATTTGGTTTTGAGGGAAAAAATATTTCTTTATCGGTTTTATAGATTGAAAAATGTGAGAGAACTAAATTATCAATAGTCAAGTTTTTTAAAAGTTTTTTATCAACCCAAAAGAGATCAAAAGGGTCAAAAGTATCACATAAGTTCTTTTCATATATGTACCATGCTTTCAATTTTGATTTATTGCTTCCCCATTCTAAATAGTGGGAAAACATTACCATATCGTGAACACAGAATATGTTCAGGAGGGATAAACCTCCCTCAGCTAATCTATCTGACATAATTCTAAGCGCAATCCTAGGTTTTTTGTTACCCCAAACAAAGGATACAAATGAACCATGAAACAGTTGAAGTATCTTCCAGTTACAGCATTTTAACAGTATGAAACAGTATGAAACTCCAAACTTTATTTGGGCATATTTCCAAATATTGGGGCATATGCCTAAATAGAGATTGGATTTTTTTTATACTTTCTGTTGCTGCCCTGTCCAGTATTTACTTTGACGATTGAAGGAGAGGTTGACAACCCCCTGGAACAAAGCACTGTAAGTGCAATATGTTGTCACCTGAGCTTAGAAGTGTTCTCCTAGAGCAAGCATTTCAAACTCAAAGTCTAGCACGGGCCACATAAACAAGGTTTAAGTTTATGTGGGCCGCAAAAAAAAAACAATCTTACATTTTCATAGAAACATAGGTTTATTTTCAAAATTACAGTATTAAAAAAAAACAGCATCCCCCTCTACTAAACCACAGCACCCCCTATACTAAATCCCAGTCCCCCCATATACTAAATGTCAGTCCTCCCCCTCTACTAAATCCCAGTCCCCCATATATTAAATCCCAGTCCTGCCCCTCTACTAAATCCCAGTCCCCCCCATATGCTAAATCCCAGTCCTCCCCCTCTACTAATTCCCAGCACGCCCCTCTTGCAAACAAGCACACTCCACTCACATTGCTGCTGCCAGCATACGGCTCCGGAGTCTGGCCTCTGGTGTACCCCAAATGGCGCCGTCCACCCCCTGTGCCGAATCTGATCCTCCCGCTACTTCTTGAAACCCTGTGAAGGTGGAGCACGTTGATGTCACGTCGGAATGTGACGTGGCGTTGCGGGCTTCCATGCACCTCCAGGTACTCCACTGTCCAGTCGCAGTCAATGCAACACTGACCCACACACACACTCACTGACAGACACACACACACACACAGACACTGACAGACACATACTCACAGACACACATACACACTCACAGAAACACTCACAGACACACACTCACTGACAGACACACACACACTCACAGACAAACACACTCACAGACAGACACACACTCACTGACACACACTCTTATACATTCTTGCACACACATATTTTTCTTTATTGCTCCCTACCTTTGGGAGCCGATGTGGGGCCTCTCCCTGGGGTCCAGTGGGGGTCTTCTATCTGCTCCTCACTGCTCCCTCGCACACGCGGTTTGGTGATTCCGGGTGCCGGAATATGACGTCATATTCCGGTGCCCGGCTTCACTACAGATGGCGCGTGTAAGGGAGCAGTGAGGAGCAGGAACACTGAGCTCCCTCGCTGGCCCTCCTCCCCGGCCAGGTAAGTTTTAGCAGAGTAGGCACCTGTAATGTGGGGAAAGTCGGGCCGCAAAGATGTCCTTTGTGGGCCGCATGTGGTCAGTGGGCCGCGAGTTTGACATGCTTGTCCTAGAGGAAGTCACTGCAGAGTAAAGCATGGTCAGTACAGGTCCACACTCATTGGCTGAGGGCACTCAGCAATGAGTATAGTATTGCATGGCCTTGTTTGATTATGTAGAGCTAACTGGATTCTGCTAAAGAAGAAGGCCAGTAGCATAGCAGGTGCCTGGCAACATCCAGATTAGTTGTCAAACTTGCTTGTCTCTTTACCCTCTTTACTCCTGGCTTTGCGTTTCCTTTCATAAAGCCTTGGTGCAGGAGTATGGTTGGAGGTTTGAGTAACAACAGTGTCCCTTCAAGTGAATGAACACCAAAAATAATAGTTATGACTCACCAAGAAAATGTGGGTTTTTTTTCCAAAATGATCAACATCAGTGTTTTACATCAGTAAAATATAGTAAAAAGTCAGGTTTACGTTAGGTCATAAAGTGTAAAATATGATGAGGAAATCCTACAATGGGCTATATATAATGGGCCTCATAATTATTGACTCCTCACAAATAATCCTCTTTATTATCTTCTCATTATCTTCTCATATATACTGGAATAAACAAACAATGAGAGTTGTGATACAATTCCCATTCTCTTATCATACATTTTATTTTTCTAGGTATATTCATACTTATAGACACTATCCTCCTGGCCTCCTTTAAGAATGTATTTTCATACATATTTACCAGCGATGGGTAGGTATATATATATTTACATTAGATTGCATTGATAAAAAATAAAAAAAAGATATACAGAACACTAAACCCATAAGGAATTGGTGATAAACACTTACCTAACACACAGAAATATCATGTGGCACAATGTGCTTATAAGGCATACAGTACACAATTTATATCGACATGATACTATGAGTAGAGTTTAAGGTCTCCATTTCAATTAGCGGTGCCTATAAAACATATATTGTTTGGAGCTGAATTTCAACCAATAAAGTCTTGAAGTATGCTATATTTTATATTAAAATTCCTAATAATCATTATCTCGCAACCTGGCATCCCCTGATTACAATAAGGCCTGATAACATAAATAAATATACCTGCAGGAAACTGACATTACATTACAAATTTTGCGATATTAACTTTTCTTCAGCTTCATGTGTGTTACACTGTTGATTTGCCCTGATTGGGGACAAAACCCCAAGCACAACAAAGCTCCTCCTCAATGCTGGCACTGTCTTTATTGCTAGCATACCAGCGGCCAATGTCCTAACGCTATAGTATTCCTTTAAATATTAGCTCATCACGCAATGCTCATTATACTAGAGGCCTGGATAATACGTTTTCAAAAATCCTTTTTTTTCTTACAGGGAGATAGCAGATATTGTTTCTGAAGTTATCCCCATTTATATTTTCTTCCACATCTTTGAATCCATTGCGGTAAGTAATAAATAAAGCCTTGCACAAAGAATGATACAAATTGCTGCTTGTTACAACATAGACACGCATTGTTTTGTTTTTGTCCTCTCTGTCACATGCCTCTCAACGCTGGGAGGTATAAAATCAGCATGAGGTGGGCTTAAATGGATGTGCCACAGACTAAACGCTCATCACTGAAGTCACCCAAAGGGGGCAAAACTACCCACAGAAGGAGCATACAAACTTGGCATGAACGCTTCCAGTGAGAGCAGACCACGATCCTAGTGCCCTCAGCATAGCGGGAGTGCATCTAATCATGTGCTTGTGCTGGGCTGACTGAGGACCAAAATTGGGACAGTTGGGGGGCATGTTGTCATATTGTCCATATTGCTAGCACAAATAGAGTTGATGGCAAAATCATGTACATATCCATATTTTATGAATTTATTTTATGAAACTGTTAAATTGGAAAATATCAGCCTGTCTAGCATGCTAAGCCAAAGTTAAAATGTTCTTCAGACTCTTCTAAGATGTTCTTCCATGCCATATATGAAAGCCCTATACATTTCATTCCCTGATGGCTTTAAAGTCCAGGTTTATACTATCACGTATTTAACAATGATTCACAATGTTAAAGAGGAACCATCACTTTTAGGGTCAGGGCCGCCACAAGAAATTTTGGGGCCCCTAACTCAGCTCAGTGTCTGGGCCCCCGGGGGCCCGCCTCCAAGCCCGCCCACAGGGTCCGCCTCCAAATCCCGCCCACAGGAATAAACACACAGACACAAACATACACACTGATACAAAAGGACACAGATACACACACACAGATACACACACATAGATACATACTAACAGACACACATACTAAAACAGACATACACGCATATAGGCATTCATACTGACACACACATACTGAGACATACACACATATACAGACACACAGGCATACATACTGACAGACAGACACATACTAACATACAGACACACATGCATAAGGACATACAGACACATACATACATACTGACATACATATAGACACCGACATACATACACACACACATAAACACAGACATACATTCACAATGACATACATACATTCATACTGGTATACAATACATACATACAGACATACATACATACATACATACAGACACTGACATCCATACATATATACACAGACATACATTCATACATATTTACATACATACAGACAGACATGCTGATAGACATACATTCATACAGACAGACATACATTCATGCAGACAGACATAAATGCATGCATGCATACTGACATATATACTTACAGCATACAGATACTGACATCCATACACACATACATTCATAATGACATGCAGACATACATACTGACAGACATACATACAGACATACATACATTCATAACGACATACATTCATACTGACATTCAGATATACAGACATACATACATACAGACATACTGACACCACGCATACATACAGACATACACACACACAGACATACATTCATAATGGCATACATACATACATATATACGTACATACTGACATACATACATACATACATTCATAATGACATACATTGATACTGGCATACATACATACATAGTGACAGACATACAGACATTTATACATACTGACAGACATACATGCATACAGACACTGACTTCCATACACACACATACATACATACATTAATAATGACATACATACATACATACTGATATACATTGATACTGGCATACATACATATATACATACATACATTCATACAGACTGACAGACAGACAGACATACATGCATGCAGACATACATACACACATACATACATTCATACATACTGACAGACATGCATACATTCATACAGACATACACAGAGCTTATTTTCCAGCCACCCTCCTGTTTCTTACCTTTTCTTTGCAGGAGGGTGGCTGGGGCTGATAGGAGTCGGCGCGGCTCTCCCTCTTCACGGCTCTCCTTCTTCACGGCTCTCCTCCCGCGCGGAGTGAGCTGGGAGGAAGTGACCACTTCCTCCCAGTAGCACTTGCTGCGGCTAAGGTTTTTTTTAAAGGGGCCCGGTCGTGCTATTACATGGCCACAGCGCTGACCTGGCTCCTGAAGATATAGGGCCCATCGGGTGGCCCTAAGTGCGTGGACCACCCAATAGGCCCCATCAGCGTGCGGGCCCCGGTGCAACTGCACTGGCGGCAGTTCCGCCGCTACACGTGGGGCCAGGGCGGCCGGGCCCCCCAGGGTCGCCGGGCCCGTGACAACCATCATGGTTGTCACCCCCTGATGGCGGCTCTGTTTAGGGTATTTTGCATTGGGTAGTGATACATATAAATATAATAAAAAAAAAAAATGAAAGATTGCATGTGAGACTGCCAAGGAACTAGCAGGTAGACAATGCTAGCCAGAGACCCACCTGATGCCACGTGCACAGGCCACCGGATCATAATGGGTAACCTGCAGAACCAGCTACTGAGAGTGCAGACCTGCAGAACCAGCTACTGAGAGTGCAGCAGATTTTTATATAGCATTTATATTAGATACATTTCAGTTCCCCTTTAACAGGTTAGTTTCACATTTACTAGAACCCAACAGTTCTTTCTGTTATCTTTCCAACAATCTTTGATGAGTCATAAACTATTAAAATGAATGCTACATTTATTGCTTAAAACTTTAGAGGCAATGTAAAAGATTAACAGCTGACAGTTTAAAGGACACTCTAAGCACCAGTACCACTTCAGCTTAAAGGGACAATATAGTCACCAAAACAACTGTAGCTTAATCAAATGGTTTTGGTGTATAGATCATGCCCTTGCAGTCTCACTGCTCAATTCTCAAGTTCAACTTCCACTAATGCTCTCTCACATATCCCAACTTTTCCACTTCTTTGTCTTAGTTTTTCTCCTTCTCTTGGATTCATCCTGTATCTTGCATGTTTTTATTCCTATGTTTTTACCAGCCAAGCTTTGCTGATCCTGTCCATAAAAAAAAAATCTTTTGATTTGGTTGTTTGGTGTTTATTTTATAACTATAGATGGAGTTAAAGGGACACTATAAATCACCAAAACAACTTTAGCTTAATGAAGCAGTCTTGGTGTATAAATCTCATTGCTCAATTCTCTGCCATTTAGGCAATCTCACTGCTCAGTTCTCTGCCATTTAGGAGTTAAATCACTCTGTTTATACAGCCCTAGTCACACCTCCCTGCATGTGACTTGCACAGCTTTCATTAACACTTCTTGTAAAGAGACATCTAATGTTTACATTTCCTTTATTGCTAATTATTTTTAAATTACAATTTCTCATCTCTGTTAATGGCCTTGCTTCTGCAGGAGTCTTCTGTGTGTGATTAAAGTTTGATTTACAGAGCAGGAGATGAAAACTTCTAGAGCACGTTAACTTCTGATTTAAAATAAAACCATTTTTTTTTTCATTCAGGGTGTCAGTCACAGTCAAGGCCAAAGCTACATAAATAGAAAAATATTGATTTAAATCCTGAAAGATAATTGAGCAGTGAGACTGCAGGGGCATGATCTGTGCGTAAAAGGATTAAAGTTCACTATTTGTCTGCACTAGAATGGAAATAATGACAAAATCCCCTTTAACACGACCCACACTTAAACATAATAGTATAACTATTACTATTTTAAAGCTGCCACTACTAAGACAATTTATAAATGGGGTGCCTTGGTCCATGTCACGGCTCCCCGCTCTTCTGCCGGCATGGCCGCACATAAAGAGAGCAGCCAAGCAGACAGAGATGTTATATACTTACCTTGGTCATGGCAAACCACTGCCTGATTTCCTTCAGTTCTGGTCCCCAGCAAGTACGACGTTCCTAGAGACACTGGCTGTTGCGGTTCTGGTTTTAATAGGAAACTAACCTTTGCCCACATCAAAGATGGCGCCAACGTGTGTGCGACGTCACGTAATGCATGCACGTTTTGGGGTCAGAGGCCAGAGACAGCCAATTACAGCCTCAAGAGGGTTATTTAAACCCAAATTACCTTTTGATCAGTGCCCTGTCGTGGTTTCCACTAGCTGGTTATCCGAAAGTGTGTTCCTGATCATGTTTTTCTGGTATTTGATTTTGGCTTTATTTTGACTTCCCTGATTTTTGGTATCCTTGACTTCTGGCTTTCACCATCATTGTGTATCGTTCTGTGTTCCTGACCTCGGCAAGTATTCTGACTATTCTCTGGTACGTTAAGACCGGCCATTCTAAGGTCCGGTAAGATGTTATCCTCAGTCTTTAGGTGTGATACTATTCTGCGTGCTGGATAAACTATAATCCTGACAGTCCCCCTGGCAAACTTAATAATAAAAACCCAGCAAATACAACTTAGCACAATATTTAAGGAATTGCAAAAATACTAATAAGTCTCTTCAGGTAATGTGATTCTTTTACCAGACAAAGGCAAAACTTAATAAATGAATATTTATTATGAGCAAAAAGAATAGTCACAGTGCATACAAAAAATAGATAATAAGCAAATTATTTACACCAACAACAGATAAAAACTACAGGAGTAAAATAACAGAAGTTCTAAACATTTACTTACTTAGGTTTTCAAAGTAAAACGTCTGCCCAGGGGGTCTCCGGCATGGAAGATGGTGACTTACTCAAAATTAGATTTTGGCCCCAAGCATGTTCAATACACACTTCAGTCTCATTAGAGATATACCCTCTGGATTACCACGCCTCACCCAGAGGTGGAGTTAAGGCGTATCTATAGAGACCCTAATTGACCACCCCCTTGTGTCCAGATCCAATCAATCCAAATGGAAACATTTGTTTTAAATATTTTTATTGTTTTCACCGTATCAACGCGTGTTTCAAGTGTAGTACAGCTGATGCGGTTAGTCGCCTACGTTGAGGCGTGCGTTTTAAAATTGTAGTTGACATGAGACAAACATATTATGGTTTCATCTGACTAACATGCGGTTGCCTGCGCAGAGGCGTATGGGTCAATGTATGCACATAGTCACGTATATTAAGTATACATAGGCTTTTCAAAAGTAGGCATCACAATCAAAAGCATGTCGTAGTGAACTAGTATAATTAAAAGGCAATGAAAGACTGTTAGTTTGTTAACTGCGGTAACATTAACGTCTGCACCTGGTTGCGTCTTATAATTGTATGTATTCTCTAATGTTAAATGTGGCCTGGATATAATCCAGTAGCCATGCATGTCCCTGGAGTGGCATGTAATTGCGTGGTCAGTATAGCTTATTTCTGTGTATGATCCCAGCGAACCTCTGATATCCGTTGCTGATGTATGTGCCAGTATATGTTTAATATAAGGATCTGATTTTCCGCTGCGTGGGACTTAAAAGCTTGATGCATTTACAGCCGTCTGCGTGCCTGTGTCTATATCTGGTTCGAAGCTATTCTGATAAGTCACATCAGCAGTCTGTCGTTTAAAAACCATGTTGGTAATGCTGATGGTGCTAATTATATGAGACGAGCATGTTCATTATATATGCAGTCATGTATGTAATGCGATAAAAGATATACTGCGAGGTATAGCGGCCTGGTAGCTAAATCTCAGATGTTAAGGCTTCCCGATTTATCGGATTTCTGAGGCCTGGTGCAAACAGGTCATGCAGTTTTAAATAAGTCAGTGCATGGTCAGGTAGTACATAAGCAGTACAGTTAAAGCTACTAACATGTAAAACGCATTGTAATAGCCTGGCTTAATATATAATAAAGCTATCTGGTTGTCAGGTATGTAGTAATAAGCTACTTCACAGCTTATCATGTAGCTGGCAGCTATTATGTACGCAGCAACAAACCGCATCAATCATTGGCCCCTATGGGTATTATAGCATAAACTCTGTATTCCTTTAGCATTTTAAGCTAACTTAGTAATGACAAGCTAGTATCAAATAATCAAAGCAAGTAAAAACTAAAATTGCAGAAAGAACAGTTTCTTAAACGAATTATCATGGAACAGTCCCGTTATCTTTATCTGTCCTTTGTTGCTTTATTTATTCTTTGCTTGGTACAGTGCTCAGGTGAAGTGGATCTGTAGAGCGGCGATAATTGAGTCTCTCCACTGGAGGTGGCATAGTAGTGCCTGGCAAAATAAGTTGTAACTGTGCAGGCTGCTCTCTACCGTGGCCTCTGCTACGCTAATGCCAAGGGCGCTCCTATATGTCAAGCCGGTCGGTCATTGCAAGGTCTCTCTAGCACCCCCGGTGCATCTGTCCCCCTATTTTCCCCTCCAGGCCTGCTCCGGCCGTGCAACCGGAACACTGCGGTGCTGTGGGCACTCAGGGATGTCAGCAGTCCGGCAGACTCCCACCCCTGAAAAGTCCTCGGCCCCTTGTCCCCTGCACCTCCCCAACTCCCGCAGTTCCCCGTCGGAGCTCCAGCCCCAGGGTGCCTCACCCTTTTCCGGTCTCATGCATGTCGCCAGCGCTCGCCTCCCCGGCCACCGGTCCGCCAGGGATCCAGCTCACCCCGATGACACAGGGCTCACAGAGTTGGGGGCATTCTTCCCTGGACCACCACCAAATTCTGAGGTAAGAGCTGGCTCCGCGCTGACCATTCTGCCGCCCGGAGGGGTCCATCCGTGGGATCCGCCACACCGGAGGGCCCAGGCGACCCCGCGTAACTCCCTGCAGCTTGCACATTCAGCGGCCATCTTGGCTCTTCATGAGGAAGGATTCCTCATTATATGGGCCCTTTGCCTCAAGGCTCTGGAGATTCGACTTGTGGGCCGGGATCACCCCCGCCGGCCCAAGGGGGGGGTAGCGGGGCCGGGTCCGGATCCCCCTCTCTCCCTCTGCCATGCTGTCTCTCGCCTCCGGTCGTCGCCGCATGAGCTTGGCCCCGTGGGCCCGTCTTGCATAAGTTATGCGGATAGCTCGGTCGTGGTCTAGCTGGGGCTCATGCGGTGTGCTCCCGTTCCACCTCTCGCTCAATGCCCATGTCTGTCTCGGTTCCAAGTGGGCTTTTAGTGCATTATTTCTTTATATTGATGCGGCCCATTGCCGGAGCTAGCTCGGATGGCTGCCGCTCAGCTCGGCGGCCCGGCCCCGCCCCCCCAAATGGAAACATCTGGCTCTATCTTCTCTTATGTACCTGCCCCAGAAATAATAATTGCATCTATGAATTTGTTATTATTTTCCTATTCTATAGATATGTGCATTCCTTACTTGCGACCCAATTTAATGGACATCATAATTCCTTCCCCTATGGTCAAGTTACGCAACTCATGTTTGGGCTTGATTAGAAGATTGTGCTGGTCACATTTCAAATATAAATATAAAATGAGGCTTAATTATTATTCTGTGGGAAAATTTTAATGTTTCTTTCTTTTGGATATTATTATTATTATTATTATCGCCATTTATATAGCGCCAACAGATTCCGTAGTGCTTTACAATATTGTGAGAGGTGGAATTTAACTATAAATAGGACAATTACAAGAAAATTTACAGGAACGATAGGTTGAAGAGGGCCCTGCTCAAACGAGCTTACAGTCTATAGGAGGTGGGGTATAAAACACATTAGGACAGGAAATAGCAATCAAATAAGGTGGGAGAGAAGCAGAGCTAGTGGAGAGAGTAGAGTGCTGCCCTTTAGGAGAGAGCAAGAGACAGATATGTGAGGTAGAGGTTAGTCTGGGAGTCCATACGTTTTTCTAAAGAGATAGGCTTTCAGGCACTTCTTAAACGATTGAAGACTAGGGGAGAGTCTGATTTCGGTAGGCAGGTTATTCCATAGGAAGAGAGCTGCCCACGAGAAGTCCTGCAAGCGTGAGTTGGCCGTACAGGTGCGAGCAGTGGACAGGAGAAGGTCACGGGCAGAGCAGAGAGACCGAGAAGAGGAATACCTATGTATCTGTGATGAGATATAAGAGGGGCTAGAATTGTTCAGTGCTTTATAGGTATGGGTTAGCACTTTGAGTTGACTCCTATAGGATACAGTAAGCCAATGTAAGGACTGACAGAGGTGTGAGGTGTGAGAGGACCGACTAGAGAGGAAAATCAGTCTGGTGGCAGCAATCATTACAGACTGTAGAGGGGCAATACGGCTTTCGGGAAGATCAGGAGAGGGTTACAATAAACCATGCAGGAAATTACTAGAGCATGGATGATCCCCTTGGTAGCATCTTGTATAAGAAAGGGGCGGATGCGGGCTATGTTTTTAAGATGGAATCTACAGGATTTGGCAACATATTGGATGTGAGGCTCAAAAGTGAGGCCAGAGTCAAGTATGACGCCAAGACAGCGCGCTTGCAAGGATGAATGTGACAGACCAACTGGCACCCTGACTGAGTACCTCTGCCAATCGATGCTTCCTAGTTGACGCTGAGGACCATAAGCACTGCACTGGACACCTTAAGCACTGTAGTCCCCACGTCCAGCGTTACAGCTTGGCTGGGAACTCACCATCCTCCACCCACCCTGTACCCAAGACCAGGATCCAGCTTCCAGTGGGTGAACCTCTCCTACTCCAGACAGCGTAGCAGGATTATAGTAGTATACTGATATAGCAATCCCCAGGGTAGATACAGCCATTTCCCCCACACATGAGATGAGACTGTTGAGGGTAAGCAGGAACTAAATTTTAATGGTGCCACACTGGCCTTTTATGACAATCCCCATGCAAGGGACCTTGTTGGGGACTCCAACACAAAGACACAGACCAATAAGAAGAGTGATTAAATACACAATACTCCCATAACAAACATACAATCCCTCCCCTCTGCCTGTATCATTTCAATTATCTCCAGGCAGAATAAACACATATTTTACAAAACCCCAAAAGTACCCCAAAAACACATGACATCCCCTGATAGCCCTGAATGAGGTGACCAACATATCCAAAAATCACCCAGATCAGTTCAGGGGTTCAAGAATTCTATGGAAGTCATGTTTTGACCGACCGCATGCATGGTCCCATACCCAAAACAGTTCCAGAGAATCAGGCTCTGCGGACGGTCTACTTTAGTGATTCAAAGTTCGAAATACCGAACGTAGCAGTTCGTGGATAAAGTCAATGTATGTCTCTTGTTCGTGAGTTTCTTTTTACTGAATGCCATTTGACTCCCATTCGAATAGCCGAACATCCATGGAAGGTAAAGTTTAGCGGTGTCCCATTTGAGTTCCATGCACTCGACAACCATATACCGCTGGATGCCTTTCGACTAATTAAGATGGCCACCGTCACGTGTTCGCATGCCACTTCGAATGGCTTCCGGAGTTCGAAGTGCCGCTTCGAAAGTTCGACTTGTTCCTGTTAGAAGTCCAAGAGGCACAACCAGAGTCTTTAACCCATAGGTCATTACAGCGGTCATAGTCACAGGGCAGGAGGCTGGCAAACAGACCCCTCCAAAAACCAGTGGCGAGGTCACTTTCGCCACAATGGACTTATGTGAATACCACTAACTTGAAGGCGGAATGAGGGAGGAGGATCCGTATTAGGAGGAGGAAAGAAAAGGAGCTCAGTTTTAGAGAGATTGAGTTTCAGAAAGCGAGAGGGCATCCAGTCAGAGATGGAAGATAGGCAAGCAGTGATATGTTGCAGGACAGCAGGGGAGAGGTGTCAGTGTCAGGATTACAAGTTGATTCAGTACAATCAGAATGAAACCACGACAGGGCAATGAGCAAAAGGAGAATTGGGGGTAAATACCCTTTGTGTGGATCCGATTGGCTGTAACCAGCGTTTGACCCCAAAAGCAATTACCAGGTTTCCATGTGCATGATTGCTGCTCAGCACAAACCCTCATGTGGATCTGGTTGGCTGTAACTGGCCTTTGACCCAAAAAGCAATTACCAGGTTTCCATGTGCATGATTGCTGCTCGGCACAACTTTTCATGTCAGGACAGTAATATTGCTTGGCACAACTTTTCCTGTTAAGACAGTAATGTTGCTTGGCACAACTTTTCCTGTCAGGATGGATGAATACGTGACAGAGATATATCTGGGTGTCATCAGCATACAGGTGGTAGTGGAATCCAAAAGAGGTAATAAGTTTGCCAAGAGAGGCAGCATAAAGAGAAAATAGAAGGGGACCAAGGACAGAGCCTTGGGGGACTCCAACCGAGACAGGACGAGGGGAGGAGGTATCATTAGAAAAGGAGACACTGAATGAGCGTTGGGAGAGATAAGAGGAAAACCATGAGAGGACAGTGTCACAGAGACCAAGTGAATGAAGAGTTTGAAGGAGAGCATGATCAACGGTGTCGAAGGCAGCAGAGGGGTCAAGAAGAATTAGTATGGAGTAGTGGGCTTTGGATTTAGCTAGTTAGTTAGTAGCTTTGAGCAGTCTCAGTAGAGTGGAGAGGGCATAAGCCAGATTAAAGAGGGTCAAGGAGAGAGTTGGAATTGAGGAAGTGAGTCACACAGACAAAGACAAGTCTTTCCAGAAGCTTTGAGGAAAAAGGGAGCAGGGATATGGGACAATAGTTAGAGGGGGAGGACAGGTCAAGAGATTTTTTTTTCAGGATAGGTACTACAGTGGCATTTTTAAGGTCAGCAGGGACAATGCCAGAAGAGAGACAGAGCAGTTGAAGATGTGTGTTAAGGAAGGCACAAAACAAGGGGAGAGAGATCTGATAAGGTGAGATGGGTCAGGATCGAGCGGGCAAGTGGCAGCCACCTCTTGTTCAGTAGCCAGGGAGAAAGTCTGAAGGGTAGGAAGGGCATGATCTACGTGTGGTTGAGAAAGAGAATGGCAAGGTGGGGAGAATTCTTTCCTTAGCTGTTCAATCTTGTTGGTAAAGTAGCATGCAAATCTCTTGGCTGTAAGGTTAGTTTTGAGGGGTGGCCACAGCAGGGCAAAGAAGAGAGTTAAAGGTTTCAAAGAGACACCTTGAATTGCGGGAACATGAACTAATGGATATGATACTGGAACCCAAGGCTTGTTTTTCTCTTTTCTTGAAGGCTAATGATCACTAACATATCAAAAGAAATCAACTCATCAATTAAAAGGTACAGGCCAAATGGCTGAAACGACAGTGTAGAATTTCACACCTCACAGGATCCATCCATATGGTAAAACAGTTTTTCACATTCCTATGCAATTTATGTTACCCGTTCTGTCATCTGACCTCTGTGGGGGTCCGAGCTTCAAAAGAGGTATTAAGGATGTAACCCTCCTGACCTTACATACAATCATATTAATCCCTTTTGACATTGACAATACCATCTCTACCAGGCCGGCAGGTCATGAATGCACTGCACAAACCACACTAGAGGCCAATATTCCGTAGTGCAATAATGAGTTATGCACCCTTGATGTGACAAGTGAGTTAAATTCCTCCATGCTGTTCAGCACAGCTCATGCAGATTATGTTAAATAGCATATCAACAGTATTTTGAGTTAATGGAAAGAGATAGTTTGGCTGTGGGTATCAAAATGTCAATGTGATACATGAGAACATGGATTGGATTCAAATCAAATTAGTGTGTGGTCTTCAGTGTGTTTCAGGTGGAGTGCTTCGAGGAACAGGAAGACTGAAGTTAGGTGCCATTGTGTATGGTATTGGTTACTATGTGATTGGACTTCCAGTTGCCGGTGCCTTAATGTTTGCAGCCAAAATGGGTATCAAAGGTAACCTAGATCAGAATATAATGTATTAACTTATTACCATTTGCATGTGTAAGGTTTATTCAACAGTTGCTGGTTATTTTGCTAGTTGGCAATCAAGTATTAAAGATGTTAATGATGTGTATAGGCTTTTCTTGAAAAGAATGTGAAGGTCTCTCGCCAAGATGATAAATTCAATAAACATTGTAAACCTAAAAAACCTAAAAAAGAAAATAGGTTTTTAACCACTTAAGGACACATGGCATGTGTGACATGTCATGATTCCCTTTTATTCCAGAAGTTTGGTCCTTATGGGGTTAATCACCACCGTAATGGTCATTAACGTGTTAGGTCAATAACAAGGCAAATCACTTCAATCAATCAAGTAATTTTTCAGCTCTAATGACTTTTATGACACATAAATGGGTTTTCTTATAAAATTCTACATTTCTATGAATTCCTTACAATGAACACCAGGTCACTGCCCTGTAACTGTAATAAGCATGTTTAATATAAAAAGAGCACACTTATCTGTCACTTTCTTGGCACCAATTTCCTTGTGATTCAACAAAAAAATAAATTATATAAAATATTAGCCCTGGGCTAAAACTGACATCACTCAAAAGCAGCTACAGTGACTGTAATATCTAGCCTCAATGTAAAAAATAAAAAGAGAGAAATTGCATGTGCTTTTAACCCCAATGCACATTTTACATTTTATTACAATAACAGAATATTCTAGTGCAATGACAATCATCGTGTTAGCTCACCTGCCAACATCAAAATACTAGGTATGAGTTTTAATTGTCAACATGAAGTAAAAATAAGGATCAGATACAGTTTTGCAATTTTGGTGTAGAGTATTTTCACAAAATCAGATACTTTCTCTCCCTCTCTTGATGGATATTGTTTATTTATTTATTTTTTCCACCTCCTCCGCTAAACCCACTTATTTGTCTATTTATTTGTTCTTCCCTCCTTTTTTTTTTCCTTCTTCTTCCTTTCTTCCTTCCACTGGCCCCAGTGTCTTTGCCATAATTTGAGTAGCATGGCGATCTTGCAGTCTACTAGTTTATGTTTATGTTCCGTGATACAAAACTCTCTGATCCTGACATGGACTGACATTTACGTGGATGAGCAAAATAATGTTATTATTATTGTCATTACAAATTATTTCACAGTGTGTTACAATATTATAATGCACTTAGGGCCACCCGATGGGCCCTCTATCTTCAGGGGCCCGGTCAGTGCAGTGGCCGTTTAATAGAGCGACCGGGCCCCTTTAAAAAAAACAAAAAACAACTGCAGCCGCAGCAAGTGCTGCTGGGAGGAAGTGGTCACTTCCTCTCAGCTCACTCCGCACGGGAGGAGCGCGCGCGCGCGGCAGTGAGGGAGAGCCAGCCGACTACTCCCATCAGCCCCAGCCACCCTCCTGCAAAGACAAGGTAAGAGACAGGAGGGTGGCTGGAAAATGAGCTTTGTGTGTGTGTCTGTATTTCTATGTATGTCTGTATGTCTGTCTGTATGCATGTATGTCTGTATGTATGTCTATGTATGCATGTATGTATGTCTGACTGTATGCATGTATATATGTATGTATGTCTGTGATCGTATGTATGTCTGTGTCTGTATGTCTGTCTGTCTGTATGTGTATGTATGTATGTATGTCTGTATGTATGTGTGTATGTCTATGTATGTATGCATGCATGTCTGTCTGTATGTATGTCTATCTGTATGTCTGTATGCATGCATGTACGTCTATGTATGTCTGTATGCATGCATGTCTATGTCTGTCTGTCTGTATGTATGTCTGTATGCATGCATGTCTGTCTGTATGTCTGTATGTCTATGTATGTATGTCTGTCCCCACAAATGTCCTCCCTCCCTCTCCCCCCACACTCAAATTTCCTCCCTCCCTCTCAAATTTCTTCCCTCCCTCTCCCCCCCCACTCAAATTTCCTCCCTCCCTCTCCCCTCCACTCCCCTCCCACCCACTCAAATTTCCTCCCTCCCCTCCCCCCCCTCCCTTCTTCCTTCCATCTCCCACTCAAATTTCTTCCCTCCCTCTCCCCCACCAAATTTCTCTCCCCCCACTCACTTTCTTCCCTCCCTTCTCCCCACCCCACTACTCATTTTCTCCCTGGCGCTAGGGAGCACTCTGTCTTGTGTGCTTCCTCTTCAGCTCTCCCGCCAATGTGGGGCCCGGACGACCTGAGCAGTCCGGGCCCCCCAGGACCGCCGGGCCCATGACAACCGTTGCGGTTGTCATGCCCTGATGGCAGCCCTGCCCCTCCCACTGATTGAGCTACTGTTCTTACAGTGCCCTGCTATACGCAGATACTAAGGGTGACCCCCTCCTGTGGATTTTTCTGCTGGACCTACAGGGTCCCGTTATAACCAAATTAAGGGTGACCCCCTCTCGCTGACTGCACTACTGGGTGTACAGACCTCTATGATACCACACTGAGGGTGACCCCCTCTTACCTACAGCACTGCTGGATCTGCAATGCTCGGTTATGGTTATATAAGGGTGACCCCTCCTGCCGTCTGCACTGCTGGACCTGCAATGTCTGGTTACTTTATTATACGGCTAACCACTACGGCACTACTGTACCTACAGTGTCCGATTATGTTCAGACTGAGAGGGACCCCCTCCCCTGCTGGCCTATACTGCATGGTATGCTTGTGCTTGTTGGGTGACCCCCTCTTGCACGCTGGGTGACCCCCAGCTGGCCGCACCAGGTATCACTCCGACAGTGTTACCTCTATGGCAGTTATGCAATCACAACTGAAGGACAAATCTCCAGTACCCAGAAGGTCACTTGGCCTGTCCTCATGCCGCCCCGCTGACCTCACTGCCAGAAACCATTGGTACCCTACAGGGGACACTCCACCGGCCATCCTAGACGCTACACCTGGTACTCGTTGGCTAACGGATGGATTCATCAAGAGGATCAGTCTTGCACTCTATCCGGACACAGATGTTTCCTCGGTACGAATGGCGCGTTACAGATTGGAAAGCTGAGAAGACTAAATTCCCATTGGGAATGGACCAATATGATTTATAGGTATCGCCTAGTTGGTTTCTACAAATTGAGCTGACATGTCTTTATTCATAGGGTTCCCCTTAACTAGCCCCAGAGGTCTCTCAGATCGTGCCCGGACTCAGGATCAAGGTTGCGGAACCTTGGACCGTTCCATGAGCGATACGCTTGACCAAAAGAGGCATCCATTCCGACTCATTCCGAAGTTGCCATGCTGGACGAAGGGTGAGGTGGAGTGGACTCCCGACCCACCCCCACGCTACATGCTCCCAATGCATATGTCGCCTGTTGACACTTCTAGACGGACTTATCCCCTCAGAGAGCTGCTCGGCATGGACAATTGGTTCTCTCCCTCAACTGGACATGAGAGAAACCCGCATGGATTTCACCATCAACATGGACATATTGCATCTGACTCACTCCCAGTCAACCCAGTTTCTGGTCTTTGATGGAATATTTGGTCCAGGCGGTGCTCCGCCTCCCGAGGACCAAGATGTCCGTCTTCAATAAATATATACCAGGCATATGCTCCGCAACCTGTGGGTCACACTTAGGGGCCCAACCCTATTGATTGACCGGTTGTTATTCGCCATGGAGGCCATACCTCCAGGATCCGGTACTATCAGCTGCTCCAACATGACGCTTTGTCGGGTCTTCGGCCTGGTATGACCGAATCATGTGACCTTCGAACGAAGCTCATCTAAAACTTAATTGATGACTCAGACATCGGGGGACCTGGCCTACCTAGGAGTTTCGGACCCCAACCAACTTTGGCCTGGACTCGGGAGTCCGGAGGATGGACCTCTTCACGCCAATTGCATGGAACAGGTTTGTTCACCATTCGCAGCTTCCCCAGGGGAAGTAGTACCACTTGCTACCTTCCGGCATGGACTTATCACCGGTTTCCCACTACGGACTGCAGTCGGAACTCTATCTATAGCGTCTGGACAAGTATTCGTCATTGTGACAGAATGTCTGTGGGACGAGACACTCATGTGGCGGACGGCTTCACCCGACCATGGAGAGACCCCAATGATTGGTTGCCTCACCCTCCGGTGTCTTGAGTACTGGCATGATTACATTCGGTGCGAACCGCCATATGGAGCGGTTCTCCAGCTGGCTGCCGGACCCTCAGTGAGGCGAGGGAGGCGTTTTCCAAGCTTGGTCTCTTTCAGGGCGTACGCATCCCGTTTACCTACAGGATACTTCGGGCTTTGCTTCAGACCGAATTCCTGGGAGTGTCGTTTCGCCTGGCCACACCACTTCGGAGGGGTCCTCCGTGCTTTCCCCTTTTTGCTGGAGTTTGCCATGGGAAGGCAATCTATGACTCCCTGTCTCTTAATGTGCCGTGTGGGATCCGCAGGGGTAGCCTGCCACGACTGGTGTCTGGAGAGATGTTTGGGTCCCTATGGCGGTCCTTATCATGGCTGTCCCCATTGTCTGGCTGAGTTGCCCTCTCAGGGTAGGATCGTATGGGGCCATTCACGTCCTATATCAGCTAGTGGACGACTCTTGTGCGTTTTCTCAAGACTCTGGCATTAGTAAGGATCTCTTGGTCTGCAGTCTACCAAGAGGAGTATACCTTACGGGAGCCCTATCGCTCGCTATTCCTCAATTCTAGTGGTATCGTGTGTTCTGCATTTCCTTGAGGAATGACCTGATGACAAGGACTTGCCTGGCGCCAGTTTTTCCGCTTACGGTTTTCTCCAGTACATCTTTTATTTCATCGCGTTCTGACATCATGGTATCGACAGTGTCTTCTTCCTTCTTGCCGTTCAGTACATCGGCTTCTGCTCCACACATTTCATTTCAATTCGTCCTCTGTGTCGTACCCCTATTCTCCGGATAGGCCACAGCTCTGTTGACAGGTTGTACACGACCATGTAGATCCAGGATCTGGTTCTTTCGTCCGTCTACTCATGGACAGCTGTTGGTTTCTGCGTACGGCCGTTTTGGACTGTTTCTGTATCTTCGCTCACCCGTTGGATTTGGTGGCTACTCTCATTGGCTGACCTTGAGAGTTCCTCTGGGACACTTTTGGTTCGGGGTGCTGTCACCTCAACAACTTTGGAAGCCGTTGGGTCCCTTCTGCATTTTCTCCACACCGCTGTTTGGTTTAGGGAATCGTTTTTTCCATTCTCCTTTTATTTCAGTCCTCTATCTCATATTGCTTCAGGGTCTACTATTTGGGTGTTAAAATTGCAAATATGAAGCATCCTGTCCTGCCATAAAATTAGGGATTATTCTAGCCTCGGTGAGGGAATAATCTAAATTTTATTAAAGACAGGAGGCGAATATTCCCCCCCCCCATTTTTTACGTTCCCTCCCTGGATTTGGGTCTTATTCTATTATAATTAATCGGGGATATTGTTATGTTTTGTGAATGCATGGTTGTAAATAATAAAGATTATTTCTATTATTCAGTGATGATTGTCCGTGTGCATTTTATTCATCATGTTTGTGTTGTAATTATGTTTCGTCAATGCCTTTTAGTTTAGGTACATACTAGATACCAGGTCTTCATAAGATCTGTAGACTTTGTTTATTCATCAGGTATTATGATTTTTCTACTCTCTCACTCCTACCCATAATCGATCTCATCCTAGACCCCATGCATACAAAACCCATTCACACCTCCTGTCACTTTCTCTCCTCCTGCTTCTAGCAGCTGTCTCTCCCAATCCAGGGCCCTTCACCTTCTCTACACACACACTAAGAAAACAAGAAACCCCACACACCTCATCACAATTCCCTGCCCTTTACCCTCACTTACCAACATTCAGTGTGCACTCTGAAATGCCTGCTCCATCTGCAGTAATTTAAAATCAACAGCCTTTTTCATCTCAAACTCACTCACACTACTGGCACTTACAGAGACCCTCTGATAGCGCTACTCCTGCCTCTTTATGTTTTGGTGGGCTACAATTCTCTCACACTCCCAGACTCAACTGTAAAGGAGGTGCTGTAGGCATCCTTCTCTCCCCTCAATGTGCCTTTCAACCAATCATAACTCCCCCTGCCCTATCTTTTTCTTCTTTTGAAGTACACCCTGTTTGCCTATTTAAACCCACTCCTTTAAGAATTGCTATCATCTACCGCCCCCCAGTCATTCTAGGCTATTTATTGAGCACTTTTCTTCCTGGCTTCCCCACTTCCTCTCATCTAGCACTCCTTCCCTTATACTTGGGGATTTCAATATACCAATCAACAACCCCAACTGCACTGATGACTCTCGTCTGCTCTCTGTAACCTCCTCCTTTGGCCTTACGCGATGGTCCAATTTAGCAACCCGTACAGCGGGAAACACTTGATTGATCTCGCCTTCACCAGTCTCTGTACCGCCTCTAATTTCTCCAATATTCCCTGTGACGAAAGCAACTTTGCCACTGGTTTTTGGAGGGGCCTGTTTGCCATCCTCCTACCCTGGGACTATGGGCCCTGTGATAACCCTTCAGAGAGCGAAGCAGGAAAAGTTCTAAGAAGTGCAAGTGATTAACATCCAGGGGAGGGTCTGTTACATTGGTGGAAGCAGTGGGATGGCCTCCTGGTGAGAGGGGAAGCATCCTGGAGACACCGGTAATGTGTTGATCATAGTGAGGGCAATGCTAGCATTCGTGCAGCACCCCTGGAAGCAGAGGTGTCCATTGACTTGGAGCAGGCAAGTATGGCATTGTCAGGGATCTTACCTGGAGTGGGAGTCCGGCACGCAGAGTTGAGGCACCCTTTGCAATTCGACACAGACCGAGGGGACTCAGGACAGAAATCCCCAAGGCTGTGACACAGTGCACTGGGGCTGAAATAACCAGTGCTTCCTGGAACGCAGTACAGACAAGGATATCCAGAAGAGTAGTCAGTATCAGAATCAGAAGTCAGGACGGGCGGCAATCAGGCGAAAACAGTAGACGAGCAGGAGATCAAAAGCAGGAGTCAGATGAACAGCAGTGAAACCAAACAGGAACAGGAAACACGATCTGACAACGAGAACCAGCCTTGCGGGGTTTAAATAGGGAGTCTCAGCCAATCATCAAGGAACCAGGAACAGGTGTGCACATTCCAGGCGTACAGGCTCAGACTACAGGATACCAAGAACAACCAGAAACAGTCAAAGATGCGTGGAGCTCAATGCAAGGATACCGACTGGGATGCAGGAAACTCAGGTTTGATCCCAGCCAGACCCAAATACACAATATTGTGTAAAGCACAATGGTGATCCTGACATTACCCCCCCTTCAAAGACGCCGTAGGCGAGAAGAGGAACGCAACTACGACCCAGGAGGTTACTTTTTGGATTTCTTGGCTTTGGTGGTACTAGTAGGAGCAGAGGTCATAGCTTGTAGGGCCTTTTCAAATACTTGCAAGTCCTCCTTCCGGACTAGAGTCCCATTAGAGGCATAGGTACAGCCAGAAAGAGGGTCTTCCTTGACAGGACTTGTAGTGGTTGTGGTGCTTGCCTTCTTAGAAGCAGAATCTTTAGTAGAAATAGAGATCTCAGGTTCTTTAGTAACAGATTCCTGCACAACCTCAGGAGCAACGACTGTAGAAGGATGAGGATTGGACAGAGTGGTCAAGCAAGGACAGGCAGCATGTTGGCAGACAGGTCTCATAGGATATGCCAGAGTAGTACCCAGACGGAGAACCCGAGGCCTAGATGGACGAATGGGACAAAAAGATATTAAATGTCCCATCTCCCCACAATAATAACACAGTCCATGCGCCATCCTTCTTGCCCTTTCTTGAGATGACTGACGGAACCTAACCAGTCCAATCTCCATGGGTTCCTCCGCCTCCCTGCCAGATGTATACGATGTTTCGGGAGACTTGGGAGCGGTAGGGTTAGCTGTAACATCAGTCCGAGTGAAAGGAGTAGTGTAGTCCATTTCCAGTCCGGGTTGCAATATGTGTGAAGCAACAGTAGGTGATCTATGTACATATGACTTTTGTGTCTTGTTGCATTGTAAACCCAGGGACCGAATAAAGGACTCCCAGGAATCTAGGACTGGGCTTTTGGCGAGTAACAACTGGTGGGCCCAGATCTTAAGGTGCCCCGACAATAAGGTAATCGCTGTCCTCACTTTAATGACGTCTGTGGCATAGGTAAGTGGTCTCAGGGAGAACAGGACCTCGCAATCAACTTTGAAGGTATCATACTTAGACCGGATCCCAGAAAATTTCTCGGGTAGAGCAACCAGCGGTTCAGAGAGTCCAGAGTCATAGGTTACTCTCCCTTTAAGGGAAGCCAGCTCCTGCTGTAAGCCCTGCAAAGCCTGGGTGAGCTGGGAAACTTGCTGGGTCAAGGCTGCAACGGTAATCTTCAACTCTGCAGACTCCATTTGGTCAGATCGTACTGTCAAGGATCTTACCTGAAGTGGGAGTCCGGCACGCAGAGTTGAGGCACCCTTTGCAATTCGACACAGACCGAGGGGACTCAGGACAGAAATCCCCAAGGCTGTGACACAGTGCACTGGGGCTGAAATAACCAGTGCTTCCTGGAACGCAGTACAGACAAGGATATCCAGAAGAGTAGTCAGTATCAGAATCAGAAGTCAGGACGGGCAGCAATCAGGCGAAAACAGTAGACGAGCAGGAGATCAAAAAGCAGGAGTCAGATGAACAGCAGTGAAACCAAACAGGAACAGGAAACACGATCTGACAACGAGAACCAGCCTTGCGGGGTTTAAATAGGGAGTCTCAGCCAATCATCAAGGAACCAGGAACAGGTGTGCACATTCCAGGCGTACAGGCTCAGACTACAGGATACCAAGAACAACCAGAAACAGTCAAAGATGTGTGGAGCTCAATGCAAGGATACCGACTGGGATGCAGGAAACTCAGGTTTGATCCCAGCCAGACCCAAATACACAATATTGTGTAAAGCACAATGGCGATCCTGACAGGCATACTCTGACTCTTGCGAAGATTTTCTGGCTGAGGTGAAGTAGCGAGTGGTCTGGTATGGCCCTGATGTGTCCGTGGATACCTTCCAGGCGATCTGGAACCAGGTAACCATCGAAAGACAAGCAAAGAGGGACCAAGAGTTCCTGCTGGCTAAAGCGAGGAAAAGAAGCCTCCAACGAAAGGAGGTTAGCCTCTCTCCCCAGAGGCAGCCAGAGGTACCTGAAGTAGGGGACCTCATAGACTGGTCCTGTGAGGAACCCCAACAGGCAGGTGGAGATGGGACCAAAGTCTCTTCACCGACCCCACAGGGATGCTGGGCAGCCGGCCCAGATCCCCAACTGCACCTGGAGCTACCGGCAGAGGAGGCAGGTGGTCCTTATTCCCAAGTCCTGGGAGACCTCATAGACTGGCACTGGGAGGAACCTCAAATGGCAAGTGGAGATGGGACCAAGGTCTCTCCACCGGCCCAGATTCCAAGTGGCAGCTGGAGTTACAGGGAGAAGAGACAACCGGTCTCTCCCCCCAGCGGCAGTGCATCTCACAGGGAGAGGAGACAACCGGCCTCTCTCCCCAGCGGCAGCATATCGTACAGGGAGTGGAGACAAGCGGTCTTCCTCCCCTGCAGCAGTGTGCATCCCAGGGGGCCGAAGGTGTCGTCCTTCCCCCCCAGTGGCAGTTTACTTTGCAGGAAGAGGAGATAACCGGTCTCTCTCCCCAGCGGCAGTGTAAATTGCAGAGAGAGGAGGCAGCCGGCCTCTCTCCCCAGCGGCAGAGAAAGGGCTAGGGTGGCAAGAAGAGGACAGGGGAGAAGCCATGTTCTCTGAGTCTGTATAAAGAAAGTGTGTTCTTACCTGTTTCAATGATCTATTACTGCTGGGACAGTGAGATAAAAACAGGGGAAGGCTAGTGCACTGCTACTACAAGAAGTTGGACACTGTCTACTGCTCTGCTAGGAGAATTAGAAGACTTATTTTATGTTCAGCTCCCTGCAGATTCTGGAACTTTCTGCAGGAGTGTGAATGAGCTCTTGCATCCTGTCAGCAGAAGGAAGAGAAACGATTGCCATTGCTGCTCTGCTGCTGTTCTACATTCTCTCTGGAGATATCTGCAGTTACAGAAGTCACTCAAAGGTACTGTCTCCAGAGATTGCCTCAGGATTCTCCCTTATAACTGTATCTGGTAGTGCTACAATGCCAATGTTGTGCACAAGTGGAGATGGGACCGAGGTCTCTCTACTGGCCCAGATTCCAAGTGGCAGCTGGAGTTACAGGGAGAGGAGACAACCGGTCTCTCCCCCCAGCGACTGCGTATCCTACAGGGAGTGGAGACAAGCGGTCTCCCTCCCCAGCAGCAGTGTGCATCCCAGGGGGCCGAAGGTGTGTAGGTACTTATGAGTTTAACTGTTCAGATGTAGTTATTGATGTTTAATACCCTTAGATATATATAGAATGTCATTCTATCTATATTTTAAATACAAATAACTACAAATATATATATAGATAAATATATAAAATTATATAAATGATTACATAAGTATACACGTAGAATTTAAATACATATATATTAAAATTCTACGTGTATATTTAAGCAATCTTTTAACATAATTATGTGATTTAATAATTAAAATTTGATTGACATGCCTGACAACCCAGGCAAAAAGTGCAGAGAATTTAATTCACAAGCACTATATTTAACCCTGTAACTTTCCAAGACACCATAATACCTGTACATGGAGGGTACTGTTTTACTCGGGAGACTTTGCTGAACACAAATATTAGTGTTTCAAATTGATAAATTGTATTACAATGATGATATTTTCAGTAAAAGTTAAGTTTTTTGCATTTTTCACATACGAACAGCACTTTTACTGACAATATTATTGTTGTAATATGTTTTACTGTTTTGAAACACTTATGTTTGTGTTCAGTGAAGTCTCCCAAGTATAACAGCACCCCCCATGTACAGTTTTTATGGTGTTTTGGAAAGTTAGAGAGTCACATATAAGGCCAGTGTTTGTGACTAAGTGGCTACTAAAAAAGACTGGACATACCCCACTTGAAATACCTTGGGTTGTGTACTTTTGCAAATGGTATGCCATCATGTTTCGTCAATGCCTTTTAGTTTAGTTCTCATTCCTGGGCTACCACATGGTCTCAAACGTAACATTACTAATATGGCAAATTTTAATGTGAAAATAAATGCTAAATGGAATGTACTATATTTGACCCTGTAACTTTCCAAAACACTGTAAAACCTGATAATGGGGGGTGCTGTTTTACTCGTGAGACATTGCTGAATACAAATATGTGCATTTTATTGCAGTAAAAGCGAACAGTATCATGACATTTACAGCTAAAATGTCAGGAGGAACTACAAATTTTTTTTCAAATCTTAATTTCTCACAGTTTTTTTTTCCAATTTTATTCATAATAAGTTATGTTTCATATATGAATAGTTCATGAGAAATTAAAGCCCTGTTTCTCCTAAACAAAATTATATATAATAAGTGTGGGTGCACTTAAAATGAAAGAGGCGAGTTACGGTTGAACAGACATATAGCGCAAATTACAGTTTTTGTTTACATTGTGTTTTGATCAGAATGTGTACTATTGACTCCGTCCTGAAGGGGTTAAGTATGAATAATGTGGTTCAAGGTGAAAGTCAAATGTTAGGTTAATAGACTTTTCCCAATATGACTATTGTGCCCTGAAGTTTGAGATTGACCTTGAATTTCTGACAGTTCACACATTCATGAAAAACCTTGTCAGATTTGTGTTAAATATTAATTCAATTTTTTTTTGTAATACTATACTTTTATTTAAACTGTTTTTACTTTTTACACAGGCCTGTGGAGTGGAATGATCCTCTGTGGGATCTTCTTGTCTGTTTTTTTCACAGTATATCTCCTAAGAATAAATTGGAAGGATATCTCATTTGAGGTAAGCCTCCTGTATTAAAATTTGAATGTATCACTTTAAATGTGGCTTCTTTTTTTTTTTTTTGGAACAGCCTGCCTACCCCATCAGACTCTCCCCCTAGTCTTCAATTGTGTAAGAAGTCCCTCAAAACACATCTGTTCAAAAATGCTCATGGACTCCCAGAGTAACTTATCTACACTTACTTATCCAAATCTGTCTCTTGCTCTCCTAAAGAGCCACACTTCACTCTCACCTCCAGCTCTGCTACCTTTCCACCTTGTTTGGTGGCTGTCACCCTTGCTGCCCTGTTGTGTATTAGTACCCCACCTCCTCTAGGCTGTAAGCTCGTTTAAGTAGGGCCCTCATCTACCTATTGTTCCTGTGTCACTGTGTAATTGTCTCATGTATTGTAAATTTCCCCCCTTTCATAATATTGTAAAGTCCTGCAGAATTAGTTGGCACTATATAAATACCAGTAATAATAATAATAATAATAATAAAAAAATGTATGCATCTACAATCTCTGCACATTACTTGTGCAACTTATGCATTTATGCTGTCAGTGCAGACTTAAAAAATACCAATTAGATCTGAAGGTAGCTGTCTATGCACAGCAGAAAGTTTGCACTTGCCATGGGCATCACTTCCTTTGAACCAAGAGCATTGAAGGAGTGGCAAAATAGTGTAGGTAAGGACTTCCGTTCTAAAGCTAAAGCTTGGGGGGTGGGGGGGAAAACATTTATTGAATGTAAATAACTTAACTAGATACACAGAAAAAAATACTATGCAACAAATAAATATTTAATTAAAGGTTCAAAGCTTAACGAGACACTATAGTCCCCAAAACAACTTTAGCTTAATGAAGCAGATTTGATGTATAGATTATGTATCTGAAGTCTCACTGCTCCCATCTGCCATTCAGGAATTAAATCACTTTTGTTTCTGATTATGCAGCCTTAGTCACACCTCCACTGGCTGTGACTGACACAGCCTGCATGAAAACATGAAAGCATGAAATAGTTTCACTTTCAATCAGATGTAACTTACTATAGAAGTTTTTATCTTCTTCTCTGTAAATTGAATTTTAATCACACACAGCAGACTACTGTATGGTGTAGCAAGCTATTAACAGAGCAGGAGATAAGAAATTTTAAATTAAACAGAATTTGTAATAAAGGAAGTGTAAACATTAGATGATTCTTTACATGAAATGTTTAAGAGGCTGTGTAAGTCACATGCAGGGAGGTGTGGCCAGGGCTGTATAAATAAAATGTTATTTAATTCTTAAATGGCAAAGAACTGAGCAGTGAGACTGAAGGGGCATGATCTATACACCAAAACTGTTTCATTAAGCTAAAGTTGCTTTGGTGACTACAGTGTCCATTTAACAGTAGTAACAGGCATTTTAGTAAGTTGCTAACCAGTAAAAAGTAGTGATAAGCTTCTAAACAAGCACCTGGATGTGAGCCTTGTCATCCACATATTTATAGAAGACAAACCAAATAAAAAGTAAACAAAAATTGATTAAAAGAGTGCTAGTGTCCTTTTCATACCATGCATATTTTTGTATCCTTTTTTTTTTTTTTTTTAAGGCCCAACAACGAGCTGGAGTTGCCTATAAAGAAACATCTCCCTCAGGTATATATTCAAGCAGATCTATTGAATAAAATGTTTTCCAATTTACAATGTGTTAAAGTGTAAACAACAATCTTAAGTGTGTGATTTGCAGTATCGATACAAAGCAAAAGGTTTACATGGGTATTTCCGATTTCTGTTGCTATGGAAAGCTGACAAAAACAGGATTGTCTGTGCCTTCAGCACTATGTTGGGAAGCACTGTCTAGAGAAATTGTGTCACTTGAATGGCCACTTCATATTTCTTTAGTTTTGCTAAAGGCTTTGCTCCTTATTGTAAGGTAAATCCACCTCCTTAGCCATGCCCTCTCTATTCACAAAGGAACTTCCTTATTAGATATTAGAGTATGTACTCAGTTTAGCCAATAAAATGCAATAAGTACATCTGTGTGAATATTAAGCCACATATTATGGGCTCTAATCCATGTGCATTTATCCACAATATCACCCTGCATTTGTCACATTTCAGCACCATCTGCATTATATAGGTTTTTTTCTCTGTTTTACATGTTTTATGATACTGTTAAGATTTTCACTTGTCCACACTTAGTAAAGGGTAAGACAAGCCCCTGATTGATATTTTATCTCTAGCGCTCCACTACTGTTTTTTTAAGTAGCTCCCTTATAAACACATGTTGTTTTTGTATTAATATAGAGACAGGCCACATCTCTAGGCAAATAATGGTAAGAAGACTTAAATTGGAGTGTGCAAAGTATGTGTGTGTTTGCCACCTGTATGGCACACACAAGAGTATGTTTGTCATTGTGTGTGAGATTGTGTATGGATCATTACATTTATGTGTGTCTGGGTCAGTGAGTGAGTGTGTGTCATTGAATCTCTGTGTCAGTGATAGATGGTGAATGTGTGTCAAAGATTGTTGGTTTTTCCCCTTAAAAGGACGAAGTTTAAATGAAAAAACTTAAATAGCTTTAATTGATGTGACAGTAACAATTGCTGCGCAGTTGCTAGATTTCATTACAGTGAGCCATCAGTGGAGGCTCACTGTAATGAAACACATAGACATAAGTGTATTTTTGCTAAATTTTGGTTCGTCCAACTAGCTTTCTCATAACAATCGCATGGATGAAAATTGTCCGTACCCAATGGTCACATGGATGAAATTCTGTGGCACATAATGCCTGGCTAGTAACTTAAGTTGTGTGATTTTGAGCCTTGCATACCTGCTTTCACACACTAACACATGCACACACTTTCATATACTGGAACCAAGCACAAATACACCTTTGCTTTTATGCTGGACAAACACACACTTGCATTCACACACTGAAACTCGGCATAAATACACTGCTACATTCACACACATTGACACATTGCTCAAATACATGATGCAACTATATCCCCTATAATTGAAACACAGGTGCATTGACACAAAATACAAATGTAATCCCCTGCTTTCATGCACAGATACACACAAGCAGTAGGGGTGGGCTTGGGTGCTGATAAATTCCGAGGGCCCATACTGACAGGTTCTTTGCATATTTATCATTACAAGAAACTGTAGTAGCTCTGGTAACTGGAGTGTCAGTTTTAAAATCTATGTGGAGGAAGGGTTTAAAGGACCCCATAATGGATCCCTCACTAAATCTAGAGCTGCCTAAGCACTGCCTTTCTAAGTGATTTTGATTAGGAGCTGTGTTTACTTGACAGAAGATGACTCTCCTTTGCCTGGCAGTGTTCCAATGACATCCTCTGCATGCTCTATTTTCTCAGTTGTCAGTTAATGATTGACAATGAAGGCTAAAGTCATTGTGAACACACTGACAAGGGAAAGTGAGGAGGTGACATCTAGAGTGACAGTTTTCCTTTAAGAAAATGTAGTGTTCAGGAATCACACAGTAATAAGTACATCCCAATTTAGTCATAAAATATAGAAACAAACTGATACCCTTTGAAAATCACTAAATAGTGATTTATTTTTTCTCATGTGGTTATATAAACTATTAACATGCTACATTATTTAACATTTATTATCAGGGTTATTTACTGAGCTGGTATTGTTGGGAAGTCACAAGAAATTGCTAATTTAGGTCAAATAAATCATATTAGAAAATCTAGTTAGCTATGTTTCTATTCTGGCTAAGAATTAACTACATTTTTAAAATTTTAAATTGTAGCACTAGCCCAGCTAGTTGAGTTTGAAAAATAACTCTGCTGATGTATACTTGTTTTTAGGGCCTAACGTCACTTACCTGCCAATAACCGTTAGGGAATAAGCCCCTTGAAAATCATTAATTTAAATATGTAAGTGCACATCTTACTATTAGAGCAGCTCAACATGGTAACTTTCTTTATCTCCTATTTGCAGTAACACAGAATGCAACAAATAATATACAATTATCAGATGTCGCTATAAATTCTAAGCAAACTGGACAGGTGAAATTGCAAGAAGAGCCTCCAGTCTACGGAAGCCGGCAAGCAAAGATAGAGTTAATAATTCGCAGAGGACTTGCTCTCGCCTTGGGAGTAGTTGTGTTGCTCATAGGAGTTCTAGTCAAAGTCTGGACATCTAGCAATTAATTTAATAAATTCAGTTAACTGGTTGGGAAGCAAAGTAAACCCACTGCTCAATCTAGGGTGAGATATATACTGATATTTTACTCTCAGCTTTATGCCAATAATAAATGTCCAGAGTCATCAGGATGTAGAGGACATGCTGGTTTTCCACCCATTGCTAGTGGCCAAGTCCCAGACATTGGACATCTAGATCTGTTTCATAACCTAAATGCACAAAGGAGGCCAGAATCCAAATATGACATTACACTTTGGACTAAAAATGCTTATTGTGTAATAAAATTCATGATTGGTAAATGTTTGCAATCTTTCTTTACTGTAGGCTCCATTAATCATTTACAGGGTTACTCAATAAACATTGGATTTTTGTGGTTTTTCTCATCTGACCCCTATACCTTATAGTATAGGATTTGGAAGATTCACAAATCATCGAAATTAATAAAATCCGATACTGAATGCATGCAGGGTGCTTCTTCGCATATTATCGTTCACTTGCATTTTTGCTAGTTAATTTATCATTAGAAGTACTATTTGCTGGCAGGGTGAAAGAATTTACTTTGATTCCAAGGTTCAAGCTTATAGGTGTCATATTAGGTAGCCTTTATTAAAACTGGCTAACTTGGACTCAGGAAATGCTTAATGCCTAAAACGACACTTAAGACCATATATGTCTAGTTCTGGGAGCAGATAGGCCCCACCTGAGCTGTCTCTCCTAAATCGGTCTGTTCCTTCTCTTTCCCGGAACTTATCAGTTATGTGTACATGATGTTCATCCCTATGTCTTATCTGTACTCCTCCCCTGTTATTTCATTCCCTTGCTTCTACTGTTCTATAAATATTTGCATGTAAGCACTTACTTTTAAATGTATAAAAAAAAACAACTGACAAAATAAAGGTCAGAGGCTTATTTTGATAACCAAAACGAGTCTGGTGTCTAATTCATGCTTCTCCAAGTGCACTTGAAAATAACACAGGGTAGGCCTCTTGTGCTATTAGTGTTGCACAATCAAGTGGTATCTGGGCTCCAGCTAACTCATCTGGTGAAAGTGAATTAACAAAAAGATCAGAAGTACAAGTACCATCTCCATTGGTTGAATTAACTAAATGTGGTTGTAGAGAAAAAAACAGAAACGGTATACCATATTATCAATGTTTTGGACCTCTAGGGTCCCAGAGTAGGCAAGATCCTGGTAAAAATCTTGTAAACCCACCCCCTTACCCGGGTAAGACAGGGACTCCTTTGGTCCCTAAAGACCAGGCGATTTCCCAAAATCAGGCATCTCTTGGTTCTACTACCACTATTCAGAAAGAATATTGGATCTGTCCACGGTGCAAATGGATAAATTCTTGGGGGGAAGAAAAGTGTACAAGTTGTGGTAAACCCTAAACCCCCAGCTCACATATTGGCCCTTTGACAGAAATCAGAACCTCTCTTTCCAGTAATATGACGCAGTGGGAGTTCATATAGTTCCCCATCCGCCCCAGTAAGACCTATGGGTTCATTAGAGGAAGAGGATATTCCACCAGATGTAAGGGTGGCCCCCCTAGACACCCTAGTGGGGCCATTAGCTTCACAATATACTACTCCCATGATACCTAAAGTTGAGAGACTCTACCATGAGAAGCTCAGGTATCCAATACTGGGAAGAATATAAGCCCTGGACACCCAGTGAACAACTGGCAATGATACAGCAGCTGCCAGATGTAGAAAAGGCCCCCTTAGCTCTATTCCAGTCTCTATCCACCATTCAAGCTACTTACCAGTGTACTTGGATGGATTTAAAACAGATTGTCGCCCTAAAAGCTGGCCCCTTTTAGGCTAAAATAATTGCGAGATATACCGATGCCCATGAAGATAACCTCATAAGAAGCAACATGCAAACATATGAATGGTTTATAATGAAGTCTGCATCTGGAGCATGTTATGTCACTGCAATGAGAGAATGGGCTAAAGTAAAAACAGAGGTTATGGATGGTCTTCACATACCCATAAGGGCTGGTCTCCAAAATGCTAGACCTGAGTGGAGAAGTTTAACCTGTGGTGATCGGGCAAAAGTGGCTATGAGAGTGGAAGCCAATCTAAATACTAGTAAGAAGAGAACACTGTCTCCAGCAGCTCTGTCCCTAGAGCTGCTGGAGACAGAAGGCAGGATTTGTGGCAGGAAAGGACACATTTGTCAGGGTGACGGTGCGGTGCCCGGGACCCAGACTCTGTCCAGGCGGCGGAGCGAGGTTCGGGACCCAGTATGCCTGATGTTATAAGTAGGTGTCACAGTGTGGAGGTGGATTAGCAGGGTCTGGTGCAGGGTAACCGCATGCCCCCTGATGTTGAGCACCAGCATTTGTGCAGCCACATACCAGAACCCTGATTCAGCTTCAGCTGATCCCAGGAATTAGGAGCAGGAATTAAGCAGACCTCCCAGGAGCTGAATAGGGAGGCTCTGCAGCAGGAGTGTATCCAGTACAGAAACAAGGCAAGGCTCGGAAAGGCACCAAACATGAAAACAAGATAAAACTAGGAGAACCCAGAACCGGAGAAGGATAGGAAGCTAAACCCAGAACATGTACACAAGACATGAGGGAAACATGAACATAACATGGGCATGACTGTACAGGGCTGTACATGGACTGGGTATACAAACTAAAACAAGACAAGATAAGATAGGCAAAACAAGAGGAGAAATAACCAAGTACTATATATGAAAATCATGGGGATTTAGTCACATTATATGATCATACATTGCATAAGCCTGCCAACAACGCCAATGTACCCCATATCTGGCAGGTCCTACTCTGCCTAATGTAAGCTAAACCAACCAAAGAAAACACACATAGTACTGTCTGCCCTTAATGCAAATATCCAGTATAGCCACACTGGAAAAGTAACATTGTCTGTGCCTTTAGAGGATAAACAACTGATATCCCTCTCAAATGTTCTGGCAACTCTCACTATGCACAGCCATGTGCCAGAACCTGCCATTGACTTGTCCTCAGTCCCTGATTCTCTATGGGCTGCAGGTAAGACAGATACAGACAGACTCTCTGTGCCCCCAGTCAAAGTGAATCTCCTGCCCGGAGCAACCCCTCCCTGTCAAAGACAATACCCGCTAAGCCCTGGGCCGTCTTTGAATTTGATTGGGCCCTGGGCAAGCTTTTACCTGGGCCCCCTGACTACATATAGATACACACAAGAACATACAGATACACACAGACTACATATAGATACACTGACAAACATGCAGATACAAAGGTACACACACTGACTACATATAGATACACTGACACACAGATACACAACCTGACACATATGCAGATATACACATACAAACACTGACACATACATATACACACACACAAACACAAATGGACAACATCCAGATACAGAGACACATTCTGACAGACATACTGACACAGACTCACACACAGACAGCCATACTGAAACACAAAGACATACTGAACCACACAGACACTGACGGACTCTCACACACACAGACATACAGATACACTGACCGACATACTGAAACACACATACACACAGACACTGACAGACATACATACATTTTGACACCCACACCATACTGAAACACACACACACTGAACCACACAGACACTGACAGACTCACACACACAGACATACTGGCACACATACAGACATACTGAAACACACATACACTGACAGACAAACACACAGACATTTTGACACACACAGACAGCCATACTGAAACACACATACACACATACAAATTGAACCACACAGACACTGACAGACTCACACACACACAGACATACTGACAGACATGCACACATACAGACATAATGAACCACACAGACAGACACACAAACATACACTGACAGACTCTCACACATACAGATACACTGACAGACATACTGGCACACTGACAGACATACATAGACCCATACATACATACATACTGACACACACACTCAGACACTCATGCAAAATTTGATAACCACCCTCCAGTTTCTTACCACTTCCTGGAGGGTGGCTTCCCTGGGGTCCAGTGGGCTGGCTGGGAGTTAAGCTCTCGCTCTCTCCCGGCCTGGCCTCCTCCGGAACAGCTCCTTCCTCCCGGGCGGCTCCTGTTTCTGTGGGAGGAAGTGACGCGCGGCTGTCACTTCCTCCCAGTGCAGCCGAAAAGCAAGGGCCCGGTCACGCTGTGAAAGCGCCACAATGCCCGACCGAGCCCCTGCTGACACAGGCCCACCGGGTGGCCCTAAGTGCATGGGCCACCCGATGGACCCTCATAGTTTGAGGGCAGAGAGCAAACGGGGCAGCTGCCTTGGGCCCCCCCAGCATGGACAGGGCCCGGGGCAGCTGCCCCGTTTGCCCCGTGTTAAAGACGGCCCTGGCTAAGCCCTGCACAGGAAGATGCTTCTGTGCAAGAATAACTGCAGGCAGAGGTAATTGTCCAGACCACCTCCCCTTGTAACACACCATTGTAGCCATTAAGAAAAAGCTAGGGTAAGGGAAACCTGTGGTCTACCGTATGGTACATGATTTGAGGGCATTTAATGCTGTAACTGAACTCATTGCCCCTAATGTTCCCAACCCTCACACTTGGTCACAGATACCACCTTCCTCTAAGGTATTTACTGTTATTGACTTGGCAAATGCATTCTTCTCTGTCCCTTTGCATCTTGACAGTCAGTACCTATTTGCATTTACACATAAACACAAGCAGTACACTTGGACAGTATTGCCCCAGGGCGCACAAAACTCACCCACTATGTACAGCATAGCTATGGCCCAAATTCTTGAGGTTTGGCCAAGGGCAGAGGACGTAATATTATTGCAATATATCAATGACTTACTTTTGTGCTGCCAACACTATTTTGTACTGTAAACACTATTTCCTTGCTGAATTTTCTGGCACAAGCAGGATGCAAAGCTACCAAAACCAAGAGAGGGGAATGGAGATGGTACTTGTACTTCTGATCTTTTTGTAAATTCACTTTCACCAGATGAGATGTTGTCTGAATGCTCTTGATAGGGATACGAATATTTCTTCCTCACTTACATCCTCCAAATGGAGCATGTGTGGGAAGGGATTCTCTAGGTACAGCCACCCCATTTGAACAGGGTTATCTTTAAGCTCCTTCTACAGCCATACGAGTTGATAAAATTATTTGACGTTGGATGATGCTTGTGGACAGAAGTCAGTGGTCACACCAAGACGGGGATTGAAGGATTCCCTAGCCTTGCCTCGAACAGACACACGTTAGCTAGACGGACATCATTTCCGGCTTGAAGTCTGTGGTAATAGTATCCGCACATTAGGGAGGTAAAATAATACATCACAGTTCAGCCCCCTTCCCATGTCGTCGATGACGCGAGTCCAAGGAGGACTCTTGTCTGTGATAGGTGGATTGGGCTCCCCCTTTTTAATGCCGGGATTTTCCTGACAGAAGATTACACCCTGACGAAGGTGCAGTTGCTAGCACCGAAACGTGCGTCAGGTTTTCTCACTTCACTTTATTATTTTTGCACTATGCATTAAATCACGGTTTACATGTTTTTATTTATGTCTTAGTAGTGTTATGGGCAAATGCAAATATTACAAGTTTTAGAATGAAATGTTGTATTTCTTAAACTGTCTACTTTGTCTATGAGAGATATTGCGAACTGACAAGGTGTTAGAAATGGAACATATTGTTTTTCATACAATGTTTCTTTAAAGGATCACTATAGGGTCAGGAACACAAACATGTATTCCTGGCCCCATAGTGTTAAAACCACCATCTAGCCCCCCTAGACCCCTCATGCATCTATAAATATAGCAAAATCTTACTGTATTCAAGCCAGAAGCTGTAACTCTGCATGCTGTCTGCCTCAGAAAAACAAGCAGTCTGCTG